ACAGAAGCCTTTTACACAGAGCGGCTTTTTCACAGAGGAGCTTTTACACAGAGGAACTTTTACACAGAGAAGCTTGTACACTCAGAGGCTTTGACACAGAGAAGTCTTTTACACAGAGAAGTTTTTGCACACAGAAGCTTTACACAAACAAAACCTTAACACAGAGGAGCTTTTACAGACAGAAGCTGGTACGCAAAGAAACTTTCGCAAACAGAAACTTTTACACACAGAGCGCGTTTTACACAGAAGATTTTACACACAAGAGCTTTTACACCAAAAACCTTTACACAGAGAAGTTCTTGCCCACAGAAGCTTTTACTTGCAGAAGCTTTTATGCAAAGAAGCTTTTGTACAGAGAAGTCTTTACCCATCTTTTATCATGTCTCATTTTTCATGATCATTTGCCATCTGTCACCTTCATATATATCTTCGTTTTCATGCTCTTTTGGTCAGCTCCCTCTGTCGTTTAATTTTCATTTCGTTCTGTCCGTCCACGCTTCGTGCTCGCTCCCTCTGCGGCGAAGCAAACTAAACGAGAACGCAGAAATAGATAGCGACTAGACAGATGGGATAGAGTTAATTACATTAACAGAAATAGCGACTAGAAGACTGTAGGCGTAGCTGACACAGCATGCTGTGGTGAATCGTGGCCCCTGATACCATCAGTGCGCACGATGTTTAAGTAAAGATCTTACGTCGATTTCGTGCAGAGCACAGCTGGCCACACCCCAAGATTTTCAAGAAAAGGCGTGCTGTGTGCCGTCTTGCTTTTGGGTTCTCTGGCCCACCTTGTTTTGGTGGTTTCGCCATGTTTTGACTCCTACATTACATCACCCATCTTGACAAAAAACATATCAAAAAACACGGGCCGCTACAAAGTTCAAACCCTTGTCCAACATGACATCAGGCAAGCCTACAAACTTGAACTGGTTTCCTACAATATCAAATGCCCCCACTACAAAACGCGTTTTTCAGATGTTTTCAGCAGGTTGGTTTTTCATGAGAAAAAGCAGGGAAACCAAAAAAACAGTCTACAAAGTTCAACCAGCATGGTATACAAAAAATCATTCTTAAATATTTCCCTATTTTTGGCTACCAGATTTGAACTGTGTAGAGGAAACTTCCTCTACAAAATGCTCTGGTTTCTGGATGTCGACATACCAAGTTTGTAGAGGAAATAGATGGAAATAGGAAGGGGGATCCTTATATATATATATAATATTATATATCATATCCTATCATCTCTTGTCTTATCATATCTTATCCTCATTTCTCTTCAGCTTTCACATGCGTTCTGCATGCCCTGGACCTTTAATAGGCACATTTCTGGGCTGAAACCTGCCTGGGGCGTCCATCAAAGCCATCGGCCAAAATCTGGAGCTGTTCTGGGCTATACCTACGACCAAATCCACTTGGGCCACAGGAGGACAACAAGATTTTTGAAGATCTGGTCAAAAGATTTTGAAGATCTTTGTGCAGATCGAAGCGTTGACTGATCGACTAGATCGTTTGGACTCCAATCTCAGCCGGCAATAGACCTCTCTCGCGACAATCCAGAAAATCTCCAGAAAAGATCCTGAAGCTTTTGAGGAATGGTTTCCATGGTACCCTGGTGCCCCCCACCTGAGAGTGTGTCGCAGCAAGCACTGCAAGTTCCAAATGTCGTTGACGCAGCCCTGCGTGGCATGCTGTGGCATGCTGTGGCATGCTGGTATCAATGAGCTCTCTCTCTCTCTCTTCTCCTTCTCCTTCTCCTTCTCCTTCTCCCTCCCTCTCTCTCCCGCGCTCTCTCTCTCTCTCTCTCGCGTATTTAGACGCGTTCGATTCATATGACGCTGCCATTCAAACTGTTTAATTACTAGTTTACTCACTGACTCAATTATATGTAATTCACCATCGGCACTGCAGAGCAGTGGCGGCCACAGCCCAAGAAACACTCTGGCTTGGCGCCTTCAACGGCGCATGTGAGTTCACGTAGTTCACCTCAGTCTTTGCAAATTGCAGCTTGATTGAGCGCATTTCTGCATGACAGTGCTTGCGCTAAAGTGAGTCCGAACATGCCACAAGAACAGAAGTGTAACTGCAACCAAGCCGCACCGATCAGCAGCGCTTTCCTCTCTTCGTGGTTGCCTCAGAACGTCCATTCTGCAACAACCGATTTCAAGGCTTCGTAACCCAAATGACCAATGACAACTGCTACCCACAATGCCAAAATTTCGTTAGATGTAGCAGTTGTTTCTGATGATCGGCCATGACAGAAACCATAGCCATGGCCTGGCCATGGAACTTCTAGTCTCGCTGTCATCTGCGAGTCTGGCTGGGCAATGGTCGCTGGAAAATCACAAGGCCAGGTAAAGCCTTGGCAGCAAAACAAACAGGCGCAGCACTTGAACAGCAAACAACTAGATGATAACCACCACTTCTTTTTGAAGTACCCCCAAGAAAGGGTAGCATTGGATAATAGGATGTGGTTCATTGTGGTTTATTGTTGGCTTTGCCAATGTTTGCCACATCACATTGCTAATCTTCATTAATCTACCACACAAAGGAGAGGGGGAAGGAGTGGGATGAAGGATGATGAAGGTTGATGAAGGTCATGAATGATTCAAGAGCTCCCTCAGGTTCCATCGCGAGGTCCAACAATTGTTTCACTTCCCAGGCTGCTGACGCAAGAATCTCAGCTACTGGGACGCCCTGACGGCAGTGGACGTGGGGCCTTTCTCTGCGTGCGACCTGGGGCACGATGCCATACGATGCCCAAATGGGCCCCTGCCGAGAGTCTCTGGATGTGGACTCTGGGCATCCGACTTTTTGGACTTCTCCTCTTCCCAAGATTTTGCCTCGGGATGGGATGGCAACGGCCAACAGCATCTAACAGCATCCAACGGCCAACTGCCAACAGTTGACAGATGTTGACAGGCCTTATGGTATTTTTCCGCTGCAGATAGTTGCAGGCTTTAAAGATGCTGAAAGATGGTTGAAGGATGTCGAAGGTGTTGAAACTTTTAAAGATGTGTCTGGATGTCTCAAGGGTGTTGGCGTTTTAAAGGCTTTGTGCGCTCTCCATAGCCCCGGACACATCGGTTGCATTGGATGATCTCCTTCTGCAGCTGGTCAAGCCGATGCTGAAGCGTCCTCATATGCCAACGAAGAGCCATGCGAATGCAGGACTAGCTACCGTATGCTATGGCGACGAATATGTTGACGTGTTTTGACTCTACGATTCATGACCCTTCGATGTACATCTTTAAAATTCAAGGAGGCATTTTCAGTCCAAATAACTTTGAGATATTTTGACACATCCACAACACAAGTAGGAACGAGTAATATCGAAGATATAAGAAATCCAATTCCATCCGAGATCTGAGAGATACCTCGGTCTGGCCATGAAGAACCTCAGCTCAGGCCCCAACTGCACTGCCACCTCATGTTGCTGATTCCGCCTACGAAATCATTGGCGATTGGGATTTAGGCAGAGCTATTCCATGACTTTTCGATCTCGGACCTGGGATGATATTGGATGAATAGCACCAGCAATATCCCCCAATATTCAGACACAAACTCGACCATGTATTTATACGCGCGGCAAATATCTGTGTTCCTGGCAACAGTGGCTTCAATCATAGAACGTCACAAGACATCTTTGGCTATTGAGATTGATCTGCTGTTTGGCACATATCAACTTGATCAAAAATTACACACCAAAATTGAACCACAGAGTTGCGACACAGCAGCACCATGCAACATCCCTGTAGTTTGATGATGTTTGATATTGTTTGATGTCATCCTCCACAAGATTTTGGCAGCTCGCCAAAGCCTGGTCAAGTCGTCCGTCTTTTGTCTTCGAAGCTGTTGGCTTTTCTGCTTCCACCTGCATGGAAATTGTGGGATTTCACAGTCAGTTACCAGTGCATTTCGTTGCTTCAAATCCCCGAGGCTCAAATAGTCCCGCAGGAGGCTGGGCCAATTTGGAACCATGATAGCAATGTGTAGCAACATATAGCAACATGAAGCCTCTGAAAGCACCGCTCTGAGTTTTTTTTGGGGATCTGGCTGTTCAATCTTCTGTGTGTACCGGGCCACTTCGTTGTTGACCTCCGAGTGAAGCATAGTGAAGCTTTGTCCATCGCACAAAGCAAGAACTCATAGACATATCTATAAATAAATCTATATAACATTATATAACATTATATAACGGATTATAACGGTATACTAATTGGATTTAATTGGTACCTCATAATTTTTCAGATTGAACCTTTTCCCCTTCTTTCTGCATGATCTTGCATTCCTGAAATTTCCTGAAGGCTACTTGACTACTTGCATTAAGACTTTGGAGTTGAAAACAAGTCAAGAACGTGCCAGCGTCAGGATGGAAAGAGTTTCCATTATGTAAAGATGGACAGGATGGAAAAGACACGTGCCAGCGGACGGTGCTGAAAAGTTTCTTCTTCGTGTATCCCCGGCAGGCTGATGACCTTGCACGCATTTTCTTCTATCCACAAACCACGCCAATCGGCAGGAGCGAGAAGATACTGTTTGGCTTTGCCATAACAGCTGCTAACACCATGCCGGCGTTCTAGTCTTCCAATGTCTTCCATGCTACGTTCTCACCGACTCCAGCTCAAGTACAAAGTCAGCACGGGCGTTGATCTCTCTCCCTTGACTCAAGTTTAGCCGCGCAAATACGTTCCAATGGTAGAGGCCAGTAGAGGCAGTGATCTTCGGTCATGCATGCAAAAGATACGGCATCTAGGAGGGTCTTCCTCTCAACAAACACTAAGATGCCTCTTATAAGCATTGCTCTTGCACGCTTTTGCAAGGCTTGAAAGGTACCATTAGCATTCGTAAGGAATGTGCATCCGAGTGCAATCCCGAGACCGAGAGTCTGAGCACTTGGCATGAAGCCAGCAAAACGATTCTTGAAAACAAAGACATAACATCATATACGAATATATGAACATATTAGACATCGATAGATAGTAATTATATTAATATATGTAGCGGAACACATCAAACACGAGGCAAACAACAGCAAACCCGAGTGCAAACACAAGCCTGCACACACACACAGAAACAAAGAAACAATGCCGTCCACAGCAATTCATTCAGAGAGACGGTTGATGCTTCAGAGCCAATCACTCCAGGGGCTTTGTAAATTCCCGAGGCCATGTGGAAGCTTGCCATGCCGCTGCATCTGCCCCTTCTTTGTTTTGAGCGTGTTTCGCATCCAGCTCCCCCAGAATCGTCCGCATATCCACTGCATCAGCCGCACCCAAACCTCGGTTCTTCGATTTGCATATTGGGAATTGATAGGAATTGAACCGATTTGGAACTACTAGTAGTAAATAAAGAACCGTTATGAATCGAACCAGAAAGACCCATGGGTGGTGCCAGGAACAACATGCGGCAAGAATCGAGTCAGACATGAATCGTTCTTTTTCGAATCGAATCGCCACGAATTAGAAAAGCGTACCGATATGTACCGATATTTTACTGATGAAGCCCTCTGTGATGACCAAAGTTGAGTTTGCAGAAATCAACCCTCTGTGATATCTGTGATGACCTCTTTGGAGCCGGAGAATCTGATTACAAACATCAGTCGTACCTAGATGCATATGGAACCGGTATCTGTTGAACTGAAATAAGTCAAGAATCTCATATGTAAATCATTTGATGCTTTCATTGATATTTCTTTTAAGTTTAGGGATCTGAGGGGGGAAAGCAGGTCACATTTGCAAAGTGTCAAAAACTGCAAAAATGATTGCGGCGAAAAGAAACCTGGTGCCAGAACCGGCGGTGGCTTCGGCTTGGGAGGCCCTCTCGGTGACCCTTTGGGCGCCTCCCTTTCGTCCCTTGTTTCGTCTCTTGGGCTTGGAATTGCATCCCGTTTTCGACCCCAGAGCTGCGGGCTTGGCACCGCCTTTTTGGGGCTCGGCCGGGGCTGTGACAGCTGCCAATCTTCCTCCAGGGCTGGGAGAAAAATGGCATCCCGCAGCGGGATGTCAGGATGGCGCCCAGCTGCTTCTGCCTCTTTCCTTCGATCCAATTGCCGTGCTCGGTCTGCATGAGCCTGGTAGGCTCCTGGAGCTCTGGAATGTAGGGGCGGTAAAGTGCCACCATTCCTCTCCAAACCTGAGGGCTGCCAATGTATTTAAAGTAAGGGTTCAAGCCAACCAATAAGACCCAATGGTAAGACCCAATAAATGGGAAATTAAGAGAATGATGGGAATGGGAAGCAAAGAAAACGCCAGCGAAAGAGCGATGCCGGTGCTGCTTGGGTGAGTGGTGCTGCTTGGGTGACTGCACAAGCAGCAAGTGCTCAAATCAAACAAATCCCTTGCTACATTTGCTACTAGGAACGAATCTAGATCAATGAGACTATATACATGTTTAATTATTGAGATTGTTCGGGCACTGATTGATGCCCATAAACGCTGCAAATCTCTAAGATCTGTTCCATGTTCCAAGAGTAAGTGACCTCCGTGTCCGTGGTATCCTGCTTCGGAGCCAGCCAATAAACGCTTCCTCACTGACTCGGGTGTAGTGGACGCCGTGGATGCAGAGCCAATGGACGCCCCGGATTGCACTCCGCCATGCACCTTTTGCCGAGCACTTGCAGGGCCTTGCTTTCGACGTCTTTCACGATTCACACGAGCAAAAGCTCTGGCAGATTCTTCGAGCCTCAGAATGTATGGCGGCTTTTCAGGTGCCGCATTTGGATCCGCAGGCCGCGGCTTGCTCGGAGCACTAGGAGCACTAGGAGAACTTGTGGCACTTGCAGTTGGAGCAGCACTTGGGACACTGGGAGGTGGCCGCACTTTGGCACTGCGCTCGCTGCGCTCACTTCGCTCCTCCAGGATCTCCCGGGGTGTTTCGCGAGGGGTGACCTTTGGCACCTGCTGAGGGTTCATCGGTGTGCGCCTGTCCCACGTATCCCGTGGCTCTGGAGCTTTGGGCGCAGCTGACACGGCCTTGGGGCGCCTGGCCACATGGGCGTGGACGTCTGTTCTGGAGTAGGACTTCCCCACCAGCTGGTCATAGCCTTGATCCAAAGAAACCGACCTCCAATAACAAAAAGTTGGCGAAGCTCTCTCAAATCTCAAATGTATGCATATATTACTCTACCTCTCTCTCTCTCTCTCTCTGTCTCTCTCTCCCTCTCCCCCTGTCTTTCTTTCTTTCTTTCCTTCCCTCCTTGCTTCCTCTTCATTGCCTGCTTTCTTTTTTTTCTTTCCTTTACATGTCATACAATATGTATATACATTTTCACTTGTATAATCTTGCATGCCAGCAATGGATTTACTGGAGAAATCTTGCAATCGAGCAACATGCCTGGCACAGGTCATGATGGCACAAGCTGCAGTGGAATCGCCCCAGATCCAATATTCTGCTGCTACCACGGCAGCCAGGACGATCGCAATGCCACTCAAAATACGCAGCCTTTGTTAACTAAGTCACAAATGGAAACAGTCCCATTCTCACATCTGTACCAGTACATGAACTATCCTGTATGCCAGCGGGAAGCTTGACCAATCTTGAAAAGCGGATTTCTATCTCTACCCGTCGGCATCCACGAATCACACTCAACACTGCGGCAAGGTTACGTTGGCTGCAGCTGGGTGTGGATGAGCGATGCTGCCCATAGATTGCAAGCGGTGTCCCTTTGGACACCGTCCAGCCTGAGAGCAGGCTGGGGTGACAAATCATGTTGCTGATGCTCCCAGTGGCTCCGAATAGGCCAAGGCTGTCAGTGTCTGGGAGAACCCATCTCCCTCCCACTTCCTGTGCTGAACTTGACGAGGGAAAGGAAACTAGCATCAGAGGGGGGGGCTTGCAAAAGACACACCGCACCAGCAGCCAATCATCATCACTTTGTCCATGAACTGCCCCCAAGTAGACAGCGCATGAGCGCTGGGGAGCAGTAAACCACTCGCAGCAAACCACAGCAAGGAAGCTGCAGCCCAGACGAGAGCCGCGGAAACCACAACAACCCCAAAACCCAAAAGGGGGGGAACCAACCGAACCAACCACCCCGGAGCCACCCGAGGCACAAACGAATCCAGGCAGCCGAGCCACAAAAGGCACGAACGAACCCATCATATAGTGATATACAATATGCCACCAGGTTTTTGCAGCCGTGGACTTCAAAAAAACAGTGTGATTGACCGACTTGCTAAGCTGCTAGGCAAGCAACCATTCGGCTTCCCATATCATCGTGACTCCTGTCAGCTTTCTGCCACCGCTGGAATTTTTCAGATGGCTGGAACAGCAATTAGAGATGTTAGACATGGTTACACTTACACTACATCTATCCAGAGCTTCCTTCCGAATGAGTTGCAAATGAAATGCAATGCAATCTTGTACATGTATTTAATGTAATTACGTGATATAATGCATGTGTAAATGATTGCACATGTATCGGTTACCCACTCCTCCATGTCCCCAAAACTGTCGTAGAACCGTGCTGTTTGCCTTTTCAAATCTTTTCAGACAAGACTCCGATAGCAAGCAGCCTGAAGATCTTCCTCCTCGAACCATGGATCTGGTGTCGGGAGGCTTGGCTCACTATTTGTGCGTCGCACACGTCGGGTCGCTGCCTGTCTTCGCTTCCACAAAAGTCTTTGACTGCAGACTAGTGATTCGTGCAGGTGCTGCAACATACTGGCAACCATGTTACACCCCATCTTCTGATTATTTTCCCATATGTTCATATTTTCATATTTTACCCTATCAGAACCGTATGAATCTCATGAGCACCTGCCACTCAACTAACTCACATGGCAATGAAATCGGCGCCTTCACCGTCCCTTTCTGCAGCGGCTGTTTTTCCAGCTCTGCGATCTGCTCGCGGAGCTGACGATTCTCGCCCTCGAGCCCCAGGCAAGCCTCAAGCGCAGTGCTGGAGAATGGCGGCTGGGTAGGTTGGGTAGGGTTGCTGTAATTTGTTTGATATCACACGTTCTGGGCATTGGGAATATATGGGCATATCATCTCTCTTCATTCCATTCTTATGAAGTCATATATAGTTCCCTCCGTGGTTTTGACATGTTTTGACGCCTTGGCGAAGAGATGCGAAGAGTATATAATTTTCCAATGTCAATTTCAATGTCATTTTGTTTTGTTTCTTGATTACTTACTTCGATTCCTTGTAGGTGCCCCCGGTCCGTGGCTCTCTTCCACCGCTGGCCTTTTGTAAATTGGATACGCGTTGCTTCAATTCCTGGGTACCAAAAAAATTCACTCCGCATCAATGCACCATATGAATGAAGCAAAAGGGTTTGTTGATCTATGCTCTATTTATAAACGATTGAAGAATGGCCGCATAGGCCGCATAGGCCGCATAGGGCCAGACTCTTGACATCTCTTGACAGTCTCATCTGTATCATATGCGATCCATCTCTCTTCATTCCCTTCGAGGTTCTTGCAAATCACCCCTGGCAGATGCTCCGCTGACAGCTGCTCGAAGATATTCCACTTCTGCCTACGCACATGCTCCAGTCAGCTACAAGCGACAAGCTAAAAGGTTCTCGTGGGGCACAGGTGCAACCATGTGCAACCCAGGAGTGTGGACAGTTATCGATAGTTGTCGTGGTATGTTGTGGTTCAAACTGACCAACAAAAATAACAAAATCTGGTCTCAAGCTCCCAGCCATGCAGAAATCAGGTGCGCCTGGATCTGATTCTGTACCTCCTTGTGATCCATGGTGTCACCTTAGACGGTCTTTTTTTGTTTTTCATTTTTCCCACTAATGTCAAACGCGCTCAAACCAACAAAGCTTGGCCTGCGGGCACTTTCTAGTTTAGCTGTTTATCTGTCAAGTACAGTAAAATAAATGTAAAACACTACCTAGAATTGAAGTGACTTTGCATGACACCTGGACAGGTATACAGTGTCCAAATCCAGCCATTTGGCCATGAGTGCTGCAAGGTCACAAATGGTCGCCTTCATCTTTACACGTTTCACCTGAGGCACACAAGAACAGTCCGTGGTGACCCTGTCCTTGATGAAATTGTGGCTGCTATGGCTGCTCGCTGTCTGTGCCCCATGTTGATGTTTGGGCTGTCGTACGCTGGCGGAACATGTGGAAACCTATGGAAAGCTATAGAAGCTGGAAACTTGTATAAAATTGTATTATCATGTAATTAGTGTCATTCATAATACCTGTATTTAGCAGTGCGATGCAATGCGATAGGTTTCGTAGGTTTCAAGTGTGCTGAAGCTCCAACACCATCCCTGTTCACAGGGCTGAAGGCCTGGAACCATTCTATCATGGATACGTCCGATGACAGTCTGATTTAGTCGCTGTTGGGCTGTTGGGCAAATTACTGTATGTCCTTCCCTAGATCGCCATCTAATCTTATCTATCTTGCATCTTCTAATCAATAAGATTGACTGGACCTCGAGACATCTATATACAAAGACTTCAAACTGCGTCACTCGATCTGCAAAGCGCAATGTGCTCAGAGTCTGCATCTGATAGAGAACTGAGCCTCGCAATGAGCTGTCATGGACTCAAGAGTTCTCCCACCACTGCTCGCTTTACCCAGGGCCTCCTACATAAAACAATTTCAACACAATCTGTTGGAGACCCTTTACTGACCGTGCTTAGAAACGTACAGTGCAATTTTGCATCACATCCACATGTGCAGTTGAGCAAACGCTAGGTCTTAGCTAAGCCTTTGTGCACACCAATGATGGCATTGTGAATGCAACATTCTGGCAAAAAATGCAAGATTGAGCGGAGCAGCAACAAATAGTGCAAATCATCAGCGTGTAACTGTTGCCAGCAAGGCTATCTCGCAACCTAGGTGTCGGACCAAGAGACAGGTCACTGCGTCCGTGCAAAGGAAAGGGTCAGGTTGTGATGATCCTTCAAGAGACCACTATTGAAAATTGTTGAAAGTGCTTGAGGTATGCCAGGTATGCGGCCTGGAAAGAACCATGTGAAGCTTGAAATCATCACGCTGCCGACAACCTGTTTAGAAGTTGGACCACTCTCCAAAAAAAACAAACGCAATAGATCAACCGAGCCCATCCTCTGGTCGCAATTGACTATTTATGAAGCCGGCGAGAAGCAGAAGTGTCAATGTAGAGTCCCTGTAGGGCACGTGCCTGTCAACCTCGATGCCTCGCTTGTAGACAGGCGGCTTCGAGAGGGTCCTTGGTTTTGATGCGATGCAAAAGTGGTTCCTTTCCTTGCAGCCCACTGCCCTGGTGTGAAAGGAAAATATAAACAAAATCAAACGAACATATACAAGGATGTACAAGATGATTCCAGTGACATCGACTCATTGGGACATAGAGGGGCCACATGGAATCGTACAAAACATCAGAAACCATTTGCAGTGTCAGTACGAACATGTCCTTTGCCCGGTGACGTGGCTTTTCACAAGCTGAGAAGCTGCAAGCAGCTGCCCAAAATGTGCATGGACCGGTTGATTGTTGCCAACTCTCGAGCATGTTGAGGTGAGATCTGCGGGCCCGTCATAACCTCACCCGAGTACACAGCATGAACTGCTGTGGATATGGGTCATATTTCTCCATCGCCATTTCCAGTCATGCCGGTCATATTGAATCAAAGGACCCCCCCAAAGAATCTCGCCATTATTAACCATCAACAGATATCAACAGGATGTATTTGCGGTTTTGGATGATTTGCGCACGAACTTGGGCCAACAAAAAGTCGTTTGGAGCAGGTTGAGTCATAACTTGGTACAAGATGAACCCAGCAAAAATGGATGCCAAGAATGGGACTGACATATCTATGCAATTGAAACACGGGGCACATAGCACTAAAAATAGCTCAACATGGATATACACTGACAAGGAACGACGCAAAATCAATCAGCACAATTTAACATAGAATTCTACACACACACACATATATATATATACACCAGCAAAATACAGTAAATCTATGCGGCCCATATTACACACACACACATATATATATATTGAGTATAATATATATATATATATATATTATATAGATATTAGCTAGCCCCCCCAAAACCTACCTTTTGCTATCTTGTAGCCAGTAGCTTGCACTCGAAACATGATGCCTTGTGAAAACCTGTGTCTTTTCAGCAGATATGGTACAGGCAATTCGACATTTAAATCCACTTTGCAGCATGATTCTTGGCAAGTTTCAGCATGAACAAGTTGCAGAAGCAGGTTTGCAAGCCTCAGACGTGTTTGAACATTCTGTTGCTCGAGTCGCAAAAGTTCAGACGAAACAGCTTGCCTGCACAGTACGACGATCGTGCAGTTGCCTGCACACGACAAGGATGGCGTATGACCCTTGCACAGATGAAATACATTAGTTTGCATGACAGACAGCAGAAATAGATCTCCAGACAATAAGACGCATGAAGTGCGACTTCCTTTGTTTTCCGGCAAGACCGATCACGCCGACTGGATGAACTTAGTCATTTCCCATGAGCACGCCGACTGGATGAACTTAGTCATTTCCCATGAGCAAAGGGCTCCAGTGGCCACCCAAAGATCTTGGTTTCTATGCCCATACTCGTATTGCGCCGAACGGAGCTTCGCTCGTAGGGCAGCAGAGCCAGCACGACAGTTCTGGTTGATCTGGACCCGATCTTTCAAGAATCTCCAGGTTCTGTCAATCACCTGGGTGCCGGCCTTGCAACGGATAGATCCCTTTTTCCCTGGGACTTTGTGGGTAACAACCTTGACATAGTTCGGCTTCTTCCAGCGCCACTTCCCACCGACTTTCACTCGCTTCTTGCAATGCACCACATTGTCATGAAGCACCCCTGGGACATGGCACTTGTAGCTTTTTGTCGCGTCACTGTGGAGGATCAAAACTCGACTGCACACGCGCAGGCTTAAAGAGTTCTAAGGGTTCAATCCGAAGTCATCATCTCATCATCAGACTCGGACTTTGCTTGCATCTCTGCATTCTGTTGCTGTAAGAGGGCAATCTGCATGTCCTTATCCTTGATCTTTTCTTCTGCCTGATTTAGCTGAGCTTGGCACGCATGCAGAGCACTGAAGATGGACTCGAAATCTTCCTTTGCCTTGGTCAGTTCTGCGTCCTTCTCTTGCAGCTCGGTTTTCAATGGGCTCACTTGCATGGAATTGTCCTCAGAATCAGAAGAGGATGAGGATGAGTCGGAAGACGATGATTTGGCAACCTTTTCGTCAACGGTGGACTTCTTGTCTTCGATGGCTAGCACCTTTGCGTCTTTGAACTCCGTCTTGTCCTTTTTGTCCTCAATCGCCAAATCTTCGACAAGATGGGTTTGGCCAGCAGTGCCTCTAGACGTACTTGCGCGTGTGGGTTCCAGCCGCCACTGGCCCCACCTGGTAGAAGTAACATGCGTTGCACGTTGCCCATGGCATTGGTGATCATTTTTTTGGTGATAGGCTGGCGTGTAGGATGCACTTTGATGGTCCCCGCATCGATTTTGGCTTCGATGTTCTCAGTGGTGGGCCTACCCATTTTGACTTCTGCCTCAGGTGTTGGGTCTGGAAGAGTCAAAGTCAATGTTGCCTGACGTCCCTGTACTTCTACTTGTCTAGCCGAAGGAAAGGAGATCATGTTGCCAAGCTAGGAGGATTAGAACGGTCTAATCGGAAATGCTATATTTGAGATGCGCGCTCGGCCGCATAAGTATTTCAACCCCCCATGCTGGCTCCACGTCCACCTAAAATGATATTCTTAAGACTGCTCAACCTTTACAATATGAAATAGCAGCTCAACATTGTTTTAAATTAATATAAATTACACTTAAGACATGGTCAACCTTTTCAATATGACATGCTAGCTCAACATTATCACAAGTTATACTTAAGACATAGTCAAGTATTTCAACCTGATATGCTGGCTCAACGTGAAAGTAAATGACCTTTGCAATATGACATACTAGCTCAACATTAGTATGAATTATACTTAAGACATAGTCTGAAAGGAAGAAGAACTAAGAGGTCCTAGGATCTCCTTGGAACCAAGAACCAAGATTCCCCCAAAACTTTCTGTGCAATCTTGGTTCTTGGTTCTTGGTTCCAGTGAGGTCCTAGGACCTCCTAAGACCTCTTGATGCCAGAACCATCATGTCTCACAAGTTTGTCTACATCCACGGTTATATATATATGGTACTCCCCCTCGAAACTATGTCCAAATTTATTTAAAAAACGTAAAACATATCCCCCTAAAATATGCAAAAAAACACCGTAAATACAAGTAAACATAGTAAAAAGGTATGTTTTTTTTTTTGGGGGGGGGTACCATGTAAATGCACATCATATACACTTATATATAATATACAGCATCTATGTCACAATGAATATATAATAATATATAATGCTCATTATACTGATGAAATCTGATCAATATCAATAACATTCAATAACAATCATCAAAGACAACCCGCCAGGGCCGCCAGGGGGCCCATCGCTCATTGCCCGCCAGGTCCACCAGGCGTAGCTTGGACTCCCGGAGACGGTCGCCCAGCTGCTGCTGAACGGTGAGGGTCAGGATGCCTAACACGGCGAACACGGGTCATGATGCGATTTGGTGACACTTGTGAATTCTGTTTATTTATGGGTTTTAAAGAGTCATTTGTCATTTTTGAACATGGAGGGGGTTTTGGATTGTAGTGGATGATCTAGATATGTCTAGATTGTGATTAGGTTATTGACGGAGTAGAACGGACCATATATAGATGCTTTTTGAGGATTATCATATTTGCTCGGTGTTACTGGACATCCAACGAACACTCCTTGGGAAGAGGAAACCAATACCAATGTTTCTTTCATTTTCCACTGTGTTGTTTCAGCTAGGGTACAGTAAGTACCACTGCCTCGCACCAAGAAGAGCCCAAAGAGAGGAGTGGGGGTCTACATTTAAAGCCAGCTAAGCAATTCCTCAAACACTACTGCCTCACCTTAGCAGCGCCCCAACATTCAAAGCGACATAGAAAACCTGGAGGAAAATCAACACATCCTGAACTTGGTGGCCGTGGTGCAGTGAGCCCTGGATGACTGCTCGTTGTAGTTTGTCGACCGAAAGGCAACATTGGCAAAACCAAGAATCAGATATTCCAAGCATTCCTGCCAGACATGAATTCAGGATAATTCAGGTACATCCCTGGGTGTATCCCTGTGATGGGCCTATTGCTTGTGGTTGTGAAAGCCACCTCTATCTATCTATGTATCTATCTACCTGCCTGCTTGCCTGCTTGCCTGCTTGCCTGCTTGCCTGCTTGCCTGCCTACCTACCTACCTACCTATCCACCTACCTACCTATCTACCTACCCTATCTATCAATCGCTATCTATCTATCTAGCTGTCTGTCTGTCTGTCTATATCTATCTATCTATCTATCTATCTCTCTCTCTCCCCCTCCATCGTCATCCCGAAGGTTCAGCATCGGCTTTCACCCTCTACAGCATATAGTTCTCTTGGGAGGGCTCTGCAGCATGGAACTGAAGAACTCGAAAAACATCTAAGCAGCGATCGTTTGGGGCATAAATGTGGATGTTGGGATACAATTTCCTGCCCGAAAATGGAGCAACGTACGCTGTCTGGAATTAAGTATTCAAATTCTTTGGGCATCGCAGCTGTAAATTACAACTCTTTCTCTCTCTCTCTCTCTCTATCGCCTTATCAACAGGTTATTTCATATTATTTGGGGAGAGGGGCCTACCACTCCCCAAAAAGTCTCTGCTCCTACCGCTGTATCATGCTGTACCCATATCAGCATCCTCCACGTTGGTCACGACCACTTCAGTCAGATCCTCCAGAAATACATTGACATTCTGCCCAGGTTTCTTCTGACTATCCTCTCCTTAGTGCAGCAGCTCCGGACCCAACCCATAGGACCTTTTCACGACTGGCCGACTTGCCATTCCATGCCGGGGTATGCCGGGGCCTCAAGTCCAGAACTGGCCGAGCTGGACGGGGACTTGCAAAAACATCAACTATCACTAATTAGTTATAATTAGTTCGTATTAGTCACTAATCTCAGCAAGCCTCTCACTCGCAGAGGTTTGGTCGAAGCCGGTTGGAGAAGGTCATAGCACCTTTCTTGGTAGACCTGGACGTAATTCAAGCTAACTCGAGCCTGGCGGTGGCCGGGCGTAAAAAATGCAAACATATTGTAAAATGCTTGAACGAATCAAAACACAAGGGTGCCCTCACTCACCCATTCAATCACTCATACCGGTATACTTACTCACTCACTCAATCTCTGTCTCATGTGATCTTCGTTCAGGGTGTTATGCACTTGAATCCTTCAAACATCACTCTTTCTTTGAGGAAATTGTAGGCAGAAGCCTCCCAGGGGCTGCATATTTGTTGCTGAACACATCAGGATTTATCGAGGGCCAGCTCCTGTCCCACATGGGGTGCCTCCGGTACTTGCTTGAAGATCTGCTGCATAACTCGAACCTCGAATGGAACATGTGAACATGAGCACCAAGTGTCAGAACATGCCCGTGCTGTGCGACCACCTACACACATTCAAATAAAACCACATAAACATACATAAACCACTATGCAGATCTATGCATAACATCCACGAAGAGAACCATCTTGATTAATCAAGGATGATTGGGTGACGGATTTTCCCTTGACAGGCTCGAGCAATATTCGTTTCCCAAAGCTCTGAGGCACTACGACTCCTCGGTTGTTGTCCTTTCCGATGTGGCTGCTGGTTGGTGCTGCTGTTCCCTCGAAGGCAGATTCCATCAAGGTTGGACCTGCGCGATGGTGGCTTTCAGCCATCTCTCAGGATACCACTAAATACCTGACTTCTCATAGGTTATCCGTTATCATGATCTCACCATCATCTATCAACTGTCATCAGCTGTAATTATCCTCGGATCTCCTCCGGACATCCAGGCCTAGCATGGTATATGTTTTGCCTCAGTCGCGCTGGGCCGGCTGGGCCATGCTTCAACATCCGTAGAGAAATCCAAAGCAGCGACAGCTATCCATTTGCGACAAGAGGCCACTGCCAGTCATCCCATAGGTGAAAAGGGTGACGTTGTAACCGTCGAAAGCTTTGTTCACCAAAGGCACAACAGTCTCCCACACTTCCTGGTCAATGTTGGCAATCTGGCAACACTGTTGGCATGTGTTGGCATATGCCACATATTATGTCAACAAAGTGTCAACAAAGTGCGCAGAGATGCGCAGAGTGTGTATCAGGTCCAGCCTGCTGTCCAGATTGGATCCTCGGCATGGTACACATGGACGCATGGACACAGCAGAAGCATTTTTCCCATGCCGAACACATAGGGAATCCATACAGAACACATACGATCACACTCTTGACTAAAGAGGGACTATCGTTAGAACATGCTAGAACAAGCCTATTGGCCATGTCATCGCGGTCTTGAACTGATCTGACTCATCACTATTATTACCATACTGTCACCTTTTCTTGGTAAAAAATGGTGAACATATATTACAATATTTAATTACAGTATGTCGAAGTCGTCGATGTGCCTGTGCACGAGTAGCCTTTCTTCCACCTACTGACTACTGACCCCCTGAATCTACTGAATAGAAGCCAAGTATCCCCAACACCTTGTCATATTGGCATTCAATGGCCTTTGTGCGCTTGTCACCCGCAGGTGCCAGGGTCTCCGTTGTCAGGACAACCTTCTTGCCTTCCGTCCTTGGAGGGTACTGTACTGTATTGGTGCTGTCTCGACGGTTTGAATAGGCTACAGGAAGTGGGCCAATGCTGCAAGATGCTGCAAGACTTTTTCACCAAGATGTCTAGCGGCTCGCTAGCCGATTTTAGAAGAATGGCTCAACCTCAACACTAATTTTTGGAAATTGGCGCCTGTTTGCCACAAAGCATGCTACCCTTTGGAAACAAGACATGTCAAAGCTGTACTGCTCTTGAAAGCATCCGCGCACAGTGGCCATACGATGCTTCCGTAGGCAAGGGGGGGCGAGCTCGCACCAGAACTGACGCGAAGGAGGCACCACCGGCAGAACTTCTCATCTCATCCTTGCTACAGCCCTTTGTTCTTGGGCCACAGAAGCTGCGAGAACACGTGCTTGGCAAAGGGTGGGAAATATGTAAACCCAGTTTCTTGAGTGGTGACACGCAAGTGCGCTAAACGAACATTCTTGATCTTGCGGGAAAGACTGAAACTTAATTATTGCAAGTTTAGAAATGCAACAATAGGTGAGATAGGTGAGTGAGTACTGGCTAGGGGGGTCCATGGACACTTGATGCCTCTAGTTTTTGCCAATCTCATTGTAGTTGCAAGGGTTCAGAACCACCGCGGCTGTGCTTCACTCACCAAGAATGCAGGAACATTTCCAGCCAAAGCTATCTTCTTAAAAATGCCTGCCTGGTCATCATAGGAGAAGCCAGCCTGTTCCACAAGCAACGTCACCATTGCATCTACTGATGAAATGCCTCTGAATGGGTGCAATACAGGATGTATACATATGTAAGTACGTACATATGATATGCACACACACATAATACACATTTAATTATTTTTTATATTATGTACTAGTTGGCTGGGGTGTAGAAGGCCGCGTAATGAAACAGTGTGCGTGAGCTCATTTTTTGGAATTTTTGTGCGTCTCGACTCAACAAAATGCATTCTATTTCAATTTTATTTTTGTGTCCTTTTTCGCCGTTTGAGGGGGTTGGGCTGGGGTGGTAATAACGTCAATTGGATTTGCACACACACACATACACATGTCGTGCTACGCTACTGGACGTTCTCTTGCACTTCCACACGCGCACACACACACACGTGCGCAATGCTACGCTACTGGATGTTCTCTTGCACTTGCACACACACACAGACACGTCATGCTACACTACTGGGCATTTTCTTTTTGCATTTTTTGCACTTGCACACAGGCGTCATGCTACGCTACTGGACATTCTCTTGCATTTGCACACAGACGTCATGCTACGCTACTGGACGTTCTCTTGCACTTGCACACAAACGTCATGCTACGCTACTGGATGTTCTCTTGCACTTCCACACGCACACACACGTCATGCTATGCTACTGGGCATTTTTTTTTGCATTTTTTGCACTTGCACACAGGCGTCATGCTACGCTACTGGACATTCTTTTGCATTTGCACACAGACGTCATGCTACGCTACTGGACGTTCTCTTGCACTTGCACACAGACGTCATGCTACGCTACTGGATGTTCTCTTGCACTTCCACACACACACACGTCATGCTATGCTACTGGACATTCTCTTGATGTAATGATGGGACTTTGTAACGCATTCTCACTTAGTGATATCAGTGAAACATGATCAATATAATATATATATATATAATATATAATAAAATATTATATATATACCGGATGGAAAAACAGCATGCCTGTCAGCAGACAAAGAAACACATTTGACAGTCAAAAGAGAAGTACAGGAAAGCGCGAAACTCATGCCTAAGTCACGCCTGTGTGCTGAAAATCTGCTTTCCCCCATCTAAATGCAATTTCCAGGAAGTCATGCCTATGTCATGCCCGCAACCCAAATCACCATCTAAATGCAGCAGAAACCTTTGCTTCATTTTGATTAACTGATACCAGTAGTACCGCACAAGGCGGTGGCGGAAGTTTCAAAAATAGTAGCCTGTAGGAAGTGTTGGGTTTTTGAGTTGCATGGGCGGCAGAGCAAGCCGCTCATGGATCGTTTTTGATAATGGTTTGTTGTGAAATGAATAGTGAATCTGACAGTGAAGTGTGAGATACGGGATATGATATATACTGGAAAAAAAACGACGTCAGAACGACGTCCGAACGACGTCCAAGCGACGTCAACTCATTCCCTAGGAAAGGCCACTCCCCACATGATGGCTGAACAACATGAGGCTCCTAGTACGTTCCAGTAATACAACGGAAGACATGGCTACTCAAAACACCAACTAAATGCAACGACCAAGTCTTAAGTAACTCAGATGTGAAGTCTTTGCCCAACATCAAAACACCAACTAAATGCAACGACCAAGTCTTAAGTAAGTCAGATGTGAAATCTTTTCCCAACATCAAAACACCAACTAAATGCAACGACCAAGTCTTAAGTAACTCAGATGTGAAGTCTTTGCCCAACATGCTGAACACCAACTGAATGCAGGATTTATATAAAATCATGGATCCGATCATGAAAACCAGAAAATCATGCATTTCCTATGCGTTTCACAAAAAGGCACGACTTTTCAAAATCAAGTGCTCCGAAGCTATTTTCAACGATTCCCACTAATCTAGGCACGACTTTAGCAACTCTCTGTAGTTGTTTTAAACTACTGTATATACAAAAGAGACCACGGACAAAAAGTACTATGCAATTTTTTGTCCTACATTTCCATTTCGCGTGGCCAACGTAAGGATTTTGCTACTTGACAACTGGTCAAAGTGCTTCAAGATGACATGAAAGTGTACGAAACCATACGGCCATCTATCAGCGCCGGACCATGTCGTTTGGCCACCTTATAACCATGTCTAAATGTGTCTAACTTCCCTACGACCTGATGCTGAGGACCAAACCCACTGCTCCAAGTTCCCGCCAAAGCGCCTGGACACCTGTCGAAAGGCAGTCCAGAGTCGGTCCACTGGATGCTTTGGCCAGTTGTAAACGTGTGCGTAGATACCGTATATATGTATTGTATATCTATTGAACTGTTTGTGTGTATGCAGTATACACACTGCATGCGTGCATATATATATATACACATAACATTTAAAAATAAATGTAAATATATACGTATATATTCATTATATCATAATGAATGAACCTGCGTGCTATATTCATACATAATCATGTTGCGTATAAGTACGTGCCTACTCATGCACACACACAGATATATATATATTCTTCCGACTCCTCACGCATATATGACATGAAAGAAAATGCAAGCAAAAGTAACTGTAAGGATCATAACCTACAGTGGACTATCTTGAATATGTGCATGGTACACATGCCTAGTACAGATATACGTCGACGCAATCATGCGCAAACGTGCACACGCACACACACAGTCACACATGTACATATACGTATCTAATATACATGAACCGCCGTCAAAATCAATGATCTACGCCGCTACGCCTGATGCAAAAATACAGGTAACCTGACCTGTAACCTTCTTGTTTTTTTTGGCCCTATTGCTTTACAGTGTTGTGTCCAAATCAACACTAAATAATAATACAACATGCAGCGGAATTAGTTTCATGAAAGATTTCCAAATTCAGTGTTGTGACTAGGTCAACTGCCAAAGTTTCCCTCCTTTTTCCTTTTTTTGTTTTCTTTTGCAAAAATCTCTCATTCCTGTTTTTTTTTCCTATAGCTACAGTAAGAGGCACATAGCCTAATCATTTTGGAAAAAGATGCCAATGTGGTCAAAGGAGTCTATCATGTCTATCCCTTGTCCGGGATCCCTTTTTCCACAATCGGTTATCGCTAAGGTTGTCGCTAATTTAGAACACCTTGATGACCAAGAAAGGAAAAGAAGAAGACCGTGGAACAACAAAGAACACTTAAAAAATAAACGGATGAAAAAGGGGGGAAAACAAGAAGAAAAAAAAGGAAGAAGAACGGATAGTTTGAATCAAGAGGACATATACGGAATCCAGAATTGATTTTACAATGTTTTACAATATTTTACAATTAATTTGAATTTAACTCAGAATTAATATCAATTTGCATTTAGTTTCAAAACAAAAAGGAACAAGGAAATAAAGAACCAGAAAAGGACACAAAGGAAGAAGAACGGACAAATTGAATAAACTAAAGAGGACATATACATCATTCAGAATTAGATCTGTGAAAGTTATATCATATTGTTTTCTTTCAGAATTAAATTGAATTTAGTTTTATAATGGTAAGAAGCCAACGGACAAGTTAAACAATCGGAAACAAACGGAACAATAAAGGACAAGGGAAAGGACCAGAACCGAAAAAACTGAAAGTGATAGGGAAAAAAAGGAAGACAAGGAAAATGGAAGGACGATAAATAGAAAGAAGGGGAAAAGGAAGGCAAACAAGAAAAGGCATAAATAGCACATGTTTGTGCTATGTATGTTTCAGGATTATCGTGTTTTTTTCGGTGCCCTGTAGCTTCACAGTGTTTGATGCTCGTTCCATGATTTGTTTCTCTCCTTTTTCAAAATGGTCTACGCTGATTTCGACCGCACCTCACAGATATTTAAATTAATATTATAATCGATTATAATTGTATGATATACATAGTAAAACATAGACAATCACAGACGCAGAGTTTTTTGAAATAAATAAATAAATAAATAGATAAATATAAAAATATATATATATTTTATACGTATATATATATATATATTTCCGGAAGGACCGTAGTTTCAAGACCGAAGACATCCACCGATATCACCGTCACCACCATGACCATCCAGCATCATCCAGCGGCCTCTTCCAGCAACTGGGTGTTCGCTTCCAGGAGTGCCTGGTTCTCTTCCTCTTGCTGGTGAAGGCCAAGCCTTGCGGCTATGCTGGCGACATCCAAATCGTCAACTGCTGTTGCCAAATCTACGGCCTCGAGGAACAGCATGGAACAGCAAACCCAGAAACAGTCAGAAAGCATCAGAAACCCAGTTTGACACGGAGTCAGAGGTAGAAAATAGGGGAGGAATTCATGATCTGGCCGAAGAGCGTGAGCAACTCAACTTCGCTTTCGCCTTTGATCCTTTGCCTTGGAAATTGTGGAAGGGAAAGGAATGGAAAGGATAAAACAAAACCCATCCTGGCTCAATTTGACCTCTTGAGTATGGATGAGGTCCAATTTGATGCAATCTGAATCACACCATGGGTGAAACATGGTGAAACTGGCTCAGTCTCATCCAAAATCTGCAGTAAGCAAACCATATCCATATCATATCATAACTTTCAGGATCTTTTATACTTATGACTTCCTATGCATTTTGCATCATTTTGCATGAGTCTGTTGGAGCTCAGGCAGGCACTCGTCAAGTTGCTGCAAAGTCTCTAGCTGAAGCTTCAAATGCTCCTCCTGTCGCTAGGAGAAACACCACTCCCGTGGAGTATCTATAATTCAACATAGTTCAACACACCTGACAGCCATCAGCTGGGCATCCCATGGCATCCCGACAGCTTGGTAAAAAACCCCTGGTGAAACCACCCGTCCTGGTAGAGCAGTTTATCCTTCGTTGCCTTGATCCGTTCCTGTCAAGTTTCATTGGCACGGAGGGAATTCCCATGAATTCCCTGGAAAATTTGTGATCAACACCATCCAACAGCTACTGGATTTATAGGATGCATGTCTTCATCTTCAAGTTTGCCAGATACCCAACTTGCATCGCTCATTGACCGACCGAACTTCTCCAACTTGGCTTCAGGTGAGCAATCACACCGCCGGGCACTGGGCCTTCATCTTTCCCAGCTCCAGTCGAAGCTCCTCCCACTTGAGGTCTTGGCTTGACATGTCAGTGAGGTAAAAAGATGCATTCTGATACATTCAACGCCAGTCAACCCTCAGCATATGATTCAGCTTGATTCACATCAATGTCCGTCCAACAATTGCATCAATTTCACATAATTTCACAGTATTCGGATACTATTCAGATACTATTCAGATCTATTCAGACTCATCTTCTGTGCCCTTTCTCATCCTTTCAAGAATTTCTGAAGGTTGGTGAAGTTGGACATTCCGTGGGCACCGGGCACCATCCGTGCACCTCCTCTTGCCGGCGATGACGTCGAGCCAGGCCTTGTGCCTGACCGCTTCACCCGTGATACGGCCCATGATACTCCATTATACGAGTCATCATATGAGTTCTACCGTTCAGTATTGTCATTTAGTACTATTTACTACCTGGTTACTACCTTCACATAAACGATACAGTACATATGTCTATATATGGTATGTACGTCCACAGCCGATATTTCAGCCAAAGGGAGCGCAGCATATATCTAGCATGCAACCCCCCATCACCTCCCCATCAGTGAAGCCCACACGCCTTGACCAACTCGCTGCTCATTTCTTGCAGTGACTCCTGCCACAACTTTTTGGCTGTTGCAAGTGAGGGGTGAAGCATAGAAACACCATCAAAGTCATCAAACAAATTGGATCAAATTGGACCAAATCGGATCAACTTATGGCATCTACTGCGACAGCGGTAAAGAATGGTAACAGTTCCTGACTTTCTACCAGCCTTTGAGCCGCAGAATCGGCTTTGCAGCCCCGCTGTCCTCCAAGGCTGCATCTGCCTTTGCGCCGACTCAACTTAAATGGATGGGAGGCCCAGGATGCTGATGCCAATTTCCTGATCTGTAGATCCTCATAGATCCTCCCTAGTTGGTACATCTGTTAACTCTTCCACTCCTTGACATCCAAATGCAAGGCACTGAAAGCCATCTAGTACCCATGAATCAGATTCCTTGCTGCCCATATTCTGGACATCGACCCGGTGAACTCTGGGCACATGAGCTAACATCCTGGAAGCGATCCCAAAAACACTCCGCCGCCGAAAGGTGGAGAATATCACAGTTGTAATTGTATGTAATTACATAACAGTATATGATATGATATGATATTATATGTATAATGCAGGAATAATGCAGGAATAGATAATATACCAAAAGGTGTAATAATATTATTTAGGTTTATTTAGTAGTAACATGCAATGACAAGGATTGGCCTTGCAATTTTGTGTTGCTCCTGTGAGACATAAAGCACGCAGCATAAAATACTCATAGCACTTGAGAGCCCCCACATTCCCATCGCTGCCTGAAAACCAAATCGGATCCCAGGTGACCCTGACTTGTCTGGCTCTCGTGATCGGTATCGCAGGCTGTTTAGAAGAGCTGCATACAACCAATACAAGGCGTCATTGTGATAATGTGTTGATCCCAGAATCAGTGGAACACCTCTAGAAACATGTTGTAGCATGTTCGAGTTCCGGGCTCAAGGATCGGATCTGTGACTCTTGCCTGCCCAAAGCATCCCAAAGCCACAATTGAAACCAGATAGTGAAAGTTCTGACGCTGTATGTGCTGCATGTGCGCAAATTTACTGGATTCATGAATGCCAATGCCTTGCATGGTGTTGGATATGTGAAGGCTCGTCTCTTGGTGCTAATCAATCCTTGCCAATGTCAACAGTCACAACTGGATGAGAAGTCTCGCAGGGTCAGCGGGAACGCTGCGGAACGCTTGTTTTATCTGCCGTGCCGGAACACATGTCGTTGCCGCTGCTGCAGGGGTCAGACCCAATCTGTTAATCTCACCAAAGAATGAGTTGATCATGACCTTGCTGACGAACCCAAGGGTTTGTCTGAAAATAGGCTACCCCCAAACTTGATGCGGTGGGTGGCGTTTTCTGCCGATGCTGCATTTGCCTCTGCACCCTGGTGACATTTCAGAGCAAGAATCTCTATAAATGATAACATAAATATATAATGTAAAATATATGTATACATATTCCCCGCGCGCACATATGTCTGTATATATATAAATATGTATGTCCAATGTCTATGTCTATGCTGCAGAACTGGTCTAAACACTGTTGTGGAGCCTATCACTGCTGTAGGATCTGTAGGTGATTCAGCAGTGTCATTGCCAGAAGGGGCCCATAATCTGCCTGGATTTGTCAACACTTCAGGATGAGCAGGAGCTGCGTATTAGTCCCGCCCCATATTCAAGGGCTATAGGTGAGACTGCTCTTCAAAACACACCTCGCAGGAGTCTCAAATGGACCCAGTCCGTGTTCCAAAAAGAACCACATAAGAGACATATTTCATCCTATTTTGATCCTGTTGCCTCGAAAACTTACAGAAAAGTGGTGATGCCTTTATATCCTTATTTTTTTTAAATGAATATATATATATATTATTTATGCATATATTACAAATTTTTCAAACCCGGATCAAAAATTTGCAACTCCTGACCTGCTGAGCTACATGAGGTGTCTCTGAATTCGCAGACAAGTTCAAGCTCTGTCCCGATGTCCGCCGCCTGATGGGTCAATCGATTGACCGCATGATGCCGCGTGCATTGGATTAGCCGAAGAGTTGGGGTGCCACCCACACACCAAAAAATGACTATCACTATGCAAATGATACAGTAAAGTGCCAAAGTGCATTTCAGTTCAATCTGTCTGAAATGTTTGAACTCATGAACTACTTGATATCGAAGGATAAAAACATGTATCAGGGATCATGCTGAAACCCTGATGGACACCAATGGACAGCAGGCTATACTCACCATATCGACGGATTCATGGATCATCATGATTCCATTGACTTCTCAAGATATTGATGGATGTAGGAATGGGTGGGTGTGGATGGATGTGCCTTGATTTTGAAAGGAATCCTATGGATATGTACCAAATTGTAGCAAAAATGAATATATAATAATCTCCAGTCAACCAAATAATACAACAGAATTTGTAACATATTACAACCGTACAACATCATATGACCATCTATCTTTACCAATCACTGGTGATATTTTTCATAGCTCCCATGTCAACAGCGGGTTCACCATCCCCAGTTCCCTGGCGGGAACCTCCTTAGGCGTCCAGCATGTTGCTGCGCGAGGACATCGTTGACCAAGCCCTGGAGCTTACAAACGCAGGGACGATGAGGGACTGGGAGCAAGAAAATCACCCGGAAAATCCTGCAAACCCAAAGGAATTCAATATAATCATTATACACACACACATAAATCATCATACAAATATATATGTATATTTATACACAATTGCATATGTACATGTAAATATGTGATATTATATATATACGTCATATAGTAATAATCAATCCAGAAATTCATTCAACAGGTGATCACTGGGTTCCAATAGGACACTTCCAGTGGCTTCATGGCCTGCTGCGTGTCGGACTTCTTGGACTTCGAAGACTTTCGCCGCCCACCTGGGGATGGAAAAATGTGATCCATCCCATAGTGGAAATATCCTTACCATGGCTAAAGATAATTAATGATAATTATATATAAATATATATTATTAATATTCATTAATATATATATATTTATCTATATTATATCATTAATTTACTCAATCATTATCATTATATATCAATCTTTTGATCGCACATATGTAGAGAACAGGAAAAAATTATTGGATTCAAGAGTCTATGGCAAGGTGATCTAAAGGTCTTCAACAGTTGCATCAGTTTTGTGTTACACTGTTACACGCTTGTTTCACCTCACGGAAGGAGTCTTGAAGTTTTACGCTTCATTTTTCCAAGCAAATTCTGACAGTTTCCAAGGAACTTCTCAGTTTCTGCATGTTTATGAAAATGTGAGCCCTCAAATATCCTCAAATCTCCATTGCGCTGTCCAAAGGATCGAAGAACTTCTACTCTGCTGTGGCTGGTCACCACCCGGCCTGACTTTCCACCTGCGCTGGTGGCTCTTTGATGTCCACACATGTCGGACCTCCGTGCTTGTGCACCCCAGTGTAGGTCCTGTCGTGATGCCGCTGGCACCACTGGTTTGCAAAGGTTGGGACAGGCTTCGGATACCAAAATGCTGCCAGCTGAGTTCAATCTCACTATATCTCACTATAGTCTAGACAGGAACGTGTCTCTGACTTGCGCAGCACCCGCTGACTGGTGATTTGAAAACACGGCCGTTGATACAGTCTTGGTGGAAAAGCAAAGGCCCTCGCACAATTTGTGATGCCCAAACATTGGTACATTTCATGGCATGCCATCTTGAAACTCTGAATTTTCAATTACATCAGCAAAATAACTGCTGACCCTTCTTGATTAATTAATTACGCATGATACTGTGTTCCAGCATGTTCCAGCGAACCAGCTGCTTTCAGCATGGTCTCTGGTTTCACCTGTGGCCATCTACCGCCGCTAGGTCCTATCACAACAATGACGCTCCTGTTTTTCTGACTGATACCTGACTAGTGTCTGGCGAGTTGTATATTTAATATATATATATATATATTCACACACTACAACACATGAGTTGTCACCAGGACTTGTTACCTTTTGTTCAGATTCTGTTCACGCAGTGGCCGTCAGGTCTTCAATGCCCCGTATATCCCACCATGCTGGGCCTGGAATCATAGAAAAAGCGCTCCGGGCCGTATCTGAAATCCTCCAAATTCGCTTTGGAGGACCGCGCGCCTTGTGGTGCGAATCGCTGTGACATGCTGTGACTATGGTTTCACTCTGCTCGCTCATGGAAATGCACATACGTTCAATATAGTTCAATATAGTTCAATTGCTTGACATAGACCAGGTTCAACCATGGCTATAAGTTGATAAGTTGGTCAAGAAAATTGGCAACTTCACTTGACATATCTTGACATCCTTCATTCGCACGTCTCCTGCAAGTATCCGATCGGATCACGTCAAATTATGTCAGCACACCGCCGTCGCAGTCTTGCAATACCCAGCTGCTCTGTGGCGTCTCTGTTTTCCGTCTTGGAGAAACCTCGCCAAGACATGCCGAAAAGCGGTCAAGATTCAATCTGCCAAAGGCATGGCCGCAGCTGCACCTTCACATATATGTACAAATTCACTATGTAATATTTTTGTACGGACATGTCGCAGATCGCAAGTCCACCAAAAGCTGATAATCTTATTCAATCTTACCATTGCATGCTAATAGCGATCTTTAACCTTGGTGGCCCGTTTGTCCGCTGACCTCGTCGCCCTGCGTACTTGCCATGGATGCAATTGAAACTCGAGATGCTCGCGAAGCCATCGCAGTTGACCGCGGATCCTGGGGCCATTACCGAAAAATTGTGAAACCGAGATGATCCAGGCACATACATCAATACATCATCATGATGACACATTTGAAGTCGTAAGCAATCAGCTGCATGTACAAAACACACAAACAGACTTTGCGTCATTAGGTCTTTGATGCTTCTGAAGGTGCTCAAGTTTTTCGGTCGGTTCCGCGATGGTTCCCCGATCCTCCGAACGCAGACTTCGCAAACTTGCGAATGACGCGCGTGACATGGAGTTCGCTCGTCCAAATGGCAGCTCCTGAGACAGTGAAGCCACCGGCCCTCAAAAGTCTTCAAAAGGTTGTCATACAGGGCACTCCAATCCAAGACACCCAAAAAGCCCAAAATATCCCAATGTGGGGTGAAATTAGTTCTTTTCAAGTATGCCAAAGGCTAGTGAAATATCTTTTGCTTGTGACTAATGTATACGACATCAAATACACCCATCAAAGGAAATTTAGTTGGAAAACCCCCCAATATTCCCCAATCACACCATCATGTCAACCACATCATCCATGTCCACTGAGATCTGGAGCAGTTGAGGTCCGGCAGTGCCCCAGCAGTGCCCAATAAGATCTGCACCACCGCACCAGCAATGCGAAAACCTCACCCAGTGCCAAACACCACCATGACAAGTCACGCCGCTTTGAGAAACCTTGGATGCAGTTCAAAATCTGGCATGCAGCAGCTCTCAAGGAGCAGTCAAGCCATTTATTGTCATAAGAACTGACGTGAACTCGTGAATTTCTGTACATTTTCACCTGTGGCTTGTGCCGCTACAGGAACTCGAGGTGTACATCCTCTTATATTCTGTACCTTCCTGGCGCACTCTACAGTGGAATGCATCCGTTTATTTCTTGTCCCAAAAGGAAAGATGGTCAGCAAAAGAAACTCGGGTGATTCGCTAAGCCTTGCTTGTTACACTGTTCCTCCTGCTCCTCATCAAACATCAATAGTGCCAATAAATTCGACAACCGGCAGCCATACCATACAGAATGACACACAATCAAGTGCTGTTTGTAGGACTTACTGCACTGCAGTGGACTCATGGGGACACATTTCCAGCCATGAGCTGTATCATCTGTCAACAAAACATACCATGCATGACAGCAAGGGCGAGGTACCATGGATCCGCGCGGGCTTCTGGCACTCCTCGGCGAAGCCTCTGAATCCCTGCAGTGAGTCATTGGTCAAACACTTGGGCATCAGGATTGCAATTCAGGAGTCTTTGCCAAAAATTGCTTGTAGCCATGGTTCCTGGGACATGCAGTGGATAATGACTCAACATGATCCAGCCACATTCTACAAGAATGCAGTGCTTCTTTTGATGCACTAAAGAGTAGGAGTGGCATATGACTGCACACCCCGGAGTACGCGCCCAACATTGCTCAACAACACCTTGATATAGCTTCACTTTCCTTGTGGCATCTTGGGACTTTCCTTGCCTGCGAACCATTTGACTCAAATCCTTGGCGCCATCTGCGGTGGAAGGCCCTCCCAATCGATGTGAACCTGGGAGGCCGGCATAGCCATGCCCGGCCATGCTCCAAGGATTCCGACAGAGCCACAACGAAATCTTTCTATGACTTGTAGGACAGTTATATATGTGCTAATAAAGGGTTATATCAGTTGTATCATATTACATTCTCAACACTATCTCATTGTTCATGTTTGTGTGCATCTATGCACCACTTTCACCGGGCATTCTCGCACAGTACAACACACATCTTCTTCCAAAACATGTCGTCTAGAGTCTATAGTCTATAGCTACAAAAATATCATTGAAAGAACTTGCTGCCAACATCCAATAGCCGATAGTCACATACAAACTGAAGGCATAGTCCCCTGCCTGTATAGGTCTGCTGGTCGTAGAAGAAGCGTTCTGGCCCATAGCCTCGCGATGAACCGTTGAAGGAAACAACTCACAATATCCAACAATCCATGTGCGTACATAAGCAAATAAGAGGGGGAGAAAAGAATCCAGATGGTATCCCGAATTCCCCAACAGCGTGACAGCAGCTTATCAATTTCAACCCTACGATCCGACAAGAACCACCACACCGAACCAGACCCCCAAGCTCATGCTGTTGAGCAACAAGAACACACATAAATGTTTATTGCATATACTGTAACATTATGATTAATGAATTATAGTAATATGCATATACATGCACATACATAATCATACGTAATTCCACACACACACATATAATATAAATATCAGGTATTGAATTATGTATATATATATACATAAATACATGACCCAGAGCCCAAGAGCTTCCAAGACAAATCAGACCTCCGAAATCGAGCTGACAAGGCTTCCACACATATATTCCGATCGAGCTATCATCAGCTTGATTTCACGCAGTCCCCCGAGTCGATGCAATGCCAAGTGGCGCGGAGACCTTTCGGAGCCAGGCGTCTCGCTTTCATGCCCCAGCCCCAGTGTGTGCCTTCGGGCACTACCTTGCAGGCTTGAATGCTGAGGATGATTCAGTCTTAGAAGATCCCAGACATCTAGAAGATCGTAGAAAATCTTAGAAGATCGTAGAAGATCTTGGAACATTGTGGATCAGTATGGCATATCTTTGCCATTCTTTGAGGAAATGCGGGGACATCCGATCAAAATTCCACATTTGCCAAGGCGCTACTGGCAGAGGAGGAACGACTCCGGAAGGACACGAAAGAGGTCGCACGCTCTGGGCAGAATGGATCGGGCTGTGCTTAGGGCATTGAATTGGCGGGCTGTGCTTAGGGCATCGAATTGGCGATGCAGAGTTGCAGTTCTTTGTCAACCATATGCACTAGTTTCATCTAGTTTCTGTTTTCACGTGGTGGATCTTGGTGAAATGTCTGTGGCAGGCTGAACATCTTGGGACATATTTTGCAACGATAAACACATACAGCAACAAGAAACAATACGGGAACATAACACATACAGTACACTGATGGGTGGGACCATGGTGGGACCTCGTGGATAACATCTTCCATCATCTTCCCAATCTGAATCGCACGATGGCTTCAATATGCTTCAATGGCTTCAATGATTGGTTTCAATGGTTTGGCTGCTGTCTTGTTCATAGAAAACTGTTTTAACTTCTTGTACCAAGATGCTTCGCGCAGACACCGGAGTCGCAGGTGATGTTCCATGTGCAGCGTCCCGAACAATCTGGGAGACTTGGTCCTGGTATCATGCCGTGTCTTCGACGGGCTTGCTGCCAGCGCCCTAAACACCACGCCAGGCAAACACGTAGACATAGAATGTAACTTCTCACACACAACACAATATGTACGGCACTCATCGGTACTCCAAGACAACGAAGCTGAATCAAGGACATATTTCTGGTATTTTCTGGTGAACGGCAACGCCTTCTCCACTACGGTGGGAGGGCCATTTCGATGAACACCAGTATAGCCTGAGCTGCCCGCAATAAGAAACATGCAATGTCAAACAAATCCGTAGTCGTAGTGGAATGAATCTATCATTTTCATGTGCGAATGCCCAAAGGCACCTCAAGCAATCTACTGAACCCAGTCTAATCTGCAGTTCAAAATTATTTATTATATTTTATTATAGCATATATCTAGCTAGAATATGCTGGAACAACAAAGATAAAACAGGATACAGTACAACATTGAATCCACTACAGCCTCCTGTGCCTATGGTCAAGTGACTGCGCTGGTCGTAGAAAAACCGCTCCGGGCCATACCTCACGGCCCAACGCGGTTTTTAAAGACACGCTTTGGGCGGAAGGGCCTAAAGCTATCTAAAGTTGAATCTAAAGGCTATATTCGGTATAATATATATATAAAATAATGTATACATACGGATACATACGGTATATAAAGGGCCTAAGGTTGGTGCGTCTTGCGATGATTTGCGATGTCTTGCGTCTCCCACAGCCTCTGCTTCTCCTTTGGAGACATCTCTGTTTCTGTGGTGGCAGCCGCATAGCCTGCGCACATCTGCGCACCCTATTCATAGATCGATGTAAAACTATATGTATATAATCTGTATATACATGAATATAATTCATTATATACCCAATCACTCTGGCCTTGAAATGTTCAATGTCAAATTCCCTCGACCCAAAGAGGGGGTTTGATAGAAACAAATCAAACCCAGCAAACGACGCCCTTCAATGCATTGGTTTGGTCCCTTTGGTGCAAATATGTTTTTCAAGCAGTGTATTCTTCTGCTTACACAAAATCGCCATGTCAGTCACTCATGTCACTCTGAGGCTGCACCTTGCTGCTTGCTTTGTAGCAGCTCTTGGGCTGATGAAATGGAGGTCCTGAATCACAGGGTGATCAGGCTGGACAGGAAGTTCGCGATTTAATCCAATTCCCAAAGTCAACTTTCTCACAACATTTGGTTTCGATAATCTGCATGGTTTGAGCCTATTTTAATAGCCTCACCGCAAAATATCAAAATCACCCGAAACATCCCGAAACCCTAACCATCCCTAAGGCCTAGCACGCTCCACTGCTGAAGGCGATGAGTACCCTTCGCCGACCTCATATTCCAAAACTGGTTTCCAGATGTTTCCAGCGCCCGCAGATTCCCTCTCCTCCATGGCCAAATCGGTTTACGTCTGCCCTTCCCTCTGCCCCAAGTAGACGTCAAAGCACTGCACCAGGGAGTGTTTGAACTTGTTGCGCCTAAAGGGTGCACCAAAGTGGCAGGGCATTTCACTTACCTTGTCTCACCCAAGTCCCCCCTCCCAACGAGAAATGTGTCGTGAGAGAGTCTGAAAATACAAAAGGTGGAAGAAATCAAAGAGAACTACAGGCAAGATAAGGTAAGTACAGTACATGAAAACTGTGTATTTGAATTGCATCATGTTAATGAATATTACTGAATATTGAATGCACATAGACTAGAAGAATCTAAGAATACAAATTAATAAAAATAATATATTAGAATATCATAGAACATTTTGGTTGGCCACAGCCTGAGTCCGATGGCTTCGTTTCGGGGCAGAGCCTCGCAAAGCTTCTCGCGTGACACGAAGCCCACAAGCTATCCCACATATTGGCTACTGCACACTGGAAACACTGCAGTATCCAAAATAACTATAAATAACTTAGAATTTCTTCACATATCTTAAAACATCTTACAATTTCTGGGGAGCGACTAGAACCGAATCATAGGACCTCACTGTCAAATATTGCCAACTTTCGCCGGCCACTGGGCGCCTGGGGCGTCCTCATAAAACTTTCGCTGTGCCTCGCGCAATTTTTGGCCTCGCTGGATGGGAATCTGGGTCTGGAAATGTTGGCAGCAAATTTGGTATGTACTACGTGACCGTATATTTGGTACTGTATGTCTTGGTAGGACATAGCAGGACCAATTCAGCTGATGTATATTTCGCACAGGTTTCTCCGTCTACATTGGCCATACTCCTGGTTTATCATGGTTCCATTTAGAATGAAGTGATGAGGTGAGGAACTGGAAACTGTCAGGCTCACGTATGAGAGCTGCCGACTGCACATACGTCTCTTAGTCTTCATGGAATTGCATCTATCTGCACTATTGATCACTATTGATCACTATGCATCGCTGCCATTTGAATCCATTTGACCACTGCATAGTGTTGTACCTGAATAGTTCTGAATGCCCCTAGGACATTCTTAGGATTGCATCTGCCAATTCCCATGGTTCCTAAGCCTTCGGCCAAAGAATTCAACGGACGCGGCATCTATGCCGCCATCCACACCAGGACCTGCCAACGGAACAGCCTTGAAACAGTCCCTGGTGGACAACCTTGGACCATCTGTTGGCTTCCAGAATTGTGGGGATTATAAAGGCTTGATCCTGATTCATCTGGATGTGTCTTCAGTTTCTTAAATGTTTCTGAGCTTTGTTTCCTGGTTTCATTTCACTAGTTCCATTGCGCGACGTGCCCTTCCTGCCTCCCAAGGACATCTCTGTGCGTCGCACGCGGTGGAGCAGCTTTGGCTGCAAGCCAGAAACGCACACCAATACAGAGAATATATGAGAATATAGCAGCAGCGAATTGCCAAGTGCTCAGACTTGACGATCTTTGAGTCTTTCAAGGGGCCGGGTCAAAATCTTACCTCCAAGAGGCGGCTCAGAGACTGCCACATCACCAAATATCACCAAGATGATGTCACAATTGTCACATATTTGCCCAGCCGAGGGCTGTTGGCTGTTGGCTTCCCCAGGACCCATTGCCTGGCGGCCAGCTCCTCCCTCAACTCCGCACAGCGTTGTGCCTGAGCCGTGCTCTGAGGATGTCAACTTTCACTTGCTTTGCTTGGACATTGCTTGGCTTTGACACATCAAAGAGCAACAAACAGAACCATAGCAAACGCTGTAACTTTGAGGTACTTTGAGCCAAGTAAATGTACTACAGAGCTTCAAGGAAGCTTTAACAAATTTTGCTTGATGGCGGATCCACTGCAGCTTCAAATCGCCTTTGAGGCCATCATGGGACAAAATGAAACAAAAAGGAAACAAAATGAAGCAAAAGAACCACAAGACTAGAAGGATCTTTGACCACAACACCACCTACTGATCACCTAGCGTTCAACTAGCCTTCAAAACCTCAAGCCCCGGCCATGCCTCTGCTTGCACTTCTTCAGTCAATCGCCGACGAGCCTGTTGCAAAGTATGAATGGCAAAGAAGTTCCCCGTTGGAGATGGGCAAATTGTGCAGCTCAGAACAACAAACGCCAAAAGTGGGTGGGGAAAAAACCGGTCTGCAGTCATTCACGAACACAGAAAACCCATTGGGCACCACACTAGCAAAATTCTGGAAGGCAAAAGAATCCACTCAGGCAGTTTACATATTCGCTCAGTCCTTTTGCAAAGGTTCCATTTTGATCCATTTTGCTTCTTTGTGCGCTGCTCATCTGAGGCAGTCAGAAAGGCAGTACGAGACATCACCAAGACATCTGGCAAGCGTGCCACAACTTGGTGCATGAACTTTGGTATCTCTGATGCCCCAGTGAAGCTTGACGCTACCTTTGCTTACCATTCCTTCAACATCTCTTACTACCACCCAGGCTTTCATAAAATGTCCAATTATCGGTTGCTCAAATAATGTTGTGGTGTATGGCACTCAACATGTGCAGCTCACATCAGATCACCAAACGCGGAAGTTCATTGGTTCTACGAAGCACTACCCATGGGTGAGCATCCTCAACTTCCGATGGCTCTGCCCCGCTGTGCTCTGCTGGATGATGCTTTTGCCTCTTGCCAGGACAACAGCACTCTGATGGGAAGGCTGCAGCCATGAGAACTGTAACATGCATGGGTAAGTGCCACAACCCTACCACCTTTGCACGATCACGCACGAAAAACTCCGAGACATGAAACATCTTTCTAGCTGAAGAACACTTTTCCCGGAGTTTCGGCGAACTGTGAATCACAGAAACCAAAAAAGAGTTACTATGACTTACTTATCTTACTTATAATGTGATAGTTCCATAGCATTAATCCAGCCCTACCTTGGGTTTCGAAGTTGCTTTCGCCACGCCTTGGATTTCCAGGTGCAAGTATAATCAAGAATCCCTTCGCCCCCGAGAAATTGTTTGCAGTTCAAGTGGTGCAATATTGATGCCTGGCGACTAGTGTGGCAGCTTACAAGCTCGTGGAAAGTGCAGCATGTACAGTAGCGGTAGCAGGGCTGTTCAAACTTCACAGATGCTGGGAATCACAGGAATACTGTGGAGGGCTCAGCGCAAGTTGAGTCATTAACAGCCCAGCTTTCCTTGGCCAGCCTTTATTTATCAGCTGATATCCATTACACAAGAAAACAATGAAACTTGAACTTGAATAACTCTTATTATAATATAACTACCTCATGCTACTTCTATATAAGACCTCTAGGGCTCTAGGGCCATACTGCAGTACAAGGATGAATTTACTGAAGCTGAAACTAGCTGAAATATTCCTCCTTGAAGAATGATTTGCCAAATTTTGCCAAGGCTCCCGTTGGCTTCGATGCTTCCAAAGCTTCGAATGACCTCTGTATCTCCTCCTGCTGTCTATCCATCTCCTTCCACGGTGGGATGGTCGGGGTGACGTGGCACACCCTCTCACACCACCTCTGTCATCGAGGAATATCAAGGATACAAGATATATGTGTGACATTTTTTTTTAATTTTCTATATATCTTGTGATAACTCATGATGATGTACTGGGAAAACTTGCGAGCTGTTCATGCTGTTCACTCAGAGAAGTCTATGATCAGCGGCAGGAATTGCGCTGAATTCAGTCAGTAGAAGCAGAACTCGACGCACTGTGCATCATTGTGCTTGCCCCTTGTCAAAAGTGTAGACTTACAATAAGACAGAGCGAGGAAGGACATTAGGGCGGTAGCAGCACCGAACCTGGTAAACAGGAAGATATTCCAGGTGATTCTCCAACCTTGGGCGAGGACGTGCCCGTTTTCTGCACCACCTTGCGCCTCCCCACACGCCCTTTCCGTGCTCGTCTGAAGGCTGTTTCTTAGGTTGCCCTAAGCTTTTAGTCCCAGCTGAACGACAAATAAACAAAGCACATGCGATTCCCAAAAAAGATCGACTTCAACAGGTTCTCCATGACAGGAGTTCTGGAAACACCACATATTACACGTAGTTTCCTCCCATTAAATGGCTCAAGGGGCAACATCTGCGCATCTTCCAGAGAAGACACTGCTCCCAGGAGCTCCAAACCTGGCATCTCTGCAAAGACCCCTTCCGGCAACACACACACACACAATGTGAGCACTGGCTTACACAATGTACGTGTACAGTGTATACTGCAGTGTATAATTAGTACATTCATATTTACAGTATCTAATTTTATTTATCTATCTGTATGTCCGTCCATCTGTCCGTCCGTCCGTCCATCTGTCCGTCCGTCCGTCCGTCTATCTATCTATCTATCTATCTACCTATCTACCTATCTACCTATCTGCCTATCTGCCTATCTACCTATCTGCCTATCTGCCTATCTGCCTATCTGCCTATCTACCTACCTATCTACCTATCTACCTATCTACCTATCTACCTACCTACCTATCTACCTACCTACCTACCTACCTATCTACCTACCTACCTATCTACCTATCTATCTATCTATCTATCTCTATCTATTTATCTATCTATCTATCTGTCTATCTATCTATCTATCTCTATCTATTTATCTATCTATCTATCTGTCTATCTATTTATCATTCTCTATCTATTTATCTATCTATCTATCTGTCTATCTATCTATCTATCTATGTATCTATCTATCTATCTATCTATGTATCTATCTATCTATCTATCTATCTGTGCGTCTACCTGCCTTCGTCCTGCAGGTTGGCAGCTGCAAGTTCAGCCTGGCAAACGAAGGTCCCAAGATGTCCCAGAGACAGCGGAGCGTCCGCTAGACTTGAGCTAGACCTTAGCTTTTGAGTTGCCCACCTTCTTGGCAATGTCCATGAGGATACGATTATCCTTCCGAAACCAAGCGAGGCTCTCTTCCTGATGCAGGCGTGTCAATCTCCCCGAAAAGGTGTGCTTTTCCAACTTAAAGCCAACATTGCAACTGCGGACCGAATTAGACTTGCAGTGGATTGATCTCTGGATTTTGGGGCGCCCCGTTTTAACCATGATCTTTTCCAAGGCACCCGCTGCTGACATTTTTTTTAGCGATATATCGTCAGGCCCCAATAAAAATCACCAACAAGTGTCCAACAGTTGCAAAAAGTACACATGAGCAAACATCCAAAATATCTCGGTATATCCAAGCTTCAGAAAGTTTGTACTCCAAGCGGTGCAGTTCCAGAGCATCTCTTGCGGCCTGCGCTTTCCTTGCAGAAACTTCAAATCATAAGAAAACAAAGAAAACAATGTGAAGAAAAACATAGCACAAATATGCAAAACGATGTCACATAAAGGAATAACACATGCACACACACATTACAGTACATACACGCATGCATATATATATATATAATACATATGTATATATATACCTATGTATATATATATGTGCTGCATATCTGTATATTTCACGCGCATATGTATAATATATTCTATATATAAGAAAAATATAGAATGGAATGATAACGACATATATAAAAACATAATTCTTAGATATCGTATACAGCAACGGAATGAGACGCTAAACTGCTAAAGCAAGTTGTGGATTCTTTGGCTCCCCGTAGATCAGGAAGGTCTTTTGCAAGGCCTCATCATCTCCAGCGAGCCGCACCTCCACTTCACATTCCTTCCTTGGTGCCCCAAGTGGGGAATTCCATAAAAGGGGTACCCCAATAGCTGGATGGTTGGATGGTTTATTTACGTTTATTTATGTTTATTTCATGCAAATCTGGGAAAATTGATTATTTAGATTGATTTAGGAGTATCCCGGTATCCACATTTATGCAAACCTCGAAGCGGCTGTCATCCTGGTGACTAGGTGAAGGAGTCATGAAATGATGGAACTCTCTTTGCTGACCTATTGCCCTGTGAAAGGCTGGTTGCAACCGAGGAGACTGCTCATGAACAGCTGTCTTTTGACAAACATGGCAATTTTTCGGATTGTTCAGTTAAACAATGCAGTCTACTTTAATCTATATATGGCATTCGGCCGGAATCTTTGGGCTCTCAGCATGACAAGGGAACCACTCCACATTCAGCAACCAATCTTGTCCTTTGGTTTACTTTGCGCCGGCTGTTTCTGATCCTAGCATCTCAATTCTCTGTACTCGTTCGCCCGCTCGGCCACAAGTACGACCAACGAGCTCTTGCTGGACCTGTTTGCCAAAAAATAATGAAAGATCTAGACTATCTGAAGCAACAGTCGAAAAATGACCGTGGATGATGATGGTCTTCTTGTACCGAAAAAAACTGAAAACAAGGATTTTCGATCATTTTCAACTTCCTTGGGTTTCAGGGAAGCAAGTTCAACCTCTGAAACCCCATCAGCCACCGGGATGGGTCCATACCATGGGACCTGCTGAACCACCCGACCAACCAAATGCCTCGAAGCTGATGGTGGCATCTTTGCCCACCGACTTGGCTTCAAGTTCCTGAAACACAGGATGTTGAACCCGGATGTTGGGGCGAAGGGGCCATGAATGGCGTGCGAAAAATGAAGCACCCTGAAAGACAAGGGATGACAAGGGTATCAAGCATGCGGATTTCCTGATGTTAAACCTGACTCCTGAACACTGCCACTGTGACTAATGGCTTGCAACAAGTCCTGCAACAAAGCGAGTTTTTTCCTCCTTCTCCGGTGAAAAGCCTCCACCTGCGTTAGGTGCGCAATTGATGCACGGAGTGGCTCCAAAGGCTGATGACCAGTGACTTGCTCCCTACAAGGCGGAAGGTGCCTTAAAATTGAGCCCTGATACAATACCAAACCCAAAAGCTGTTTTGATCTCCAGTCAATGGATGTAGACATTTTGAATGCCAGCAGCTCAGCAGACCTGAAATCCACGCCTCTTCCTGGTGCTGCAAATGGATCTTTACCACCTTTGTTGAAACAGGTTCCACCATGTTCCACCATTCCGCTGCAAGGCATGCAATAAAGGGGAAGGAACGGCCAACAAAAACTTCCTGGTTTGGATTCACCACCCTCAGAATCTTGTGGATCTTGTGGGTGTCAAGTGGTTCATGGTGCCTTACATCTGCGCCATCCTGGACCGCTCGCATTGTGCGCGCAGAGAAATTAGGGCCCATGCCATCTGAGCTCTTGCTGTCGCCTCATCAGAGCCTAAAAGGATGATGCTGTCAAGCTCCTGGCAGGTTGACAAGACAACTTCAAACAACTACTGCTTAGTTCTACTTAGTTCTTCTACTTAGTTCTTCTACTTAGTTCTACTGTTTTTTTTTCCAGCGCCATCTCTCAAGTTCAGCGAGGCTGAAGGCGCGCGTGTGGCCCAGCCAAGCAGAGCCACAGCTAGATGACAAATAATTACCAGAAGTCAAAGTCAAAGTGTGCAATTTTTACGCAGGCCTAAGCAAAATAGAACCACATAGGGGTTCATCCGCAGAGGTCGAAACTAAAACATGGCAAAACTATCTGCCAAGCGCCATTGCTAGAAGCTCGCGTCAATTGCTTGAGCTCTGAAGGGTCTATGCTTTCTCTGGGGACCGCTGCGGGCTGCACATCTACATGCATGGAAGGCTGACTGGTGGCCCCGTTGGTTTTCAAAGTCTCATTTGCAAGCCTAGAACCTTCAGCTGGAAAGTCGACACGGCAGCCAACATGTCTGCAAGAAATTTGATTCGCCCGCTCTTGAATCACAGACTGCCTGGCCCCAAGGCCATGGCATCTTTGTTCAAGTACCTCAGAATGATCCTGCGCTTGTTTCAGCAAGACGAGAAGGGGCTCCATCTGTTCCCTCACATTGTTTGCAACAGTGTCTGCCACATTCTGCCACCGTCCAAAGCAGGGGATCCTTGTCTGTCTGCACAGCAGCTCCATGGGAGTGAAGAGTGCGGGCCTCACCCCTCTGAGAGGAAACATGGTGACGTCCTCCAACCAAGTCGTCCAAGTAAAGGGTCAGCTTGAGTGAAGGTTTTGGAAAGTCGGCCTTTGTCCTTCATTACTGCTGCATGCTTCAGTAGGTGTAGAGATGCATCAACATGTTGCATCACATTGTGCAAGTCCTATTTGGCTGACATTCTCCGTGCGTATCCCAAGCAAGAAACAACTTTCTTCACTGATGACTGATCCATCGAGAGGCCTGAGGTGCAAATTCGCATGCAACTGTACAAAAGCTTACCACATAGGGTCTCGTAGCCAGGTTTGAGCCAATGGCTTGAGCCAAAAACTTAGTTCTACTTATAGTTGTTTATTTTGATGCATCTGGGTTGTTCCCAAACAACTGCGTGAAGCAAGTGCTTAGTTGTTGAAAAGCCCCAGCAAGGCCAACAATTTGATTTGATGCGCTTGGCACTTTGATGTGCCTGGCATGAAGTCAACAGTCCAAGATCATCGGACCAATGTGGCTAGCCTTCAATGATTAACTTTAAAATATTTTAAGATTAGTATTATAGTCATTACAGTACTATACTTAGCCCTACCAACCATCACTAAGGCCATCACTTACTAACACCTCAGTTTTGCCGGTCCTGCACCACCACTCCGTTGCCCCCATCGGGGTTTTGCACCCCAGGCGTTGCCAGGTGCAGCGAACAAACGCTGCGAATCTGCTCCAGGCAGCCACGACAGTCACCCAACGAGAGCCAGGCCCGGAGCGATGGTTCCACCTGAGGGGTATGCTGAGCTTGACAAATATGCTGGTATCCATTGTATAGTTTCATAGAACTATAATTGTATAGTACTGTTAATTAAAGCATTATTGTACATATTACATATTTTATCTATAAATATATATGTATATATATTTATAATATGATAATTACGCAGAATTATACATAAGTTACATAATCAAACTCATAATCATCTAACTAATTATATAGTTGGTACATGTTACATGTTGATACTACAATTTGATCATATGTTTAGCCGAAGTTTAGCCCATGAATGTTCATAATTTGACTCCCCCAGCAATTGCGACACCGCCTCCATCGCCACGCGTGTAAATGCCAAAGGGTTTAAGCTGGGCTCTTCCGAGGGAGCTCGTAGTGCCTGTCGCTGACTGCTCAGGATGAACCACCAGCAACAGCTTCCGTCTCCGCTTGCGCGTTGACTATACTTGTACTCTATACTGATCTATACTGTACTCGACTATGTAAGTTACTATACTATACTGTACTCTACTATTAGTCTACTATACTATACTGTAAAGTTACTGTATACTATACTACACATAGCAATACGATATACTACGTGCATAGTGATCACAAATACGCACCCATGGACTTCCATGGGCCATGGCCTCCCGACGTCCCAAGCCTCGCCTCCAGCGGCAGCGTAAGCTCTCCCTTTCCCGAAACGTAGCAAACGTAAGCAACCGCTGTGTGGGCCTCCTGGGAGCTGAGGCGGCCATTGCCACAGGACCATCAGTTCTGCGGAAAGGGCATGGTTTTCCAATGTTTTCCATGGAACTAACTGTTGGTCAAAGTTCCCTCAAAATCACGAAGGCTCCCAGGCACGAAGAATACTTACAAACGAACACAAGGGTCCACGAGGTTATTTCACCAGCTCTAAGATCCAAAGAGAAAACAGTGAGAAATGTGGGCAGTAGATCAATATAGGTCTCGCATTCTCTGCTTAACTTCAAACATCTGGGATTGACGGATAAACTTCTTCCATTCAACTCTGGCACCATCTGATCATGTCCCATCTCTCCTCTTTGGCTTCCTGTACCACAAAGGCAGAACACCAAAATGCTGGATTTTCTGCTGTGGCAGGGAAGCGAGCCTCCACCTCCAACGCTGCCAGTGTTGGAAAAGCGAATGAATAAAGTGAACATGTACATCATGTTGATCCAAATATTCCAAAGTCAAAACCAATTTGGGCTGGGATTTCCCCTAAATCAACCTATACCCCCATGTCATGTCATCCCAATGTCCCCTTCAATTTCTCAACCGGCCCATCTCGGCCCATGGCCTCTGCTCCATCCACCAAGCACGGCGCAGCTTTCCGCCGCTGTCGAACCTGGCGACATGGCACCTCCCGTGAGGGCCAAACGCCCTTGTCGAAGGCCACCCAAGCCTTGAGGCAGTGACAGAGATCACAAATGCAGCCAAAAACAGAAATGCGGAGGATATATGATATATGAGATATGATATATGATTAATTATGTGATGATTTTCTCGTGATGCGACACTGTTGCAGAGCAAAAGATCAAATAAACATGCGAGTGCAAACGCTGCTGCAATCTGTTTTGCACGCCAAAGTCATGGCAAAGTGAAAGATCGCTCAAGGGGCCCGCTGAAACATCAAAAGGTCAGCGGGTGGATGATGAATGTGCAACGCAATGGTCAAAAACACAAAATGACATGCAAAGCTCTTCGGAATGAAATTCACACTGATATACTTTCTTTTCATCAACCAGCATGACATAGGGATTATCCTGCCACGCCTGAAACGCCTCGCACAACTGCCTATCTTCTTTCGTTAAAACGTCAGCCCACATCACATCTGTGGGGACCCATCGGCAGTCATCTTCGTGGATAAAGTCTTGCACACTGCGAATCGCAATCATTGTTCTCTTCTCAGTGGTAGATGGGTTTTCTGAGATCACTGCATCGTAAAGGCTTTTACAGTCTGTACATTGCAATTGGCGAAGGGCTCTCTCAAGGCGTGGTTCTCCATCTTTGGTGCCACCATAGAGAAGTTCTGTCAAAAAGTAGTTTGCGTAGGTGCATCTATCCACGGTCTCATCCATGGCATTGGCTTCACTTGCCAACGTCGATCTTGTCACTCGCGGACTGCGAGCACTCTTCCAATCCAAAATGGAAACGCTGGCTCGGTGCTCAAAGCAGTCTGGCGAAGCAATCAGAACGAGGCTTCCTATCTGTGATTTTCCACCTGGTGCATTGGCCCAACTGGAGTCTCCATATCCAATCAGCACGGCTGCACGATTGAAAGGCACTGTGTTGAACGTCAGGCCAAGATCAGGTGTCTTCTTGGCAACTTCCATATAGTCATAGAGAGTGCGGAGATCTTTGGGTTTGGTCTCAGCACCACGGTTTGCAAGGCTGACTGCGCTGCAAAGGTCAGGACGTGTTTGTCCTCCAAGCCACTGCAAAGAGCCAGCCACTGAACGAAATTCTTTCCATTCGTCCGGTGTGAGGGACTCAGCTTGAAGTCGGCCTCGGTCAAGTTTGCCGATGGTCATCTCATCAATGAAGGCCTTCTGGGTGACCTTCAAAACAAACTTGTTGTGCACTTTGTGTAACCGAATCTCTTTGCCTCGGAACACGATCTCATTGTCCATAGTGAGCAAGGTTTTGGAACCCCAGCGAAACATGTCCTCCAATTCTTGTAGAGGATAGTCTTCACGGAAGGTCACCAAAAAGTCATCAACATGAATGATCATGACAACGAGGAGCTTGTTCTCTTTGTCTTTCTTGATCAACATACACTTGTCGTATCTATGCTGCTTGAAGTCTTTCTTCTGAGCAGTGGACAAAACGTTCTTCCACCAAGTTCTTGGGGCTGAAGCAAAACCATACAAGTTTCCTGCAATGCCATAGAGCTCGTCGGGAAATGTTTGGGCCAATCGCTGGATGCCGTCCCGCGGTGACCTCATGAATATAGGAAGCGGCCTCTCTTCTGGTTCTCCTTGAAGGAAAGCAGTTGACACATCTCCGGACCAGAGATGCCATATCTTCCCAGTGAGTTCAACCTGGGCATTCATTCCTGACACAGCAATCTGCAGCAAAACCATTTCACTAAGTTTGGATGGCGTAGGTGAACTTCTGGACAGAGTGGCTAAGTCAGGATCCTGGCATCCCAAGACCACTGTGCGACATTTGGCCTTGATTGTTGGGCCAGCACCACGCAACTTGTCACGGTAGGCATTCCTTGAAGGGATGATGCGTCTCTTCAAGGATGGTGTGTTCTTGATTTTCTGAATCTCCTCTTTGGGTAATGCATAAATGCTTCCCCAGGTTTTCCAGCTCTCAAACTCCTTCTTGTTGGCCTGGACATAGAGCTCCAAAACGTCAGGAGGTCCGTCGGCGATCACGCGCCACGGGATCTCACGGTCCATAGCCTTGCGCTCTTGGCGCGTCATAACATCCATGGAAGGGGCTTCCTCATCGTTGGATGAGTCGCTGGATAGGTCCACCTCGCCGGTCTTCTCATTTGCTGTCTTGAAGGCCTTGGAAGTGACTGGTGAAATGTGTGTCACATTTCCATCCCATCCATCTGTGATGCGCTCTACAAGGTGGTAGTTCTCTTCAGGAACCTGGGTGGCCACAAAGCTGTAGTAAGGCCAGCCTTGACCATGTCGATGTCTGCTCAACAGTGACAAACTGGTTCCAGAACTGCCTGACATCGGTGGTGTTGGCTGTGAACTTCCGTCAGCGGTGACATGTCCCGCTGGTCGAAGAGGGGGTTCATTGGAACCACTGCCGTCGCTGACATCAATCACCTGTGAAAAGCTTCTGGGAGCTGGTGGTTGAAGTAGAGGATCATCGCTGTCATTTGAGGTCGTTTGAAGTGGTTGCGTAGGTGAAGGTCTTGCCATCTCTGGCACTGGTGGCTCTGGCAATTGATCTTGTGGTTGTTCAGTAGACTGTTGTGGTGGTATCTGCGGGGGTTCAAGTTGTTGTTGCGTTTGTAAAGGCTCAAGCTGTGGTGTCTCTGGCTGGGTTCGCTGTCTCACGTTGCGTTCAAAGCTGTCTCCAGCCTCATAGTCCATTGGCTGCTGGTAGTGGCGAATGTCCTGTTGTAGAGTATGTTGATATGTTGGTGAGTAAATCATGGTGTCTTGACGTAGAGGATGTTGAAAATCTGGCATAGGAAGAAATGGTGTTGGTGGTTCTTGAGGAGGTGCTGGTGGTATTGGCGGTGGCTGTGGCTCACCAAGTAGTTGGGGTGGTTCGAGCATCAGCATAGGTTCATCTTGAGCAGCTGGTGCGATCTCAGGTTCCATGGGTTCATCTTCCGGTGGTCCTGGTCCGCGATGGTCACGCCAAAGTCCATGTTGGATGTTGACTGATGCATCCTTGAGAGCGCGCGGATATCAGCCATGTTGGGTGCCCAGGATTCCAGACCGAAAGTTGGTCGCAGCTGCTCATAGGTGACCTGAACTGTGGTCGTGCCGGCTTGTAGCCAGGCTGATTTGCCATCAGGATCATGGTGAAGAAGTCGGCCCAAAACATAGCCGCCACGTTTCTTTCCAGAAGACCTTTTTGTCCATCTCCAGTAAGCTGCTAAGGATCCTGGAAGAATCTGTTTGGATTCATCCTTGTTGGGCTTGGTCTTCCTCAGCAAAGCTCGCTTGATGACATGGGAGGCACGTGTCTCATCGATGACTCGCAAGGCTTGGCATCTAAGCTCCTCTGCGATCATCTGGTTGTCGGAGACGACAAGTGCTCTGTCATCAGACATCAAATCACCTGGAAAACGTGGAAGGCGGCCAAAAACTGCTTGATATGGGCTTCTGCCTTTTGACGCTGTGGTGGAATTGAGTGCTTGAACTGCTGCAGTCAAAACCCAGTCAAGTCCATCGCCACTGACCACCGCATTCTCGTCAAGGAGTTTCTCAACCACAGTCCTGAGCACGGCATTCTTTCTCTCAACTGTGCCAATGCGCCAATGCGCCTCAGGAGGAATCACCACAAGGTGTACACCGGCTTCTTCAAGTTTCAGGCGAAACTCGCCCTCAAAGGCTCCATCTGCATCCACCTCACAAACCAGGGGATACCCATAGGGCATCAGCCAGCTTCTTCTGAATTGATCTGCGACGTGGGCAGAGGCTCGACTGTGAAGGCGAACTGCCTGCTGCAATGAAGTGGCCATGTCAACCATGCCAAGGATTGGATGATTTGTTGTAGAAAGATCGCGTACATATACTATATCAAGTTGAACACGTTCACCAAATTGACCCATGAAATGAGGAATGGATGCCGGTCTTGGTGGTGGTGGTGGCTTGGTTCTTTCACAGGAGCCACAAACCATGTGTTCAATTGCTGTCAATGTTGGTCCGTTGATTGAGCCATGAGAAGCCAAAAGTCGAATCAGCTCCTTCTTGTGGGCATGGCCTGTGTTGATGTGTCACATCTGTCCTCAAGCCAGGAACTGGGAGTCGAGCTTCAGCTTCATCAAGTTGAGGTTGATGTTGTGGTCCAGATCCATCATCATCAGCCAAACCATAAAAGAGGATGGCTGCGTTGACTGCCTTGGTGAAGCGCTGCTTGGGGAACCTCACATTGGCCAAATCTTCGGCTTCAACGCTGAGAGATTGATCGGCGAAAAGCAGCGCAGCTCCACGATGTGTAAAGGCAGCATCTTTTGGCATTCTTCTGGTGATTGGTGTGGACACGATTTGAACTCGAGTGAGCTCCCAAGGAACCAACTTGGACACTTTCTCATAGAGTTCTTGCCCAGGTTGAAGTATCAAGGATTTCACAGCACTGCCGGCAAAGGTGTTCTGGACGTCGTCCAGCAGTTTCTTCCAAGCTTCTGCATCATCCAAAGGCTGTGCAGAGAAAACCTTGTGGTAGTCAAAACGGTTGGGAGTCACTTGTCTGGCATGATCCTTCAAGGCTCTGAGAATTGATCGCACCATGGCATCTGGATATTCTTGAGATCGTGTCACATTGATGCCCTCCAAAGGCTTGCACACCTGACGTTCTTGTGCTGAAAGACGTCGATGGAGTGAGCTAGCCAAAATGGGGCTGTTGGTCAAAAACTTGTGGGTCTTGATAATGGGAAAGCCATCACGATCGGCGGCTCCAAAAGCACCTGCATCGCAAAGCACTTCAACAACTCCTGGGAGCTGGGCAAGCTTTATGACGCAGGGTTCATCCCAGATTCGGCAACGTAGAGTGCTCTCAAAGAGAAAGAAGTTGCCAAGGCCCACCTGTATTTCAATCAAGTAGCAAGTCCATTGAAGTAGAGGTCGTTGTTCATTTCGAAGGGCTTCCAGCTCATGCATCCTCCAAGAGTAGTTGCAGTTCTCGTTCAGCAAACACCAAAAGGTGCATGGAAAGCCCAGCATCAGGAGCAGTGGTTTGAAGCGTTCAATGGCTCGCTCAACCAATCGTTTTTGCTCGGGATCATCAAGATCTTTTCCTTCATTCTTGTCAAAGGGCTCCAATGCATTGAGTCCATACTGCTTGGCCATCAGAGTTGCTTTGCCTGCGCCTGCATAGAGCTCGAGGAGGTCAACTGCATTGGTCTTGGAGCTCTCATTGGGCAAGTTGTTCAAAACCAAAACTTCCGCCTCGCCGATCTTGATTGACTTTTTCAAATCACCAGTCAGTCGTTTGCGTCGTCCAGGAGCCAGCTGTAGTTGGACTCCAGATCGAAGGTCTCCAGATCCTGAATCGGGATCTCTTCTGGCTTCATGTGTCCTGCTGCCGAAGAGGTCATGGAAGGAGGCCTGGACCTGGTCTTGCCAATCTTGTTGTTTGGTGCTGGCTGCACCTTGGGCATGGCACCAGTCAAAGGAAGATGTTCCGCTTGGAATTCCATCACTGGCATCATTGGCGGACGGATTGACCCATCCACTGTTGTTGAGGAAGACGGTAGAGGCAGTGATGATTTGGAGGAGCATCCATGCAACTTCCAGCCTGTTCCGACCCACACCCATCTGGCCTTGCAAGTCACGCATGTCGCGAAACTGCCGTGCTTGTTGCCGTGGCGCTTGAACTCCCTGTGCGGGCACTGAGCCTGGAGCTGGTTCTGGTAGGTGTCTGTGGCCGATGGCTTGTGAAGCTGACTGGACTTGCCCGGTTTCTTCTTCTTGTCCTTCATTTTCTCGGGGTTCTTGAGGTAGTTCTCGTAGTCGTCGTAGGGGATCAACCCAAGGCGGGCTGCCTGTCGGAAGTGCAGAAGAGCAGTTACCGACAGCATCAGCAGCTTTCCGCATAGATGCTTCCAGCGCTTTCTCACCTCGGGGTCGTAGTGCATCGTGGTCACAGTCAGAGCTCGAAGGCATCAGCTGAGAGCGAGTTGCTGGAAGAGCCAGGGTTGCGGTGCCATCATCATCAAAATTCACTTGCTGCAAGTTGAACACCGAAGCAACTTCTGGATCATTGAAACCAGCATCTGAAATCTGTGACCAAACACGCAAACGATTGGGCTGTGGTGGAAAGTTCAAAATATCAATCGCAAGATGTCCACCAATGCGTTTCAAAGGTGTTGTAACATCAAGTTTGCTGAAATAAACCACTTGCTGAATCAAATCGATCACACCGCCCAGACGTTTCAACAAACGAAGACTGCCAAGGAAAGGAATACTCGTATCAACAACATTCACACCGAAAATCAAACATTGCTTTTCAATTGCTGATGGCATCCAAACTTTCAAAGTTGACAATACCGGTTCACCTGCTCCAAATTGAAACTGTTCATGGCTGGCCTCCTCGAAGACCTTGAGCTTCCATGATGCCAGCTTGTCTGCCTGCAGTGCAATCCATTGAGTTCCACAACAGCATCTTTGACAAGCCGTATCCATGATCATGTAGCCAGTTGTATCACCAGAAACTGTGGAGAGGCAAACATAAGGGGCTGTGCAAACCATTGTAAAATGTGGATGTGAAGGTGCATGATGAGGAAAATATTCCACCGTGCTGTCAAACCCGGTGCTGTGGTGGACGGTCATCACCTTTTTCGAAGCGCCATCGTCTTTGCCCTTGTGGCCACGTTCTTTCCCCTTAGGGGCAGCAGAGGTAGATGAGGAATTGTTTTTCGCGTCTTGCGAACCACTTTGGTCACATTCCGCATCGCCAGCCCAGTGGCCGCGTTGTCCGCAGGCTGCACAAATTGATGTCTTCTTCTTCTCGGCGATGCTCTTGCGAGGCTGGCCAGAAAACTTTCGACCCTGAGTGACACTGGCCAACTTCCTAGCTGTGACTGTGAGAACCTCAGTGAGATGCGCCACATCCATGTCGCCGTCATCCACATCGGCATCTTCGTTGTCCTGAGCATCCTGCTCAGGGATGTTGCCATCGTCTTCTGCCTCCTGATCGGCTTCAGGCTCATCTCCAGCGTCATCCTCAGGAGCTTCCTCAGGAATGGTCTCAGTCTGATAGACCCGCTTGTATCCTTTGTCCTTGCCCTTGCCTTTTCCATTGGCTACAGACGGGCTGTTCGAACTGGAACTGGATGATGAAGAGCCTTTGCCAGAGTTCCCCTTCGTCTGAAAGGGCGCTGTTGAGGCATCTCGACCAGCAACTGGAGGTGAAGGTTTATGCTCTGGATATTGCAGCATCAATGCCGCACGCACTGATTCAAATGACAGGGATTGATTTGTTCCCACAAGCACCAAGCGCTGTTGCTCAAGCGTCAAACGTGATCTGTCAAGCAACCTGGAACCACGGCTTTCATCGTCGTAGGTCAGGCAGATGTCTACCCCGATTGCACGCAGAGAGGACTCCACGCGTCTGTACCTGTTGATGAACGTCCTCAGGGTTTCGCCTGGCCAACGTCCAATCGTCTCATAGTCATGAAGGTATTGTCGTTTAATGTATACTGTCTTCTGCTGAAAAGCCTGCTTGAGATGATTCAGAATTGTGTCGACACCGTCTTTGTGATAGATGGTATTGATGTCTACAAACTCCAATTCCTGTTCTGCTTCGCCTTTCAGAGATGTGTACAAGGTGAGAGCTGCTTCCGAGTCTGTCATGAAATGCTTAGCATGTAATGCCCAGATTCGGACCTTCTTCTCGAACTTCTCGTATGCACGCAAGTCTGATGAATTATAAGACCATGACGGGGGAACAGGTGGTGCTCCGCCCCGAAATTTCACACCTCGCTGAGGACCCATGGCACTCACCCAAGAATCCGTTGATGTCGATGGACCACGTCCGCGGTCATTGTCACGCGTCAACTGTCTCAAAGCATCTGTCAGCGCTGCAATCGGATCGCCGCCATTTTGGTGGTTTCCACGATTGTTTGCGACGTTTGAGCCTGCAGGGGTCACATCCATCGGTGGATCTAAGGTTGGAACTTCTGACTCGGCCCACTCACGGCCATCATCCCCATCATCGGGGTCCCCAGGATTCGAGCCGCCAACGCGTCGACGTCGTCTCGCTCGATGTCGACGTCGTGAAGCAGCACTTGAAGGTGGGACCTGGGGAGGCTCTGAAGAGCCTCTAGGCATGAAAACCCAGGTACCGCCCGCAGTCTGCTTCTTGGCAGGCAAGGTTGGGTCAAAGTATTCATAGGAGAAACACGCATTGCAATGCCAATCATTTGAGGCATTGTCCCAGCTAAAAACACGGTTGCCACAACGTAAACATTCCCACAAGTTGCCAGCTGTTGATCTGTTCGTCAAATCAGGATTATCGTCCTCAGGATTTCCAAAATCAACTGAATTGTCAAACAGATAATCATCCAAGTCTGTATAGATGTCAAAGCTTTCAACTGAATGAGCGTATTGGGCTGCATGATCTGCTGAGCCTGCGAGCTCCTGTTTCATCTTGGAGTATGAAGGCATACTTCTCGATTTGTGCGTCTGCCCCAGATCGGGGCTCCGCTACCAACTCGTGATGCGACACTGTTGCAGAGCAAAAGATCAAATAAACATGCGAGTGCAAACGCTGCTGCAATCTGTTTTGCACGCCAAAGTCATGGCAAAGTGAAAGATCGCTCAAGGGGCCCGCTGAAACATCAAAAGGTCAGCGGGTGGTTGATGAATGTGCAACGCAATGGTCAAAAGCACAAAATGACATGCAAAGCTCTTCGGAATGAAATTCACAGATTTATGATGATTTATGATTGAAATTGATTAAATATGATGTAATCATCACATATAATCAAAATTTGGTGCGGTGAGATCGGTGAGTAATGATTGTTCCGAGGCAAATATGATGGACATTGGCTGTTTGCTCCCAAGCTGAACATGGCACAAGCACGTCCACCCTACAGTATCCAGCTCCGATCTGCCATGTGCACCTTATCGAACTGCAAGTCACGGAGGATAGCTTCGTACCAAGGACCACCTTCGCGCTTGGCCACCTAAGCAACGCTTCGCAAAGTATGAAATTTATTGAAATTTCATGACCTGTGAGTCACTATAGGGATCTATGTGGCGGGATTCATATGCGATTGTATACTGTAGTAATACATAGTATAATACTGTAGCAATACTACTGTAGAAATACTGTAGAAATACTGTAGTAATGCTGTACCTATAATCATATATATATATACTATATCGCCATATCGCCTCATTTTCGCCTTGTCAGGTTACCTCTCCTGGAAAATGCAGCGAAGGTGCCTCTACCAAAGCAAGGCTCCGTGGCGCCACCATGGGAAACCGGAGCCGGACAGCAGTCAACAAATCCAAAGGGAACATGTTGAATCATTTTGAAGATTTTTTGAAGCATGATTGAGCTCGGATGATGATGATGTTAGCGCCAAGCAAATTCATCACATTGATGACCGAAATTCAAATCCATACAAATCTATTTTGTGGCATGATTCATTCCGGGGCACTGCTTGCAATCACAACAAACATTTTTCATGGGCAGCTCTTCTGGCTACACCGTAGTAGGAAATTGGCGACTAAACTTGACGGGGTGGGTTGCTTCCAAAACATTACACTCATGGCATATATTGTCATGCTCCAAAGTTGTCCGAAATTGTGCAACTTGTTGATCTTGCTTCAGCAAACTCTTCATGGATCTGTCTGCTGCTCATTGTTCTGTCATTTGACTTTTTACAAGCAGCTGATGAACCATCCGAAGAAAAACACATTCTATAGTCTGAACCTGCCGAAGACCCAGCAAAGTGTCCAGGTGACGGTGACAGATTGAATATATTGAATTTTTATGAATTTATGGTCTCCTTTTCCCTTTGCTGCATACAGCCGAAACTGTTGGCTCAACGTGCCTCCGTCTTGGAACTCCTCAGCGGTGACTGCGCTGGAACAGTCCATCTTCCATTTAATTTCACCATATTTCACCTAGCTTCATCTAGCTTCAAAACGCCCGTGCCAAGGATTCAAATAAACGTGTCTGCAGGAGATTCTTGATTCTTCGATTTTGCTTCCTTTGGCCCGATCGTGGCTGCAGCCATCATCAAAGAAGCCCTGTATCGTCAAGCTTCTGATCTTCTTTCCCATCTTGATTTTTAGCGCTGCGAGCCTGGCTTTGTCAAGGGCCATGCCACAGAAATCTACAGAACTTCTTGCTGGCGGCATTCCCAACGAATATCCACAGGGATGATGTCCTGAAATCGACAACCATCGAATTAAAATTATGTCATAGTACGACGACGTATGACATATTATGATTCAACGTTTCTCCACCATCCCACCTGCACCATCCTCCATAGACAGACATTCCCCAATGCGAAGCCAGCGGCCTCTGCAAGCTCACTTCGGAGTTGCTCCAAGAGTCGGGCGTGCTCCTGGACCGGGAAACAGCAGTTTCAAAACCGCTGAAAGCACTGAATCTAGCGGACTATGGGGATTTCAATGAAGGTGTCGCCAACAAACTTAGCTCAAATTCATGCTTCGCTTGTTGCTTTGTCATTTGAAAGGATGTCCCATGAAGATTCGCACAGCCATGCTTTGACCTCAACGAAGCTTTGCTTTGCTGCCCTGACCTGCCGACCGGGTTCCCAGCTGTTCTTCTGGTGCAAACCTTGTAGCCTACTGGAACTTTTTACTCTGATCTGATGTGATTTTGTCTGCTGATCGTGGCAAAAAACATGCAAAAACCATATCCACCTGGCAGCCTCTGAGCAAGGCAGAAATGGATCACGGCATGATCACGGCATAAAGACTGGCTCAGACCAGCCACAACAGTCCACAACTCGTTCGTCGTCCATATTTGTCTATCACCCCTCATTCATTATTTGCCTTGCATGCATTGATTGTGCTGACATGTGCAGGGTACCAAGGAGCGTTTTGTATCGAGCCGGGCCTTGGCAACTTCCTTTTCGAAGCCAGCCTTCTCTGACTCGGCATTGACCTGGATGGGCAAGGAGAGGCATGGTTTGAAGCCAGGACACCCTTCAGTAGTCTGTCACCTGCAAAGTCAACTCAAGATACATGACCTCCTACATAACATGTGCACCAAATTCAGCAAGGCGCAACACCCCACAATATGCCAAGGTGATCCAAGATGCCTCTTCCAAATGAGGAGGAGGCTATATGTTTGGAAACAATCATTGGCCAACCCTAAGACCATGATTGTATGATGTCTGAAGTGAAAGTTGCCAATCTAGTATAGAAACGTTGCATTGACTTTTGCTGCAAGAGTCCTTTCCCCACCCTCATAGTGAAACAGTGCTCACATGTAAGCAGCATGCAAAACCAGTCCGAGATCCCTGCCAAAGCATCCGAAACTTCGGACCGCCTCGCAGAATTGGATCTATTGCACCGGCCGCGGAATTATGGTGTACTATGGTGTACTCTAAAGTGGTGAGCGGATTAACCTCCAATTTCTGATGGTTAATATCAACCCATTTCTGGTGATATTGGGGGTGGTTTACTCTTGGGTTTACCACATTGCTTGGCTTGAACTCAGCTGGACGCAAAAACACTGGGCATCTTGGCCAACTTTTTCCGGTGACAAATGCGGCTGTGCACATCTCCCCCGAATTGCTGCGCAATTGCTGCTATGCCCCGCAGTTTGTTCATTGCCGAGATTCCGGCGATGACCAAGGGCTTGTTTTTCTGCGCATACCCAGCTGGTTGGGTTTGCAGCGATTAACTGTTGATGTCAGCATGTGTCAGCTACTTCCATAATCACCATCAGCTGATTAGCTTCCTGCAAATGCTGCTGTTACGAGAGTATTGCAGTACTTCGAATATCTTAAGAAATCATATCAATCATACTGAATCATACTTGTAGTTCTCCTAATCATCCTAATCTCTCTGACTTTGATGGCTTCTGCTGGTCTAAAAAATGTGATGCCTGTCTTTGACCTGTTACCCCGAGGGAGTTTAAGCCTCTGAATCCAGATTTGGATTTTCCAATCTCAGCGCCGCCTTTCACTGGCGCTACAGGAAATATTCCACAGGAGGGCGGCCGATCGCCGCTTCACCCCTGCGGGGTGCAGGATCAAACTGCACGAAGTGAGAGCCTAGCTTCTCATCCACTTCCTTGGGATGTCGGAGGCTGGGGTCCCAAAAAAAAACAGAAGGCACATGAGACAAAGAAGAACTGCCTTAAAGATTACTATCATATATATATATATATACTCACTATATACTTACATACTTACTACAAAATTCAATTGTAACATGGGGGCCAATCGTATCAACAATTGAAAATAGCAGTTTGGCAAATTTTGGGATGGGTATGTGAAACCCTTCGACCAGGATGGTTTGAAGTCACCCTCTGCACATAGCACAGATGGTAAAATTGTCGACTTTCTGCTGGCATTTTGATTGTGTCAAGCTGTGATGTTTGCAACAAACGAAACTGACTCTAATCCGCAGTGTGGCTTTTCACATAGCAACACACCTTCAAAATCCTGCGACAGAATAAACAAACATGTCAAGCATCCATGATTGCACCCTGGTTCCCTGATCTATAGCAATAGTTCGGCGCAGAGAAAATGGTCACGACTTGCCTGGAGGGCACGAACAGCATTGGCGGCTTAGTGACCACTCAGGCCAGTCAGGTGGCTTGCATCAGGTTCAATATGGTTCAACATGGTTCAATGATGTTCAATGATGTTCAATGATGTTCAATGACATTCAGAAATCGCTTCCAAAGAATCGCTTCCAAAACACTGTTCATGGGCCCAATTGAAGCCCTCCATGACTAGTTGATGCGCACGTGCGATGAGGTTCAACCCGTTGGATTGGTTGAACTTCCTTGGCCAAGGATTGGTTGGTGGTCGAGCCACCCGTAGGATGGAAAACAAGCAGTGTTTGAAACCATTTGAAACCATTTGAAACCACTATCCCGCTGAGCAATGACTATTATGACTATTGCTTCAATCAGAATTTCTGTGCATGCGGATTATTGCCAAATGTCGCATGAGTTTATTGTTCTGCAAGTTGGATGGCTTCTCCAACTTGGCACTTTCTCTACCTCCACTTTTGACCATTGAGCAACTCTTGACGAGTAGCTTATCACTAAAGAAGTGCTGACTCACCAGTTTGGCCGCACAACTTTCAAAGGCGGGCCCAAAAACACCGCATTTGCCAAGAATCTCTGAGACATCCTGTCCAAAGGTGTATCCAGCGCCACGTGGTGAGACGCCCCACCCCAATCGATCATCAGGATCGCTCCAAAGTAGATCGCACATGGCACCTTCGTGGGGCACCTGCTGCGCTCTGCTAGTCAGAAAAGACAACACAGGGAAAGAACACCCCAAAAGCTCAAGGCAAACTTGTCCTGTATACTGAAGGCCATGCAGGATGGTACTCATTGTCGGCTTGCAAAAGAAAAGACATCAACCACGCAATTCCAAGACATAGTGGGTACCTTAGGTACCTTTTTGATTCTTTTTGCAACGGTCGCGGGTCCATGTATTTCGAATTTCATCTATATGACAAAATCAAACATCTTCTCGAACCCAATGCCTCTTGAACTCGATCTAGTTTCCTCACGTCATCCAGCTTTTCCTCAGCGCGAAAACAATACAGCTAATTTAACCCGGTGATCTGTGGTGATCGAAAAAAGCTTCATGTCATCTGCTTTAAGAGTATTGTTTCGTATCTTTTCCGTTCTTTTCCTCATGTAGCTACACCAGAATGGTGGTTTGGGGTTCTCTCATGTTTCACTGCATTTCACAGCAATCCTTTGTCAAATTGATTTATATAATTAATCGGCAAAGATTTGGGGAATTACATGGAATTACTAAGTCAAACTCTTGGTGGCATCGTTTTTCTTACTGTAAGGTCACACCTGATCACCGGTGCTGGAGCTCCGTGGAACATGTCTGACTGGTTGCTGCCCAAGGTTCAATATTGGGCGACAAGCCACCATGCTGCGAGAAAATCTTGTTCTCAACAAGGGCTGTGAGGGGCAAATAGTCGAAGAGGTCTGTAAACATCTTCCACACACTTTGGCTTCCGTATTTGCGCGTGCACTCATCGAAGAATCCTGATGCTGCAACAACAAGCCGCTCCCAGGGTCCCAAAAGCCCGTTGATTTTTGTTCTGTTGAACATGTCGACAATGAGTGAACATGTATGAAATATTATGAAATGCATTGAACACCAATACTAGGCAGTGGGACTTCCGGAAGTTCTGCTGCGGACGTCGTGGCATGTCATGGCATCTCTGAGCCTAGAACTCAAAATACTCAAACCAACAAAAACAGAAATTGGTACAGTACGAAGCTTGTTCGCACCTTGCGTGTCTCAACATGTCTCGACCAGAAAAGGTGGCTCTGGCATGCTATGGCAGTTCCAAGCTTCCATAGATCTGAGTGATCTGCCGGCTTTCATGGTTGCCTCGCAAAATGGTAATCCTTTCGCGGTACCGAACCTTGAAGCTCAGCAAGAGTGACACGCACTCCACGGAGAAGTAGCCCCGATCCACGTAGTCACCTGGCATCGCTATTTATGGATCTAAAGTGCAAGGCAGAATCGAACACACACTGCTTCCTGATGCTTCCTGAACCCTGCACAAGCTTTTGAACATGTTGAGCCCAAGCTTGGACAAAAGGGAAATCACACCTATGTACTGTCATATCTGTCATACTTCAAGGACAATCCTGCACGTCCAAATCGAACCCTCCGGCCTAGGAAAAGGTAGTTGGTGTCTGGGAGAAAGCCACCAATCCGAAACAGCTCCATCAAATCATGAAACTGCCTAGGTTCGCCATCACCCAAAACGGTACGGCTGCGACCAAACATGGCCTCAACCACCAGCTGACATGGCGGCACTCAAATCCCAGCAGCTGAAGATCAGGGTGAAGAAGGAAATGAAATTTCCAATTCAGGTTGCTGCACTTACATTTACCAGTGTTTGCAGTAAACACATCTATTCAAACAATCCGTACCCCAAACTAAACTGTTTTGGTAAGGAGTTTCAGCTCCCGGACCCTTGGCTGCAATTCAAGCTGCCCATGAATATCCCCGGAGATAGTCACAGGACACCGGACCGGTTGGACATTGCTCTCTGCATGGAGAATTTCCTTTGCCAAATCACATAGCTGCTTTACCTCGTTCTCGCCTTGGCAACCCAAAAATATCTCAGGCTATCTCTGCGATTTCATGAAAGATGGCAAAACGCACTCATTATACTTCTGCAGTCCTTAGTTAGCTTAATTTACTGTGCCCTGCATGTTCTGACCAAGTCGGGCATACTTTTATTTTGCTGCTGCGATTGTCTCTTCAAAGGAAGCACCATGAACCACCACGAAGCACCACTGCAACATTGATGCGAATTTAGCATCACCAACCGCACCTGGTCACTCCAAAAAGCCAAGCCACTGAGGTGTTTGCACTCCATGAGCTGAGCAATACATCTGTCAATATCCTGACAGAACGTGTGGCTTCTCCAAGTCATTAATCATTAGGCTTTTCGCTATGTCAGCGCAGGTCACAAGTTAGAGTATCCAATCAACCTCAATGCCCTTCAAGTGATATTATATATGAACATACGCACACATATATTATATAGTATATATATACAGTATATATCAATATCCGAATAAACCGAGGGATGCTGCAGGAACAATCTATCTCAGTCTATCTCAGTGTTTGTCTTCAGTCATCAGTTTGAAGGAGCAAAACGCGGAATACAGAAATACAAGAAGTCCTGAATTTCTCAAGCACACATGGTCCAAACAATGTCCAATATTCTAGAGTATTTAGTTGTTCAGCATGAACATATATATTGACATCACTGGAGTTTGCTGTCTAAGGGAGCAAACTCGGCAAAGTGCCCTTTCAATCTGTAGATCAACCAAAACACCAACATCACCACGTCAACTCCTCCTTTGACCAGGACATTCTGAGTCGACAAAAAAATGCATCAAGAATGCGAAAGCGGGGACGTCCCAAACTGCAATTTTGAAATAATGTTTTACAATGTTTTAAAATGAGTAAGAAATGGATAGAAATGGTAAGTGAATGTAAGTGACACATACGACTATTGTAAAAGTCTTGTGAAGCACTCCCTCCGAACTCAGTCAGGCGGCAAGGTGTCGTGGGCTCCCAGGACACGTTCGATCCATGGCGACATGTACCGCGAGTTGCGGCCGCAGAAGTCGAGTCGAGCTGATGAAATGCAACTAGAGCCAGAAAGCACTGGACAGCGAATCCATCAGAGTCTGTGAGATCAATTGGCAAGTGAAATCAGGTGAAATCAGGTGAAATCAGGTGAAAGGATGGCGCGTGAATGAGACACTTTCCATCTTCCAACACTTGATCGTGTAAAGTTGATCACATATTGAAGTTGCCGTGAGGGTGTTTTCAGAAACATGCAGAATTTGTTATTTGAGAGAACGCGGCAAACAAGGAACATGTCATTGCTCCCGTCAGGTCTGCCAGCCCCAATGTCAGCTGGCGCCTTTGCTCCAAATCCCGCAGCTGCGCAAAGAGCTCCGCAGAGTTCCTCGCACAAAGAATCGATAAACGAAGGCCAAAGTGCACAGTATTTGTTGCATCTTGTCGGCCCTCAGCTTTGTTGAAGCTACTGGGAATCCTGGGAATGCCTGCAATATCCTGCAACATATGGCGCCAAAATCTTGGGGTGGCTGCCTTTGGCTCTCATCGTTGGAAGCCTGGACTGTGACGCGTGCATTCAAGTGATCTCAAGTGTCCCTCTGCCACGTGGATAGAAACCAAATGAAACAGGACTGTTTTTAATTACACATGCAGCACTTCTGATTCTTTGATCTTTGTCATTTCTATATTCTATACAATAGAACTCGTATTGTCCTAATCAAGTGAAGCAACAAACCAGGACCCCCGTGCAAGCGATGCAATGGATGCCTGGATGGATGCCAAGGCTTTTCGTAGATCTTCTTCTTCAGCGTCGTGCAACTGCTTAAGCCTCGGGGGCTCACGCTCACGCGTACCCCGTGAATATTCCCAAGTCATCCCGAGCCAAGGAAAGGCCATGATTTTGCTATGCCTGAATCGGATATAACAAGCAAGACTTCTTGAGCAAAATGTGCTATCCAGAAAAAATATGAAAACAATAGCCAAAGGATTCTCTCTTGGTCGGGGTTGATGCCAATGCGTGTCTGGTGATCCTGCAGCGACAATCAAACCCAAATTGATAAACAATGGTAAACTCATGTAAACTGATGCAAATTCTAATTTGGACACTAACCCCTAGCGCACTCAGTTGTTCTGGCACCTTTTTGCTGCTGCTGCTCGGAAAATGAAACCATTTGTATATGCTTGTGGACGCTTCAGTGTGACCACTGACGAGCTTTTTCGGCATTTTCTGACTGCACCTTGCTTTCCAAGATTTTCCAAGCGCATGACCTTTTACATCATATCATCATTGTACTGACCGGATCTGACCGGCATTTCTGGTATCTTTTATTATCTTTTTGTCCTTTTCTGGGAGGTTGCCAGCCGCACTGCCATATCTGCCATATCTGCCATGCAATTTCTGCAATCTGCTTGTCTTTCTCCTCGTGGCGGACTCGATATTCCTCGATCTCCTGGATCTGGATGGATCTGGCTGATGCGAATCGGCTTCCCTTGGCAGATTTGGCAGGGATCTCATGAGATTCTGGAATATTTATGATATTTATGGACTATTTCATCATATTTCATCTATTTCACTTCGAAACAGGATCTGAGCTGTATCCCAGGAGGCAATCCGGCAGGATGTGCGGAGCAGCTGCTGTAACTTGATGATTTTTGATGGAGAGATCTGGAGAGTAAATATGTTTGTGAAGATAGAGAGCCAGCAATGGGCCAGCAACCAAGTTTCCAGAGCTGGAAGCGGGTGCAATCTCGGAGAACTGCTGGTCGATTGGAGGCGATCACGCAGAGCCTAATGTTTTTGGAAACAAAAACAAGTCGCGGACACTGCCATCGTTTGGCTTCCTTGGATCTACCTTAAACACTGCTAGGCTAGAATTAGCAAAAACGGGTGGGAAGACCAAAAAGAAAACATGATGTGATCATCTTGACGCACGCGCGTGTGTAGGGAACCAGGGACAAGATGGGACAAGAACATGCAGGAACCCTTTGCTTTTGCTTTGAGACTTGTGCAAGTACCCCTCCTCCGCTCACTGCAGTGTCCCTGTCTGGAAAATGGTTGTCATATTTTTATGATCTGCGCACTGCACACTAGCTTCAAAAAAAAAACTTGAGTCATCTAGATTCGTGTTCATCACCCCGATGATGGATATGGAATGGCAAATTTGGCCACACAATCTTAAAACACAGTGACTTCACGAAGCTTACACTAATGGGCATATGTTTTTTTGGCCCATTCATTAGTTGTACCTCTCAGTTGATGCTGTTGCAAGAAATCTGAACAGTTGCAATGTGAGAGGCTGGTTCATGAACTCACTGGCAATACTTCAGATACCTTGGTGACATTTGGTGACAATTTGAGCCACATGATGTGACATGGTGTCACAATATGTCACAATTTGGTGTCACAATTTGCATCAACTTGCACAACCAACAGGTAGGTCACAAATCAGCCACCTGTGATGAGTCCATTGTCGGTGCCAAAGCCCACAACAAGCAGGGCAAAGCCGAGGAACACTTGCAAAAGCTCCTCTGGCTGAAGGCTCAGCTCAGGGAGCAACTCAGAGGTTCTGCGAAACACAAAAAAATGATAAAATCTCATAGGGTGAGGTCGACACAGTTTTGAGATGAACTTGCACCAGCATGGAGTCGAAAAATGTTGAAAAGGTGGCACCATCCATTGTTTGTAAACTTCGTCCTTCGTGACCTCTGGGGGCGCATAGTCATCCCCCAGGACCTATGGGGATCTGTTCGAAACAGTGGCAGTTTCTTGGCCAAGTTGGCCGCACAGCACTCACAAAAATACACCAAGTAATCTAAGTGAATATATAGTGAATTCATGTGAATTCACTAGGTGCAAACTTTGTGAATCTGCCTGGCGCAAACTTTCGTCTCCCCAGTCACTGGCACAAGGTAGATGGCCTGGCGCAGCGACAGCTCCCCGTACTCTACATGTTTCTGAGTTCTTTTCAAGGAAAACAGTAAACATTTCGGCAATGATTAACAATACATCAAACAAATTCAATCAATATCAATCAATACAACATTCTCTCCGTCTATACCTGCATGCTGCGTATTCATATACGCCACATTCTTCCCAACTCTTCCGGGTTCCCAGCACTTCTCATGTGCCCGTGCCTTGCAGTAATGGGTCAAGCGGGGCCATTGGATTTTGGGCATCAGCCCTTACCTGCACAAATCCCAGGATGAATCAAGCCCCATCATTCACGGATTCACGGACACTGCACTCACCCAAGGACATTATGACACCGGGATGATGCCATTCGTTTCAAGTTGTGGCAGTCATGGCAAACTCCAAGGGAATCAATCACCTTGTGCCAGCAGCATGTGCAACCCCTGCCATCAGCCATGCTTCGCCAGCCAAGCCAAGCAACTTTCTTCCAAAAGTCTTCCAGGGTCACGGGCTCCAAACCCATCAGCCTTGCCATCTCTGCATAACCTGGGTCCATAGCTAGCTGTGTTCAATTGTGTTCATATGATTCATGTGTTGTGATGGGTTGGGGGGAAAACGACCTTGTAATCCGGGACAATCCAGGACGACAAAATGCAAGTCTTTAGTGCTCCTCTCTCATTCCCTGCAAGAGACTGGGACTCCGAGGGTTGAAGATATGGAAGATGTGCAGTCTATCGTTGTGGACTTGGTCAAGATCTTGTCGAAGACAAGCCTCAATCATTGCCTGCAGGACTTGCCGGAGCTTATTAATCAGGCTGAACACTATGCGCGGTTGTCACGAGTCATGAAACTTGAACATGTGTTTTATGATGTTTTATGTGTTTTGGATTGTCTTGGCCCTTTGGCCACTGCAATGGATTTGACATCAATTCCATTCAATTCCGCTCCTTGGCAGCGTAGTCCACCGGAGTCACATCACATGCAAGTCCCGTCTCAGGAGCACAGCCAAGACGAGAGCAGCTGGTGACAAAGCGAGTAGGAAAGAAGTTGGGATGGCAGCGACCTGGACAGGGAATGATATGAATGATGCTACACCCGTCGTTTGCATTGTTTCCGCCGATTGAATTCATGTGCTGAGACTTTCTTTCCCTCACCTCATGCAAAGCAATTTGAAGCAGTCTGCCCTGGATCAAGAGCAAGAATGACACGCTTTATCAAGTGTATTTGAAAGCAAAAAGTCTGTCCCAATGCTCTCTCATGAAAAACATGAGATATATGTATCTCATGCTGTCTCCCTGCAGCCTGTGGTGGAGTTCCCCCAAAGCATGCCAGGGCGGAAAACCGCACCCTGCAAACCATTGCGGAATGCTCTGTGCACGAAGCGCTCCGCTGCCAACTTGCTCAGAACATATCCATTGGACATCGCCTGTCCCGAAGAGTCCATGGCGGCAGCTCAGAACAAGGTATGAAAATAGAATCAATCAATCACCATTTCACCATGGATCAACATCTCATCAGCATCTGATCAACATGAGATCAACTTACAATCACCAGGGGGTCAACAGCACTGATCAACCTTAAATCAGGACCTGCAGCCTGGACGTGGCCTGAGGTGGCTGTAGCTCTTCACCCTGTCCCGCCACGGAGATGGTCGAGACGAAGAACAACGGCACACCTGACGGACGGGGCGGACATCTGGGGACATGGCTGCCAACATGTGCCAAACAATCATCAAGATATGGCATTAGATATGGGAGTGATATTGGATGAATCAAGATATGCCTGATATATATATATATTATATATTGATATTATATATATATTATATTGATATATGGCATTAGAATCATTAGATATTGGATGATTTGGATGAACATGTGATGAAAATCAGTCTCTGAGTCTCTGTTGAAATAGTCACAGCCGGATGATCCGGACGCCCGCCTCTCTCTGCACAAAGTTGAGCCACTTGCCAGGTGCCCACCACATTGCCTGGGCCCCTGAACATCCCTGAACTAACCACGGGTTACCGTATTACCACGGGTTCTAGCAAATGTTCAGTTCATTTTTCAATTGGGGGACGGGCTTATAGACAGGTCAGAATCGGTCATATGTCAGAAATGCCAAGCTGCTCTTCCGGAGCTCTGCATAGCTCAGGGCCCAATTCACTTCTGCTGCAGAGTGCCACACTGCATCCTCATTGCTGGCAGGCGGCAAGTAAGTTGACCACAGGTGCCCAAGCTAGCCAAAATAACCAATGTGCATGTTTGCTCGAAGGTAAGGACAAAATCAGTTAATTACTTTGAGTGATTCCACTTCAATCCTTTTGGGTATTACTTGGGAAATGTGAAAAGCGGACATAAGCACGAACAAAGTAGTGAATAAGGAAAACAAGGATACTGAGGAAAAAGGATGGAATTTCGAGCACGGTTTCAGTGGAGTGAGTTCATTACTGTAGATTGTTGATCGTCGTTCTTTGGTAGTGTTTTACATTTCTAGACATGACAGTGAGCATGTTGCAAAGTCGTGGGCGCAGCAACCATGCACTATCACTCCTGCCCAAGGAAGCGAGAGGTTCGGTTGAAAAAATTCAAGCATCTTTCAAAACGACAACACGGCACGCCAAGAGATGTAAGGCACACTGCATCTGGCTCCTTCAGGCAAGAAAGTAGGAGGGAGGAAGAGTAAAGAGGTGAGATGCAACAGGAAGTCTTAGGACCCTGATCCGAGAGAGGAAACATGCATAAAAATGCATCAAACTGCACAAACTTAGCGACGTAGCACTCCAAAATTTCCCACTGTTCCTCCAGCCATGGCTATCTGGTCAATCCAGTGCTGGGCTGTGGTCAGAGACGGTCAGAATGACATATGGAGCCCTGATTCAAAGATATTCAAAGCCATGATGCAAAGACCAGGCTCGACAAATCTGCACCGAGATTGACCTGCGACACGTCTCCCACAACCTGCCTTGGATTGAGAAAGGCTTTCAGAGGTGAAGGTTTGTCAAAGTGTTCCAATATGTTTGATATCATTTTGAAGGCGTTCAGAAACGCCTTCTGTGATGCGAAGCAGTTTGTGAATCTTGAAGTCTCTGCATATACAGCTCCCATATCATGGACGGCCTATGATGATCTATCATGGTCATTTATGATCTATCATGATCATTAATGATCTATAATTATTTAATGAATATCAATGATCTATGTGTCGTTTATGTCCTTCACCCACTTCTAGGGCACACGATTTTCAACATCTTTCAACACCAGGTTGCTCCACATTGGATGGCAGACTGGGCGAAGGCTTTCGCACCAAGGCCTTGGCACACCCGTTGAGCGGATCCATTGTGATCTGGGACTTTGGGGATGTCAGACAGCATAATATCACATGTATATCACAGGTATATCACATATCACATGTATATCACATGTATATCACATATGTTGACATGTATATTGTATATTGTATGTATAGGAAATATGTGCAGGGCTACATTGCGTCAATCATATGGGCATGGCTGGTATGATAATTCACCAGCCCCAGCCAACACGAGAGGTGCAACCATGGGTTGATCCAGCTGAAAAACAGTTTTTACTCAGTCAAGGCACTACCACTTCCTTGCCCCTGGCCAGCAGCTCATCAATCAGTTCCCGTCCCAGCAATCCAGTGCCGCCAGTGACAAAGAAACCTGGGCCGGTCATGCCATTTCACCCAATAGAACCCACCCATTCATTCCATTCAAACTCCATCATATTCCCAAAATTCATTCTACAATGCACTGTGTCTCATTGTGTCTCTGTTTTTGCTGGCCATGATTCTTCCTCTAAGCCAGTGCCATTGCATTTGGGTCATTCATTTGCAAATGGGTTTTTCATGTTTGAGTCATAAAGAGGACAAGTAAAGATAATGAAAAGTCATAAAAGTGTGATGTTGCATTTAATGTTTATCAAAAGTGGGTCTTAATTATTTCATGTACTAAAGTAAGTGGCTTCAGCATAATAATTTCGTAGACACATCCTGGTTCCAGGTGTGGACATGGGGAAATCATGGTTGGGGGTCTGGATACCGGCCCTCAGCATTCTTGGTTACATGTGACATATTAGGAGCATGGTCACTACCCATTAGAATATTGTATAAGACCACTCACCCCCTACTGTTACCATAACCATCCATAACTATAACCATAATCTTACAAAAGACACACACACACACACTTTGCTACTGCCCTCCGTGCCAGGTTCAAACTTGTCCGTGCCAGGTTTTGCTTCTTGCAAAAGGGCCGGAACCTTGAGTTTCTCTTTAAGCTTGAGTTGTTCAATTGATAACTCGAATAATGATAGCATTCACCATCAATGACCAGCCCATTTCTAATACCAGTCAATTGATGGCAATCTTTCATGTCTAATACCAGTAAATTTATGAAGTAATGTGGTTCATGTCTAATTAATCTGTATAAATAATCTTCATGAAATTATTAAGGGGGGGCAGGGCGGACTGCAAATGCATGCCTCACAGGCTCACACTTCACTGGTCCTCGCTTTGTCCAGCCGTCAGTCATAGAGTCAGAGCAATCATTGTTAGTTAACATGTTATTTCATATCAAGTGATCCACAAAGATAGCTGATATTATCATGAAATTATCTGCATTGAAATCCGAACTTCATTGGTTTCTTGCATGTCTCATTTTTCAGGGGTTCTTACAAATCATTACTATTTCCATCCTTATCAGGTTTTGCTTCAACTGCACTCCAGGGTTTGGCCACCGGCCCTGGAGTTACTAAGGTAGCTTTGAATTAAGGTAGCTTTGACTGCACTCCAGGGTCTGGCCACCGGCCCTGGAGTCACTCAGGTAAGACAATCTGGGTCTGGACACCGGCCCAGGTATCACTAAGGTAGCTTCTGGCGTGTGGCCCTTACTTGTTTTCATCATAGTTCAACATGATGTCACTCCGGCACTGTAAGTTTAACCCTAATTTTCAGAACAATGCATGTTAATTTTCAACATGCTAAAATGGTTCTATTTCTATTTTTTTTTTAATCTGGCAAGTTTGGCAAACACAGTCGTAGCAAAATATATCATTATTGCAACTAGACATGTTTATTTTTTCTTCCATGTCAGCCTTTTAGTTTGCACACTTGTCAGGCGACAGCAGAACAAGCAAAGCCATGCAGTTTACCATCATAAGTGATTCATAGACTCTAGTCTGATTTTTATCAATTCACAATGATGGATGACTCATAGTGGATTCATGGATGACTCATAGATGACTCATAGATGACTCACAGGTGTGTTGTAGATGACCCATAGATGATTTTAGTAATATGTTTATCATGTTGTTAGATAAATCCTGGCACTTTGTTAGTAACTGTATTGTTAAACTGCATGGCTTTGTAACGGTCTGGGTGTCCGACCGTGTTTGTTCTGCAGGCCCGGACTCCGGCCTGTTGTCACATGTCCCTGGATTCCGGGACTACTAAGGGACCAAGGTAGACCCAGCGCCTGGCTTCCGGCGCTGGGCTCAGGGACTCCAACCCGTGCCTGGCTTCCGGCACCGGGTTTCAACAAGCTGGTCACTACATACCAGTGCCTGGATTCCGGCACTTGGTAGCCCTGAGCCTCCTTCATTACCAGTGCCTGGTTTCCGGCACTTGGTAGCCTTCTTCAGTCCGTTGCCCAGAGTCATCACAATCACCACCACCATCATCACCATTATCCTCATCACCATCATCATCACCACCAACATCTTCATCATCCTCATCCTCATCGTCATCGTCATCATCATCATCATCATCCTCATCATCCATCATCATCATCAACATCATCCTTATCATCATCATCATCATCATCATCAACATCATCCTCATCATCATCACATCATCACAACCGTGATCACCGTCATGTGTCTCATATTTAAATGCATGTTCACAGCCATGTTCATCCTAATGTAAATCAACTAAGTCTGTTTTGCACTGTCTTTTTTGGGGTGCCACATTGTTTCAATGACCATCCCCATGGTCAAGTTCACCATTGCCTTTGATGTGATTAAGAAATTTGTGACCGGCCCCACACTAAACATCATCGGTACCATCAGCATGCTCCAGTGTCAGCTTCCTTATCCATAACCATCAACAACATGCTCACTCAGCATCACTTTTAATACTTTGATCATCAACCATTGATCAAAATTGTTTGGTGTATTGGTTGGTGAATCTGTCAAACAAATTAGACAACATATCCGTGAGATTGGCCTGGTTTGACCTGAACTACCTTTTGTTCTGTTTCTCTCAAAAAGTTTTAGGTTTTGAGAGTGCCAGTCAGACACATCTTGATTTGTGAATGGTAGATGTGGGCATCCACCATGTGAATATCATCATTATGTGGCACACTGGCCATGGCCAAAAGTTTCAATAACCTTCATGAAGACCGCAATAGGTTGTAGGCATGTTAGTATGAGCAAACATTGTGACACATTTTGATTCTGGCCTCAATAGACCCCTGTCCATGCTAACCAGCACCCAAGTTGAATAGTAAGCATCACCTTCGAGGTCTGCAATGCTGAAGTGAAGGAAACTGTCCGGATGTCCCAGACTGGACGGACACCCAGGTTGCTGCATGGATGCGGAAATACTTTCAAATTCACATCGAATCTGTTGAGTTTGCATTGTTGAGCTTGCACATTATTTGCATTTACTGTTTTTGGACATCTGTCATATATATCAATAGCAGCCTCATCATCATATGTTCATCAGCAGTGACACTTAAACTTTCACTCAAGTGAACACTCCGTCGCAAAATGAAAGCATGCAATACAAACATATGAATGACAGTTTTTCCATTGGAAAAAAAGCCACAGGATCAAAATAATAAGACAAGGATTTCAGATTTATACTGTAATGGTTCCTGATTTAGCTTGCCCAGTCTGAGGATGAACATGGAGCTGCAACATGGAAAAGTTCAAGCACTGAGTCCAGACCCTTATATTGTGCAGTGTGTGGATTGCTTGACAAGCTGTGGTTTTTGCAACTTTCATTATCTGATTTGTTGAATTTCAATCAACCAATGTGGTTTCAAACAGCCAAGATGTCCAGGAAGTATCTGGTCAAGTTGTGCAAAACGTATTTCTAAACATGCACCTACCCAAGCTACTTTGGCAAACCAATGTCAGTGTCTGGCCACCGGCACTGATCATTTCTTTGCCTGTGTCAGGATACCGGCACTGGGCACTAAGGTTGCAGAAGCCAGTAATTTAATACAATATAAGTTTTTGTATGTGTGCATGCCGGCAATGCTCAATATTTCATCATTGGATTCAACTTGTTTCAAACTTGACCATTCACAGCGATGTGGGGCGTACCACATATTTACATATTTCTGGACAGAAAACTTGGACGACATGCTAAATAGTGACTGGGATACGAGGTCAGAGTGATGTGAAAGCATATTACTCCAGCCTGTTCGTTTTTTATTGTTTGCGACACAATGCTGCCAGTGTTCCCTGTACCAGCTCTGATTTTAAGCAGCAAACAATATCCGTTCATTAGTTTAGCCATCAGTGCTGTTCCAGTCACACTCTAGACGGATATCATTCCTCAGGATCCCTGTCATGTAGTTCTATCTTCAATTCATGTTGCTCCTTGATTCTTGATCTTGTTGCGCATGATTACGCATCATGATATGAGAGGAGTCTGTGCCAAGGCACCTAACCATTTCAGTCATATGTTCAGACGACCGGTTGCAATGTTGAGGACGTTTTGTTTTTACCAAGCAGCATGTCCATACAGTTCTGGAGCTCCCCCATTTTTTGATTTTAAATTCTATTGAGTCGACATTGAGAATTCAACTTGTTTTCTCAGCATATCTCAAACCTATCGTAATAGAATCTAGTTTGTATTTGTGAGTAACTCAGTTTAAGCAACAGAGGACGCAAATTGGTTTTATTGATGTTGTGAAGAGACATTGTCTTCTCCTATGTTTCAACCATACTTGCTTCTAATGTTTTCTTTCTCACTACGTCGCAGTTAAGTGAAATTGAGAGTGTCTCGCTGTCAATGACTGGTAGGCCTCCGGTGTTGGTGAAAGGCTTGGGCACGCCGACGGTTCAGATCATGCTCCAGAGCCCTCTCATTGCTGAAGTGCGTCTTCTCTCTGGAATGTTGGTGGGAACAATTCAGGTGCATCCAGAGGAGCGGTTTTCTTCTCTCCGGGAGAAGGCCAGAGCACAACTCTGTGCAGCCCGTTGCTTCACTTTTCCAGAAGCTCTTCATGCCCACTTTGAGTCCAACGGTTTGAAACTTGAGGATAACGTTTTACGGAGAAAGGTCCGTAAGACTTATTTGAAACGCTCCTAGGGCCTGTTCCAGCAGCCCCAGCTGAAAGGATGTCCAGCTTAAGTCTGGAGGGGAAACTATCAGTTCAGCATCAATAGCAAAAGAGTCAAAAGTGAACTGCAACCCTCCCTGTGCAGGGTTTGCTTGTCAAGGGCCCTATGGAGACGGCAACCCCGAGTTGCCCTCCCCATAGCCTAGGTTTATTGCATTTCATGGCATCATGACAGGCCATGTTACACCATAAGAATCTGTTAAATATAGGCTACAGAGACGGCAACCCCGAGTTGCCCTCCCCACAGGGGCCCTGACATCAACACACTGTACAGACACGGTTGCTCAACAGTCAGGTAATAATCATCATCATTGGAGATTGCATGTGTCAATGACTATGTGCAGTAGAAAAACGGTTGGTAAAGCCACCACATTCAGTGAGAAATAGAGTTCGTACCAGAATCTACGGTTGGTCACAACATTCCATGGATACGGCAACTCCGAGTTGCCCTCTCTGTGTGCCGTGTTCAGTGAGACACAAGGGTTGGTACCACAATCTCACGGCTACGGTTGCTAACAAAATCCCGTGGCTACGGCAACTCCGAGTTGCCCTCTCCGTGGGCCATGTTCAGTGAGAAACAAGGGTTGGTACCACAATCTCACGGCTACGGTTGGTAACAAAATCCCGTGACTACGGCAACTCCGAGTTGCCCTCTCTGTGGGCCATGTTTCCTCGATAATGTTGGCAAGAAACCTTTTTTCATTCCTTTAGATGTTTAGATCTACAATTGATGGAGCTACGGTTGCCCCTCCTGGTTCAGATCTACGGTTGGCCCTGACATGTCATACCTACGGTTGCCCCTCCTGGTTCAGATCTACGGTTGGTCCAGAAATGTCATACCTACGGTTGCCCCTCCTGGTTCAGATCTACGGTTGGTCCAGAAATGTCATACCTACGGTTGCCCCTCCTGGTTCAGATCCACGGTTGGTCCAGAAATGTCATACCTACGGTTGCCCCCCTTGACCTGAATCTACTGTTGGCCCTGAAGCATGACATGAAGTGTGTGGACTGGATGTTTGGAAAATCCAGTTCTAACAGATTAGTGCGAGGTAGAAACATATTAGTAGAGCGACTTGCATTCATTCAGATGATATTGTTTGTTGCAATAATCACAACTTCTACAGCAACCAACGGCATCATTTCCCATGGGGGTTGAGATTTTTTTATTGTCACTCCTGCCAGCAAGTGTGAAACGGTGTGATGATGATATCCCAGTCACTATTTAACATGTCGTCCAAGTTTTCTGTCCAGAAATATGTAAATATGTGGTACGCCCCACATCGCTGTGAATGGTCAAGTTTGAAACAAGTTGAATCCAATGATGAAATATTGAGCATTGCCGGCATGCACACATACAAAAACTTATATTGTATTAAATTACTGGCTTCTGCAACCTTAGTGCCCAGTGCCGGTATCCTGACACAGGCAAAGAAATGATCAGTGCCGGTGGCCAGACACTGACATTGGTTTGCCAAAGTAGCTTGGGTAGGTGCATGTTTAGAAATACGTTTTGCACAACTTGACCAGATACTTCCTGGACATCTTGGTTGTTTGAAACCACATTGGTTGATTGAAATTCAACAAATCAGATAATGAAAGTTGCAAAAACCACAGCTTGTCAAGCAATCCACACACTGCACAATACAAGGGTCTGGACTCAGTGCTTGAACTTTTCCATGTTGCAGCTCCATGTTCATCCTCAGACTGGGCAAGCTAAATCAGGAACCATTACAGTATAAATCTGAAATCCTTGTCTTATTATTTTGATCCTGCGGCTTTTTTTTCCAATGGAAAAACTGTCATTCATATGTTTGTATTGCATGCTTTCATTTTGCGACGGAGTGTTCACTTGAGTGAAAGTTTAAGTGTCACTGCTGATGAACATATGATGATGAGGCTGCTATTGATATATATGACAGATGTCCAAAAACAGTAAATGCAAATAATGTGCAAGCTCAACAATGCAAACTCAACAGATTCGATGTGAATTTGAAAGTATTTCCGCATCCATGCAGCAACCTGGGTGTCCGTCCAGTCTGGGACATCCGGACAGTTTCCTTCACTTCAGCATTGCAGACCCCGAAGGTGATGCTTACTATTCAACTTGGGTGCTGGTTAGCATGGACAGGGGTCTATTGAGGCCAGAATCAAAATGTGTCACAATGTTTGCTCATACTAACATGCCTACAACCTATTGCGGTCTTCATGAAGGTTATTGAAACTTTTGGCCATGGCCAGTGTGCCACATAATGATGATATTCACATGGTGGATGCCCACATCTACCATTCACAAATCAAGATGTGTCTGACTGGCACTCTCAAAACCTAAAACTTTTTGAGAGAAACAGAACAAAAGGTAGTTCAGGTCAAACCAGGTCAATCTCACGGATATGTTGTCTAATTTGTTTGACAGATTCACCAACCAATACACCAAACAATTTTGATCAATGGTTGATGATCAAAGTATTAAAAGTGATGCTGAGTGAGCATGTTGTTGATGGTTATGGATAAGGAAGCTGACACTGGAGCATGCTGATGGTACCGATGATGTTTAGTGTGGGGCCGGTCACAAATTTCTTAATCACATCAAAGGCAATGGTGAACTTGACCATGGGGATGGTCATTGAAACAATGTGGCACCCCAAAAAAGACAGTGCAAAACAGACTTAGTTGATTTACATTAGGATGAACATGGCTGTGAACATGCATTTAAATATGAGACACATGACGGTGATCACGGTTGTGATGATGTGTGATGATGAGGGTTTGAGGATGATGATGATGATGATGTTGATGATGATAAGGATGATGTTGATGATGATGATGGTGATGAGGATGATGATGATGATGATGACGATGAGGATGAGGATGATGAAGATGTTGGTGGTGATGATGATGGTGATGAGGATAATGGTGATGATGGTGGTGGTGATTGTGATGACTCTGGGCAACGGACTGAAGAAGGCTACCAAGTGCCGGAAACCAGGCACTGGTATGAAGGAGGCTCAGGGCTACCAAGTGCCGGAATCCAGGCACTGGTATGTAGTGACCAGCTTGTTGAAACCCGGTGCCGGAAGCCAGGCACGGGTTGGAGTCCCTGAACCCAGCGCCGGAAGCCAGGCGCTGGGTCTACCTTGGTCCCTTAGTAGTCCCGGAATCCAGGACATGTGACACAGGCCGGAGTCCGGGCCTGCAGAACAAACACGGTCGGACACCCAGACCGTTACAAAGCCATGCAGTTTAACAATACAGTTACTAACAAAGTGCCAGGATTTATCTAACAACATAATAAACATATTACTAAAATCATCTATGGATCATCTACAACACACCTGTGAGTCATCTATGAGTCATCTATGAGTCATCCATGAATCCACTATGAGTCATCCATCATTGTGAATTGATAAAAATCAGACTAGAGTCTATGAATCACTTATGATGGTAAACTGCATGGCTTTGCTTGTTCTGCTGTCACCTGACAAGTGTGCAAACTAAAAGGCTGACATGGAAGAAAAAATAAACATGTCTAGTTGCAATAATGATATATTTTGCTACGACTGTGTTTGCCAAACTTGCCAGATTTAAAAAAATAGAAATAGAACCATTTTAGCATGTTGAAAATTAACATGCATTGTTCTGAAAATTAGGGTTAAACTTACAGTGCCGGAGTGACATCATGTTGAACTATGATGAAAACAAGTAAGGGCCACACGCCAGAAGCTACCTTAGTGATACCTGGGCCGGTGTCCAGACCCAGATTGTCTTACCTGAGTGACTCCAGGGCCGGTGGCCAGACCCTGGAGTGCAGTCAAAGCTACCTTAATTCAAAGCTACCTTAGTAACTCCAGGGCCGGTGGCCAAACCCTGGAGTGCAGTTGAAGCAAAACCTGATAAGGATGGAAATAGTAATGATTTGTAAGAACACCTGAAAAATGAGACATGCAAGAAACCAATGAAGTTCGGATTTCAATGCAGATAATTTCATGATAATTTCATGATAATATCAGTTATCTTTGTGGATCACTTGATATGAAATACATGTTAACTAACAATGATTGCTCTGACTCTATGACTGACGGCTGGACAAAGCGAGGACCAGTGAAGTGTGAGCCTGTGAGGCATGCATTTGCAGTCCGCCCTGCCCCCCCTTAATAATTTCATGAAGATTATTTATACAGATTAATTAGACATGAACCACATTATTTCATAAATTTACTGGTATTAGACATGAAAGATTGCCATCAATTGACTGGTATTAGAAATGGACTGGTCATTGATGGTAAATGCTATCATTATTCGAGTTATCAATTGAACAACTCAAGCTTAAAGAGAAACTCAAGGTTCCGGCCCTTTTGCAAGAAGCAAAACCTGGCACGGACAAGTTTGAACCTGGCACGGAGGGCAGTAGCAAAGTGTGTGTGTGTGTCTTTTGTAAGATTATGGTTATAGTTATGGATGGTTATGGTAACAGTAGGGGGTGAGTGGTCTCATACAATATTCTAATGGGTAGTGACCATGCTCCTAATATGTCACATGTAACCAAGAATGCTGAGGGCCGGTATCCAGACCCCCAACCATGATTTCCCCATGTCCACACCTGGAACCATGATGTGTCTACGAAATTATTATGCTGAAGCCACTTACTTTAGTACATGAAATAATTAAGACCCACTTTTGATAAGCATTAAATGCAACATCACACTTTTATGACTTTTCATTATCTTTACTTGCCTCTTCATGACTCAAACATGAAAAACCCATTTGCAAATGAATGACCCAAATGCAATGGCACTGACTCTCCATTTGCATATTCTGTTCTCTGTCATTGACGTTAGATGACGCGTGTGCAATCTTGTGCGTGCTCAGTCAACGCACGATACGAATCTTGAATGCAATGGACCTGGATGAACCATGATGAACCTGGGCTGAAGCAGCTTTTGGGACCCAAAGATTCCCAGAGCAAGGTCTGTGAACCGAGGTCCCGCTTTCAGACAGGTTACGCTGAAGCTTCGCTTTTTGGGCACCTTTCGGATGAGTGCCTTTGCCCTCCATGTTCACCGGCATGGCAGCCAAATCCGCCTTGGCATCACTGATTACGTAAACTGCTGTACCAGTAATACCGCACAAGGCAGGTGGCGGAAGTTTCAAAAATAGGAAATCTATAGGAGAGGTTGGTTGTGGTGAATCACGGATGGCAGAGCGAAGCCACTGATGGATCGAAAGGTGATTGATGTCTCCTCTCTTTCTCTCTCTTTCTCTCTCTTTCTGTCTCTTTATCTGACTATCTACCTACCTACCTACCTACCTATCCATGTATCCATCTATCTCTCGCTCTCTCTCTCTGTTTGTCTGTCTGTCTGCCTGTCTATCTCTCTATCTATCTACCTACCTATCTAGCTACCTCTGTATCTATCTACCTATCTACCTATCTATCTATCTATCTGTCTGTCTTTCTACCTATCTATCTATCTATCTATCTGTCTATCTATCTATCGATCGATCGATCTATCCATCCATCCATCCATCCATCTTTCTCTCTCTATCTATCTATCTATCTGTCTATCTGTCTATCTGTCCATCTGTCCATCTGTCCATCTGTCCATCTGTCTATCTGTCTATCTGTCTATCTGTCTATCTGTCTATCTGTCTATCTGTCTATCTGTCTATCTGTGTATCTGTCTATCTGTCCATCTGTCCATCTGTCCATCTGTCCATCTGTCTATCTATCTACCTGTCTATCTGTCTATCTGTCTATCTGTCTATCTGTCTATCTGTCTATCTCTCTCTCTCTCTCTCTGTCTGTCTATCTATCTGAAAGCAAATGAAGCTATTCTGCGAGACTTCTTCAATTTTTGAATTTGACAACATCAAAAACAAATGACTTCTGCGAGACTTCTTCATTTTTTGAACTGGACAACATCCAAAACGAAGCAATTCTGCGAGACTTCCTCATTTTTTGAAGTTGACAACATCAAAAACAAATGAATTCTGCGAGACCTCCTTCAAAAAATGGAAAGTTGAGTGCAGAGCTGACAGCCTCGTACCAATGCGGTTTGCGATTTTTCCAGTCCACCTGTCGAAAGTACTGCGCCTTCCACGACAAAGTGATGCCAGGTCATACGAAGTGCTGCACCTGTCACACAAAATCATCTCAGCAAACCCGAAGATCTGATGCGCGAAAATGCAACCCCTCTCAGGAAATCAGCGCCCTGACCTCCTAAATCCTCCTAACAGCTCTGATGAACATGTCTTTTGTACTACGTGCCACGCGAAATGCATCTTTGAAGGTCCTCTTCAAATGTCCCACGCCTGCCATCACTTTTGGAAATTCTACGAAACCCTCACGTTTTGCTCACTTTTGACAAGGTGCACAATCCCTTGCGCCTGCCACGCGAAAGCACATCTGAACGTCCAAAAGTGCTCCGTACCCGTCAGTTTTTTGCACTTTTGACTTGGGCATGTGCTTCGCGCCACAACGGCCTGCACTTTTTCGACATCTCAACTGCCAAACATGGTCCGAACCTGGTGTGTTTTGTACATTTTGACTTGGAAATGTGCTTCGCGCCACAACGGCGTGCAATTTTTCATCTCTCATCTGGCCAGATGGCTCCGCACCCGCCGCTTTAGCGAGCCTACTTTTCGACCCTCCGGAGCCTCAAATCATTGGAAAAACACAGTGTTTCGCGACTTTCCTACCTTTTCGCTCACCTGCATCTTCTTTCTTCTGACTCTTTCTCTTCTATCATCTTCTCTCTTCTGCTCTTCTCTCTTCTGCTCCTCTCTCTTCTACTCTTCTCTTCTCTCTGACCCTTTCCATCTCTGCTTTTCATCTGTCCATGCACGGGTCAAATGCCAAACTTACGAAGAATCCAAGATTTGAACCATAGAACCCCCTTGATGCACACAGCATTTGGACTCATTTGGTCCACTTTTTGGTCAACATCCAGCATCAAACATCATCAGACTAAGATGATTGTCCCCAAGTGTCCCCAAGATTCCCCAAGAGTTTGCGCCTCCAAAACCTCTGGCTCAGCCACTGGGAGCTGCACCCCGCGCCGCAGCGCCTCAGCACAGCGCCGGACCTCGGCTTCAGCATCAGCATATGCACGGGGACCTTTTGAAGTCTGAGGTCATCATCAAATTTTCTATGAATTGACCGTAATTTCTTATATTTTTTCTGTATATCATGATGGATCTGATGGATCAGGAGTGTTCATGAGTTTCGGATGAAACAAATCGCCACGTACGAACACTGCACTGTCTCTGTGGAGGTTTGGCAGCGGCCGAAGCTCGACCGAAAGCCGCACTGAAGACTTCTCTGGATCCAGTTCTCCAAGTCACAATTTCCATGGAATCCTTTGGCACTGCTCCCATCTTCCGGCCATACCGTTCCTTGGCACAAACTCGAGAGTACCAGCCCTGGCAGGGCTCGCAAAATGAGTTGCATTCCTGTGAAAGGCCTATGGGAAGTCACTAGGAAACCAGCTTCCAAAATCAGAATTTAGTAGCATGTGCATACATGAATCTGAAAAATGAAAAGCTATGAAAAACACCATAGTAAAACTCGCAAAGTCTCACCACTATTTTGTCGAACACTGCAACTGCACCGCTGGGACTAGTATCGTGCATTGAAATGGCCAAGAGGCCATCAGGGCTCTGCGATTGAGCTTCCTCGCAACTCAGAATGGGTCACAATGTTTCAATTTACTAAGGCATACCTTCCCACAGGATAATTTCGGATAAATTGGAACCAATCACTCTCTCTCTCTCTCTCTCCATCGCCATCCCGGAGGTTCAGCATCAGGTTGACGCTTAAGTATGCTACTAAAGATTATCAAACTATATGAAAGATCATAAAAGCACAATAAGGTTCCAATGCATGTCCCATGATTTGGCAAAGGCACAGATTATCCAACAATCCACCGTTCGAGACTGTCCAGGGATGCGCTTCCAGATATATATCGCTTACCTCAGCACAGAGTCCCATAATGTCCCATGCATCTTGCTTGTTGCATCTTGTTGCATGGTGCTGCATGGAATGTCAAGAACCAAGGCGGGCACTACCTCATGGGCTGCCAAGCCATTCTCCCGAGCAGCTTTCTGCATTGATAACCTCAAAGCTGGCACATTGCTTCGGCCAGTTGCAGATGTTGCAGTATTTTTTTCTGAGCTGGAATGTTTGCATAAAACTTCCCGTGTGGTCTATTGACATATTGACTAGCATTGTTGGTCTCTCGAGACCTTGAGGCTCCTGCAGCAACTGACTTTGAGTCAGTTGACTCCACGCACGTTGAACGCAGGCAGCAGAAACGGTGCTGTCCTTACTGGCTGGGCTCTGCCCTGTGTTTGCAAGACTAAGTTTCACCATACCAATTGGTCAACAGTTGATATACCATTTTTTTTTATATACTATTCATTTGAGGTTCAGGGCAGGCTGTAAATGCAAGGGGCGGATGGAATTGCCATGATGAACACTTGGTCCAGCTCCTTGAGGAAACTCACCTTGCAGTTGAGATCAGTTGAGCATCTGCTCAGTGGACTCTCTTTTTCGGAAAGCGGAGGGGGCAGGGTCAAGTGTGACAAAAGATATGCAGCCTGTCTGGTGCATGCGCGACATCCGTCTAACAAGAAGATCCTGCGCATATATATATATATATATAAATATATATACATAGAATAGAATCAAAAGGTGAGCAGACAAAATGCAGTGCCTCCTTTCCCATCCTTTTGCTACTATACCCACAATTCGTGAGTCCCCCTATAGAACAACATTCAAATCATATAATTAAATAGCTAATCCCTTCCTCCTAATACTAAACCCCCCCCCTAATACAAAACACGGCAGGTAGTTTTTAGTATTAGGGGGGTATTTATTATTAGGGAACCAAATCGAAGTCATGTTAATTAATTAATTAAATTTCCTTATATAACGCAATTAAAATATTGCCAAAAATGGCAGTTCGAAGCTTACCCCTAATACTAAATTAAAACCCTTAATACTAAAAACTATTTTTTCCGATCTCAAAATCAATTAAATTTCCTTATATAACGCAATTAAAATATTGCCAAAAATGGCAGTTCGAAGCTTACCCCTAATACTAAATTAAAACCCTTAATACTAAAAACTATTTTTTCCGATCTCAAAATCAATTAAATTTCCTTATATAACGCAATTAAAATATTGCCAAAAATGGCAGTTCGAAGCTTACCCCTAATACTAAATTAAAACCCTTAATACTAAAAACTATTTTTTCCGATCTCAAAATCAATTAAATTTCCTTATATAACGCAATTAAAATATTGCCAAAAATGGCAGTTCGAAGCTTACCCCTAATACTAAATTAAAACCCTTAATACTAAAAACTATTTTTTCCGATCTCAAAATCAATTAAATTTCTTTATATAACGCAATTAAAATATTGCCAAAAATGGCAGTTCGAAGCTTACCCCTAATACTAAATTAAAACCTTTAATACTAAAAACTATTTTTTACGATCTCAAAATCAATTAAATTTCCTTATATAACGCAATTAAAATATTGCCAAAAATGGCAGTTAGAAGCTTACCCCTAATTGCTAGAGTAGCTAGGCAGCTTGGAGTGAGGGATTGGGACTAGGCCCCCCTAATACTAAACACCCCGGGGTGAACTAGTTTTTAATATTAGGGGGGAGAACCCACAAATGGTAGGTTGATTTTTAAATTGTTTTTTAAAGGGGATCAATTAAAAGTCAAATTGGCCAAACTGAAATTTTCGGAAATTGGAGATGGATGCCTGTTTTTAGTATTAGGGGGACGTTTAGTATTAGGAGGAAGGGATTAGTCATAGCTAGTCATAGCTAGTCATAGCTAGTCATAGCTAGTCCATCTGCAACATCTAGCAAACACAGCCATCTGTGATATAAGGCATTAGCGGCTAGCAGCTCAAAATGTTTTCTGCTGCCCAAGGGCATATTTTTCCTCCAGACCCTCAGCTGACACGAACAGGCCATTAGCCAACTTGGTCATGTTGCCGCGTCGGCCTCCCACGCTCGCGATCTTTAAGTGATGCAAAGGCTGCTTTCTTGGATTTCGTTTACGCGCAGGCCAGTGGGCCGAGTTACCAAGTCATGTCAAACCAACAGCTTCACATGCAACATGCGATTGGGATCCACTGGGCATTTTCAAGCCTTTTGTCACATTGGCTCTTAAGATGATGCTATGCAAATTATGCAAATTGCGCCCTTTTCCATGCCTAGTAGTTCCAGCTGCCCCTCTTCAAGGCGTCCAATATCACCTTCCAGCTTCCAATCTACCAAATTAGCATGTGGCAAAGACTGGACGAGGGCTCAAAAGTTGCATCCACATCAGGCTCCAAATTTGCACTGGGAAAGCAAGAGTAGCTAGATCTACAAGGGATACAACTCACCCGATTGGATTTTCCATCCAACGTCACATGATGGAAATCTATGTCTGCGTCTGCAGAACTGCAAAGCCCGACCTGTGCAATAGTAGCCCTCCTCATCCAGATTTAGGGAGGCACCAACATATCCTCGAGCCTGAACTCCTTGGCAGATTCCAACGCTCCAAGATGCTCACTTTCACCTACATTATGCCATCAATCATGCCTGCTCTTGCCTGAAAATTCTTATTAAGTTGCCGACCGCACCCTGCACCCCAAAGTCCCTAAGTCCATGCATGCACATGTTGCATCTATGCAGTTGTGCTTCGCTCATTCCTGCATCTGACTCGGATCTCTCCAATGCTTCCTCCTTTTCAGGACCGGCTTGCGACAAAAACATCGTGCGTTGTAACTGCCTCCCCAAAGCTCGTGATTTCATCCCTTCAAGCTGTGTGGGATCGTCTTGGCCCTGTTGGTAGCTGGGCTTGCTGTCAAACGGCCCCTGTGCTGCTGGGAGTACAGGAAGCAATCGCACAATGCAAGGTGTTCCCCTCCTTCTTCATGGCCAAGCTCAGCACATGGCACAATCTTGACCTGCACACAGGGTATCCGCACAACTTCATGGCCAGGCCGGCAAACAAACTGAATAGTTAGTCTATTTGGTTCCATCATGTTCCATCAGTTTTTTTCACATGCTTTTGTCCACTGGATTGCTCTGCCGCTTAATGAATGGATCCATTTATGATGCAACACCTACGCAAATCCCACAGCGTGTTTTTTTTTTATGTTTTCCATGCCTCAACGTTGGGATTGATCCGCCCATTGCGCGCGATGGGTCCCACTTCAGTGGCGCCATAACCTCCGATGCTGCGAATGGATGGAGACATTTGGCAACCAGAACAACACCAGGTGCAAACGAGGAGCCATTGGTCACGCCTCATGTTTGTGGCATGGCTTGACATGTCTTGTTGACATTCTTTAGGGTTTTTATGGATTTAAGACATCACAGGAATCCAGGGCTATGATCAGCCTGAGTTCGTAATGTCATGTTCGGCTATGTTCGGCTTGGATCTTAAGGCTTTAAGCGGCCAAACATGCAAAATGCAAACTAAAGCATGCATGAAGCCACTGAAAGCTAATGATTCACCCGATGCCTGGCCTACGCGATCAAGTGTTGTAAGACTGACCTTTGCGCTTCATTTTTCTTCTCAACATGCTTTTTAGTGTTGCTTGCAAGGCCTTTCCCCACACCGAGGCAACCAAGATCAGAGAAGAGTGGGAACAAGCTCGTTACATTGCATGTCAATCCCTACCCATCCACCCTTATTGGATGAAACCAGCAGCAGCAGACACCTTTTGACGAATGGTGGAAAGGTCGCAGGTACACAGACCAGCAAGCAAGGACAAGCGGGGAAAGTAGGCTGTGACCTGACACAGACAGCACTACCCAAGCACACCACCACAGGGTTACACGCACAGGTAACCAAGTGTACCTGCCCCTAAGACAAACACCTTCATGACCTTGCCACCCGTCCCTTCAGCGGCTTCTGTGCTGCCTTTTTCTCTCTTTCTACTCAACACGTCTCTATGTTACTGTGGGACTTTGTCACCACGAAAAGGGGATGGAGCTGTCGATGAGGTCCTCGGCAATCATGTCTGGCCTGCACTTCGAACAAATGGCGACAGCTTCCCCTACTTGTTCCCTCGCCGACAGAGGCTTTGCCAGCCTTCCCGCGGCAGCCCATCTGCAGCCACCACACCGGGTGACCCAGTTGAGCGGGTTGCCAACCCACTCACTGCTGTCACTCCTCGCTGTGGCATGCACCATGAGAGTGGACAGGTTCAGGACCAGTTTCGGTCTGGCTTGGTCCCTGATTTCCTGTACCATGGTCCTGGTATTTTGATCGTTGGTCCTGACCTCGGTTTTGACCAGTTCGATCATTTTCTGTATCTCTTCAAATTTGGCGGTTTGCTCCAGGGTTTTGCGTGCCACTCCTTCCCACGTAGTCAAGGCCACTTTGTTCTCGGGCATCTCCTCTAAAGCGTCCTCCACATAGCCTTGGACCGCACTGGATCCCCAACGGCCGAGCCATTGGACCATCGCTAACGGGAGACCATGCCTCTTGACAGCGTCCTTGGCCCCTGACCTTCTTAAAGAGTGGCCCGTTACCCTTTCAAAGTTCAGGGCTGTCAGTCTGTGCTTTGCAAGATTGACTGACTTGCAGGCTTCCTCGGCATCCTTTCTCAGAGCCGCAATCATTGCCTCTTTGCTTACCATCAGGGCTGGACACCCGACTTGTCCAACCACGGTAAACTCTTTCAACTCCTCTTCCTGGTAGCCCATGCCCCGAAGAACTTTGGTTCTTCCCGCCATGACCTTCACCGTGGCGTGAAAGGGGCAGTCCATTTCGCCTTCCTCTTCCGGCGGCCACGAGCAAACGCACGATCTTGTGCGCCTCGCTCCCTTTCCTCCCGGGTCAGTCTTTGACATAGAAAGGAGCAACGTGACCTCTCTTCTCTCCAGGTCTAGTGCAACAGACCCCATCAAGAGGTGTGCGAGCTCTGTTTCTCGCAGCAGGAACGCAGAACCCATTCCCCAAAGCTCCGGCCCTGCTTGTGGCTGCATCTGGCTTCTAGTGAAGCCATGCCGACCTGCCTCCTGCCATACTCTCCATAGCTTCGGGGGTATCTCTTCGGCCTTCACCACAGGGCCAAGTGCTCTGGTCAGAGCCCTCTCTGCATCTTGCATCGCCAGGTCTGATGCGTCCCATTGGTAACCTTTTCTCAGATGCACCTGTTTTGCTTCCGCCAGGTACGTCGCCCCCGAGGCGAAGTCGGCCGCTCGCAGGACCACGGCCACTTCCCCGATCACTGCAGGGGTAAGTGGAAATGGCTCCAAGTTTCTTGCTTCAGCGATCTGTACCACCAACCTGGCCTTGCTTTCTTTGGCAATCGCTGTTGACTTCGCATAGACCAGCTCCCCATAGTTGATTCTCGCCTGCTTCATCAAATCTTCCGAGGCGGCGACCACCAAAGCCTTTGCCGCCGACCCCCTCGCCCTTGTTTTCGGCGGTGCCACCACAGGGCCCGTGGTCCTCGCGGCTGGGGTCCCCGCCGGGGTGGTAGGCGCCCTGAGCTCCACCGGCTCCACGCGGTGCCCCTCGCTGGACAGCGTTCTCCTCCTCTTTACACTTTTGCTTTCGTCATCTGACAAGGCAGCATCGTCCTCTTTGGGCTCCGCTTTGACCACTGGCCTGCTCGCTTCCGCCGCTGTGCTCCCCCCCCCGTGCGGGTAAAGGTCGCTACTTCCGGCTGACGGGAGCCCCATTTCGTCTTTTGCCTCATCATCATTTCCCGGGGGCTTGGCTGCGGCATAGGCTTTCATCACTGAGAAGGGCATCACTGGCCTTTCTCCGTGAAGCGCCCAATCCTTCCGCTTTACCTCGGCCCACCAGGCCATTTCGAGGTGGCGTCCTTTGTCACCCAAGATCCTCTCTGCCAGTGCACCCGCCAAGTCATTCTCTGTTTCCATCCCAGGCTGCGCTAGCATAGCACTTCTCTTTCCAACCTCCTCGTTTTGGCAGGAGACTACTAGCTTCGCCTGCTCTTCGGACTCGTCTGACCCGCAGGCACACTCCAGGCAGATCCACTTGAAGGGTGCTGTATGCATTCTTGTAATGCACGCCCCACACAGTTCGATACCGCACCTGTTGCAGTACCCAATTACTGGCTTCCTGGAGCAGAGCCGACATACCCTCTGGGCCAAGGCCGACCACGGATCGAAGCCATCGTTCTTGGGAAGGCGCACTGGCCCATTGGCGTAGTCTTCACGGGACGCCGTCACTTCTTTCTGCCTTGAGCTGAATCTTTCAGCGACCAGATCTGCCTTCCTTTTCGACAGCTGCTTCTGCGACGGGCGATCTCTACCTCCCGCGCCTGCAAACCTCCTCTGCTGGCTTGCTGGAAGCAGCCGCGCGGCCCACATATCTATTCTGTGAGCAAGAACCACAGCAGCGCTGCTGCACCGAACAGCGCTGCCGCCAGGTAGGAGACTACCTGACCCACGACACCGCGCACTGGCGGGCGAGGGTATGCGCTGAAACACAAGGTGTGTCGGGCCGCTATGTTGCCCCGATGTGTAGCGCTGCCTCTCGGCATTCGCGGTGGCTGCACTGTGCCACGTGACTACTGGGCTTGGGCATAAAAGGGACTGCAGACCAGTGCTTGCTGTGCTCTTGGATCAGCTACAAGTCTGAGACCCTAAAGAGCGTAATAAAAGCAAGAAAGCGACAACAGAAACAAAATGGGAAAAAAGGGGGACAACCCTGTGTGGAGCCTACCAGAGGCCAACAACACTGCCACACCTTTGACTCGTGTCTCCCTCACGTCCCTCTGGAAGCCGCTTTCCTTTTCACTGCCCACACCTCTGCTTCGAGAGGTTTAGGTAAGGTTCCACCAGGTTTCTCTTGAAATCAAGGCGCGTCACAGGCACCAAAAGTGCGGGCACAGCCGCACCGCGGGACAGCCGACTCAGGGCGTCTGCCAGGTAATTGGCGGCCGAACGGACATGGTTTCCTTGCCGCAGGTCAATGTCAAATTGACGAAGCACACAGGCCAGCTCTGCGGCTACGGCTACCATACCTGGTGAGGAGGCCCGAAGGTTTAGAGCCGTATGCAGGACGCCTGTGTTATCAGTCGTCAGGTGCACGGCCTGACTTGCGATCTGGGGCCCAAACAGCCTGGCTGAAATGGCCACTGCCAACAGCTCCCACTCGGATTGCCAGGCTGGGTCTCCTGTTTTGGCCCCCAGCAGCGCCAAATCCCATTCTTGGATTTCGTCTGCCCACCAGGCGACCGGCATACCATAAGATACCCCCAAATCCAAACACCGATGCATCCGTCTGTATTTGCCACAGTGAGCGCGGGTGCCAATGGAAGGTGGCATTCAGGGAGCTGCATTGGGTCATCCTGCTTAGCGCCAAGTACACCTGCTTCATGAACACCAAGTTCTTGCGTTCCCTGGCGCGCTTTGTGACCCTGGCCTCGCATTCGGTGACACACCCCCAGATCATTCCAACCCAAGGCCTGGCCAGCTTGACAATTGACGTGAGCCACCCCAGTAGTCCAGCCATCGACCTGAGCAGTTGAACGGGGACTATACTCCTTTGTACCGTAGTAGCTCTTCCAGAGCCCTTTGGAGCTTTTCCAGCTTCTCTGGCGAGAGCTGCGCCACCAAACAGCCGTCTTTCAGCTGCAGCTGGAACCCGATCCACTGCACGGTGATCCCTAGCTGCATCTTGTTCCAACTCAGTTGGCAACCCAAGGCCTGCCACAGCAGGAGGGGTATCGCCAGGTTCACTGACCTGGCCAAGGCATTTGGTCCCTTGACCACGAGTAGGGGATCGTCCACATAGCACTGTATGCGGGCGGTATCACAGCAGGCTGCCTGCGAGAGCCTCACCAGGTCTGCGGCCAGCCTTGACCACAACAGCGGCCCGCAGGCCAGGCCGAACGCAACTACTTCTAAGATGTAGTAGACAGACCCACTGGCCTTGACTACTACATGTTTGCGCTCCATGGGCGCCAGTCGGCATTGGTAGAAGGCATCGCGGAAGTCGATTACTGCGAGGTGAACAACTGCATTGTTTTCCTCTTGCATCATTGTGGCCCAGTCGTACTGCGACGTCGCTCACTCGCGGTAGAACGACCCGCTGCCTGATGCACATCAACCCGTTGATGCCAGATCGGCGGCAATCGACCACCAATCGGGTCTTCACGCCCCCTCCCGGCTTGGGTTTCTGAATACACCCTAGCCTGGTCAGTGAGGCTCCTTCTCCCGCCGACCTCAAAACCTCGGCCCATGAGTTGCAGCGTGTTGCATAGCCCGCTTCGGCCACGCGCTCCAATTCTTCTAGGGCTGCCGGCCCTGCCTCCTGAAAGGACTTGTAGTTTTCTGCTTGGTCTACATCGCACCAGTCGGTAAGCAGTGGAAACTGTCTTGATAGTTCCACAGCTTTTGTATCCCCCTCTGTCATTGGGAACACGTTGTTGACTCCAAGCTCCTTTTCTATTCCCAGCGGGAAACCTTCTCTCAGCCAATTTGCCACATCCTTCTCTGGGTCGTGGCTCATATTCAACAAACTTTCCAAGAGAGTCACTCGTATCGGAGAGGGGGCTTCCAGTTTTACTCCTGCCAGCGATGACAGCGCACTGGCTGCCGCTTCCACAGTGTCTTCGCGAAAGCCTGCAAATGGCGCCCCCGATGCCAGTGCCTGCAACTCCCGCGTGTTCTCCTTGATGACCCCCAAGAGCACATGACGCACACTGGCGCCCAGCTTCCACGCTGCGGCTTTGCTCTGGATGGCGCCATAGGGATTCCTCAGCCCCCCTACTGCCTGGTTGTTTTCCATCTCTCTCCTTTCTCGATTGCTTGCTGGCTGCTTTGACTGTACCTCTGGCCGCACCGCTCTGAGTGCGTTCCCTTCCACTTTGATGGCTTTCTTTTGCAATGTCACCCGTCCTTCCTCCGTCTTCCAGAAGCGGACAAGTGACTGTGCCCATGCCCAGCAGAGTCCAGTGGGGTACTCAGCTGCCAAAGCAGTTTTCCACACTTCCCTGGGAGGATCGAAGAAATAGTCCAGGGTCTTTCCAGCCAGCCCTCCTGGCATATGTTCGTGGGGCCGTGCGTCCACGCACCTGGCACAGACGTGCACCATCCAAGCTGCGTCTGTAAGAATACCTGTCGGCTTTTTGGTCTCTGCCCCATACGGGCATTGGTCGAGCCCCACCTTTCTCATTCTTTTCATATGCCTCTCTAACGTTGGTTGTTCCCAAATGAACGAGTCCTCTGGGTTCTCCAGTGAGGCGGTGTTTCTTGCCGCCTGAGCTTCGTCTAACAGGACCGCCGCTCTCTCGACGATTTTGTTGCCTTCCACAGTCAACGGGTCTCCCCAGCCCTCTGGCTGTGCTTGTGACCGAACAACTTTGGTGGCACCGAACTTGTCCGACCTCCGTGCCTTTGTGAAAGACTTGCATGGAGGCGCCAAGTGGGTGTGGTCTGCTTCCCTGACCCATGCTCGTGCCCTTTCGAAATCCTCGTCCACCAAGATATCCCAGCTTGTGGTCCAAGAGTCTTGGTGGTTCATAACTTCGACCAATTCTCCACCAGCCAATTCGACGGCCCCCGAAAATCCCGCTTGCCCGGCAAACAGCTCCAGAAATCTGAAGCGCCGAACGCCAACACTGGGCGCCTTCTCCACGCCAACACTGGGCGCGCCGGAGGCGGAGCTCTGCAGGACGGGGGCTATCTCCTATTTCTTGTTTCCTTTTCCTTTTCCTTTTGGAGGGTCCTTCTTGCACTCCCGATTTTGGTGTGCACCCAAACAGATCTGACATCTGTGCGCTCGGTTTGCCGCACAGGGCTCCGAGCAAGCGTCCGGTGTAGCTCCTTTTGCCCAAGTGTAACACAGCTCTCGCCCCTCTGGCGTGCTGTGGAAGAGACCTCCCCATTTCTTTGAATGGGTTTTGTTTGTAAAACGGTCCTCCACCTTGGGCTTCGTGGCTTGCTTCTTTTCTTTGTCTGAACATTCTCCTGGACTCTCCTTCTTTCTTTTCTTCGTCTTCTTGTTGGCTGGCGACGTCGGTCCCAAAGGAGCTGTTGCACCCAAGGCCGCTTCCACATTTGCCGACGATGCTTTTGCCCCCTCTGACACTGGCTCGAGAGTTGGTTGCAATTGGCTCCCCATCCTTGCCAAGAAGGCAACCGCTGGCCTCCTGACATTGGAATCCCAGTATTGGTGATCCAACGCCGCTGCTTGAAACACTCCATCCCAAGGGGTTCCGGGGTTGAAGTCCACATCCAACGGCACTTTGCCTTCGTTGTGCGCTCTTTGCAGGTTCCTTCGAATGTGTTCGACCCTTTCGGCTCTCATTCGATCTTCGGCTGGCATTAGTAGGTGCCAGCACTCTGGAAACTCTTGACAGAGCTCCTTGAACGCCTCGAAGTATCGCTCGAGGGAGTGGGGTTGAACCACCAGCGGCCTCCTCGTCACCATGCCTCGGGTAGCGCTCACTGGCGCTCCCCCGGCTGGTGCCGCCGTCGCATTGTAGCGCAGCATGAATAGCACTGCACGGTAAACCCTGAAGCAGGCTTGCCACGCCTGAAAGTGAGGCGGTCCCGGAATATCGGCCGCTTTCCACGTGCCATCCGGCTGAAAGGAGTAACTTTTCGTTTTCATGGCTCGTTGTATTCTTCTCCCAAAGGGTGTCCGGATGGAGAAGTCTGCGTAAGGGCTTTCGTCCCTCACCACGACCTTGTCTTCCATCGCTGCGACCTGGAGATCGGTCGGCTCCACTTCTGGTAATGGGTCCGCACCAGTGATTTCCCGATGGTTCTCGTAGTAGATGCCCATCTCTGCCCTTGTCTTTGTTGCCACTTCTGTGTCGTCCGTCTGATCCAACACATTTGACAACTTCACCTTCTTTGGTGACGGCTGGTTCTGTGCAGCCAAAGTCGGGGCTGCCAGTGGCATTCCACTCACTGGTGGACTTGCCCCAACAGCGGCCCTGATCGCCGAGGAGGACTCTGCTCCTGGCAACATAGGGTCCAGGTCCTCCAATCCCACGGCCTGCCTGGCTACCCGCCACACCAACGCCATCTGGATCGTCTCGGTGACGTTGGGATCGCGTGTCGGAGGCGGACTGCCATCCGCCGGGGCGGCACCAGAGGGGATCCGCAGGCCCAAAATTGTTTTCTGCAGGACGGAGGCTGGGACCATGGCCAAGATCCGGACACTGGGTGGATTGCCAAGATGTTTGGCAAACAGCGCCCATAGATCTGCATCCACCGCTGCAAAGGCGACCACATCGTCCAGTGAATTCAGCGTAGCCAACTCGGCCGGTGAAGCAAGTAAAGATGCCATAGCACAAAAGCTTCCAATGCATCAATCCTGCTTAGGACTGAAAGGAAAGTCCCGCACCGACGGCCTGGGGCGGCTGACCTGTTGCGGCTTCGCCCTCCGGGAGCCTTTGGGACACCGCCCAAAGCAGCCGAAGCACAGGCCACACGCGCAGCCCCACACCCAGCAGATCGCCAGCAAGCCGCACAGGACCCACTGGGGATTAAAGCCGGCGGAGGACAAAGTCGCGGGTGTCCAAAGAGTCAGCTCGGTGCCCATCAAAAATCACCAGACACCCGAGCAGTTCTCACACACCACTAGTCCAAGCTGCACACTGGCAGCTTGAGCCAAAATGGCATGTGGGAACTGCAAGATCAACCACGCTGGGAGGTGGTGTGTTAAACCTCCCACCCACAACCATGCAATTTCACTCGCAATGTTCTTACATACATTTGTATTTCAAGAAATGTAGGGAAATGTAGGGAAATGTTGGGAACGTGACAAGTTGGGAACTTACATGTCATAGGCTTGGTGGTCGAGATGCTGCAGCTCTCCGACTCAAAGCACATCTTCAAGAACTCCAGCAACCTGAAGGCACTGGAGTCACTGGAGACACTGGAGACAAGCTTGAGCTTTCAGCCTTCTTGTTTTCTTTATGGCTGCTCCAATTGCGTTGTGAGACTACATCCAAGTTGGACATATGGCATGACATAGACTTCCCGTTCTTGGATAATGATACATCACTGACATCATATTGACATCAAAGTTGGAAACATAAATATGGCTTCGATTGGTTTCGGAATGTTTCGGATATGTTTGGGCCGCGGCCAACAAAATCAAGCACGACAAATCCTCACAACTCTGTGGCCTCCCGATACCTTCCAAGGTTGATCAGGTTGATCGGCCTGGAAGTGACTGGCGCAGAGCCCACTGACAGACGCTGGAGGCGTGAGCCCAAGCTTCCACGGAGCTCCTGGAAAGCATCTGTGATGCTACCATGATGCTACCTAGATTGCAAAGAGAAACAGAAACCCAAACCACAAAATGCTGAGTGGTAATTATATGTAATTATGCAATATGGAGGATAAAAAGTACACATTGGTAGCATATGGTAGAATCATTTTCTGATATGGGGGTTTCCTAAAATGGAGGCACCCCCAAATCATCCATTTTATTTTCTGATTTTCCATTACAAAAAAATATAAACCATCTAGCTGTTCTGGTACCACCATTTCAGGAAACCACCGTATCTAAGTTCTGTTGCAATATCTCTTGCAAGCCAGGCGCTTCCAAGGACATCTCTTTGGTCTCATACGCCTTCATGCAAGCCAACACATAGCAGGTCATGTGCTCAAGTTGTATATCTAAAGCCTAAAGCATTCTAAAAGCCCTATCTGAAACTTCGAACAATTGAATTGCATCAATGGCCAGGAAGAGCATTGCATAGCATTGCAGCATGGCAAGCAATCACAGTTTTGTGTTGTTTTGTTACAAAATGTCGCAATTTGCGTTGCCCAAGTCGTGTTTAGTCCAGCCATGTCCAGCCATAGCCAGGAGACGTCGAGAAGAGGCTCGTAGAATCGTGGGACTCCTTGTGGCGCGAGATCAGCACGGCAACAGATTTTAGATGATTTTAGCGGGGGGGAAGCGCCCGAAAATCCCGAAAAGGCAACCACGGAGCCAAATCCGCCGACCCCGGCCGACAGCAAGGGGGAGCGCGTCAGGGAAGAGAGGTTGTGGACAACAACAAATACAACAACGGGTCTTGGGAAGCTTTCCAAAGTAGCAGCAGCAGTAGCAGCAGCAGAGCAGCGGCAGTGGTAGCAGCAGCAGAGCAGCGGCAGCAGCCAGTAGCCAGCAGCCAGTAAGCAGGCAGGAGGCAGCCAGGACTCAGCAGCCAATAGGCAGCAGCCGCCAAGCAGCCAGTAAGCAGGCAGCAGGCGGCCAGTAGTCAGCAGCCAGTAGGCAGCTGCCGCCAGCAGCTGCAGCAGCTGCATTCTCCGGGGGCTCTTTTGAACAGGCGGCAGCAGCAGCAGCAGCAGGAGGCTCAGGTGTAGCCTTGTTTAGAGCAGTTTCAGACGAGACGTTAGGCAGTTTTTGGTCATTTTTTCTGGCCCATCCGCCCTTCGCTGCCATGGTGTTTCCCTGTCCGGGACTCCGGGACCCACGTTTTTGCAGCAGCCAGCGGCAGAAGCAGCCAGCAGCCAGCAGCAGCCAGTAGCCAGCAGCCAGTAAGCAGGCAGCAGTAGCTACTAGTCAGCAGCCAGGACTCAGCAGCCAGTAGGCAGCTGCCGCTAGCACCTGCAGCAGCAGTATTATCCGGGGGCTGTTTTTTGAACAGGCAACAGCAGCAGCAGCAGCAGCAGCAGGAGGCTCAGGTGTAGCCTTGTTTAAAGCAGTTTCAGACGAGACGTTAGGCAGTTTTTGGTCATTTTTTTCTGGCCCATCTGTCCTTCACTGCCATGGTGTTTCCCTGTCCGGGACCTACGTTTTTGCAGCAGCCAGCAGAAGCAGCCAGCAGCCAGCAGCAGCCAGTAGCCAGCAGCCAGTAAGCAGGCAGCGGCAGCCAGTAGTCAGCAGCCAGGACTCAGCAGTCAGTAGGCAGCTGCCGCTGGCAGCTGCAGCAGCATTATTATCCGGGGGCTGTTTTTTGAACGGGCAGCAGCAGCAGCAGCAGGAGGCTCAGGTGTGGCCTTGTTTAAAGGTTTCACACGAGACGTTAGGCAGTTTTTTGTTATTTGGCGTCGTGCGTCCAGCATCCAGAAACCATTCCTTGCTTTGAGCAGCGGAGCAGCAACAACCGAAGTAGCAGCCGAGCAGCTTACAGCAGGAGCAGGGCAGCAGGAAGGCCACGTGGACACAGTTGTCAAGCTGCCAAGAGCTGGAAATTTGTGTTTTTTAACTAGGGTTTCAGAAGGGACGTTAGGCCTCGTGGATTATCATTGCAGGGCACCATTCCGTCCCTCAGTGCCATTGTGTTTTCCTGTCCGGGAGGTGCGTTTTTTTAAGGCAATTTGTTGGCTAAAAGCACACCAGCAGGAGGAGGGGCTTGTAGCAGCAGCAGCAGCAGCAGGCAGCGCAGCAGGAACAACCGAAGTAGCAGCCGAGCAGCTTACAGCAGGAGCAGGGCAGCAGGAAGGCCATGTGGACACAGTTGTCAAGAGCTGCCAAGAGCTGGAAATTTGTGTTTTTTAACTAGGGTTTCAGAAGGGACGTTAGGCCTCGTGGATTATCATTGCAGGGCACCATTCCGTCCCTCAGTGCCATTGTGTTTTCCTGTCCGGGAGGTGCGTTTTTTAAGGCAATTTGTTGGCTAAGAGATGTGGCAAGCAGTTGCAGCAGCCGCAGCAGAAGCAGCGCAGCAGCAACAACCAAAGTAGCAGCCGAGCAGCTTACAGCAGGAGCAGGGCAGCAGGAAGGCTATGCGGACAAGTTGCCAAGAGCCGCCAAGAGCTGCCAAGAGCTGGAAATTTGTGTTCTTTAACTAGGGTTTCAGAAGGGACGTTAGGCCTCGTGGATTATCATTGCAGGGCACCATTCCCTCCCTCAGTGCCATGGTGTTTTCCTGTCCGGGAGGTGCATTTTTTTAAGGCAATATGTTAGCTAAAAGCACACCAGCAGGAGGAGGGGCTTGTAGCAGGAGCAGCAGCAGCAGCAGCAGCAGGAAGCAGCGCAGCAGCAAGAGGCAGCGCAGCAGCAACAACCGAAGTAGCAGCCGAGCAGCTTACAGCAGGAGCAGGGCAGCAGGAAGGCCACGTGGACACAGTTGTCAAGAGCTGCCAAGAGCTGGAAATTTTTTAACTAGGGTTTCAGAAGGAACGTTAGCCCTGTGGATTATCATTGCAGGGCACCATTCCGTCCCTCAGTGCCATGGTGTTTTCCTGTCCGGGAGGTGCGTTTTTTAAGGCAATTTGTTGGCTAAAAGATGTGGCAAGCAGTTGCAGCAGCCGCAGCAGAAGCAGCGCAGCAGCAACAACCAAAGTAGCAGCCGAGCAGCTTACAGCACGCAGCAGCAGGAGCAGGGCAGCAGGAAGGCCATGTGGACAAGTTGCCAAGAGCTGCCAAGAGCTGGAAATTTGTGTTTTTAACTACATTAATCAGAAGGGACGTTAGGCCTCGTGGATTATCATTGCAGGGCACCATTCCGTCCCTCAGTGCCATGGTGTTTTCCTGTCCGGGAGGTGCATTGTTTGAAGGCAATTTGTTGGCTAAAAGATGTGGTAAACAGCTGCGGGCTGCAGAGGTGGCAAACAGGTGCAAAACGCTGCTGCCAAGAGCTGTCAAGAGTTGGACCTTGTGTTCTTTAATGTTTTTTAACTAAGGTTTCAGAATGGACGTTAAGGCCCGTGGATTACCATTGCAAGGCACCATTCGTCCTTCAGTTCCATGGTGTTTTCCCGTCCAGGAGGCTGGTCAGCAGCAGCATCAGCAGCAGCCCAAGCCGGCACACCAAAAGCAGCTGGTGCTTTCCTGTCCGGGAGGTGCGTTTTTTTAAGGCAATTTGTTAGCTAAAAGATGTCGCAAGCAGTTGCAGCAGCCGCAGCAGAAGCAGCGCAGCAGCAACAACCAAAGTAGCAGCCGAGCAGCTTCCAAGAGCTGGAAATTTGTGTTTTTTAACTAGGGTTTCGGAAGGGACGTTAGGCCCCGTGGATTATCATTGCAGGGCATCATTCCGTCCCTCAGTGCCATGGTGTTTTCCTGTCCGGGAGGTTCGTTTTTTTAAGGCAATATGTTAGCTAAAAGCACACCAGCAGGAGGAGGGGCTTGTAGCAGGAGCAGCAGCAGCAGCAGCAGCAGCAGGCAGCGCAGCAGCAACAACCGAAGTAGCAGCCAAGCAGCTTACAGCAGGAGCAGGGCAGCAGGAAGGCCATGTGGACACAGTTGTCAAGAGCTGCCAAGAGCTGGAAATTTGTGTTTTTTAACTAGGGTTTCAGAAGGGACGTTAGGCCTCGTGGATTATCATTGCAGGGCACCATTCCGTCCCTCAGTGCCATGGTGTTTTCCTGTCCGGGAGGTGCTTTTTTTAAGGCAATTTGTTGGCTAAAAGATGTGGCAAGCAGTTGCAGAGGGTTTCAGAAGGGATGTTAGGCCCCGTGGATTACCATTGCAGGGCACCATTCGTGTGTGTTCCTATCCAGGAGGCTGGTCAGCAGCATCAGCAGCTGCCGAAGCCAGCACACCAAAAGCAGCGGAGCAGCAACAACCGAAGCAGCCAAGCAGCTTACAGCATGAGCAGGGTAGCAGGAAGGCCATGTGGACACAGTTGTCAAGAGCTGCCAAGAGCTGGAAATTTGTGTTTTTTAACTAGGGTTTCAGAAGGGACGTTAGGCCTCGTGGATTATCATTGCAGGGCACCATTCCGTCCCTCAGTGCCATGGTGTTTTCCTGTCCGGGAGGTGCGTTTTTTAAAGGCAATATGTTCGCTGAAAAGCACTGGAAATTTGTGTTCTTTAACTAGGGTTTCATAAGGGACGTTAGGCCTCGTGGATTATCATTGCAGGGCACCATTCCGTCCCTCAGTGCCATGGTGTTTTCCTGTCCGGGAGGTGCGTTTTTATTAAGGCAATATATATATATGTTAGCTAAAAGCACACCAGCAGGAGGAGGGGCTTGTAGCAGGAGCAGCAGCAGTAGCAGCAGCAGCAAGCAGCGCAGCAGTAACAGCCAAAGTAGCAGCTGCAGCAGCTTACAGCAGGAGTAGGGCAGCAGGAAGGCTATGTTGATACAGTTTTTCTACGGCTTCAGACGACATGTTAGGCACTTTTTGGGCTGCATTTTGTCGTTGTTCCGTCCTTCACTGCCACTGTGTTTCCCCGTCCAGGAGCCACGTTTTGGGACTCGGCGCAGCAGTAGCAAGAGTAGCAGCAGTAGCAGCAGCAGAGGCAGCAGCAGCCGCAGCAGAAGCAGCGCAGCAGCAACAACCAAAGTAGCAGCCGAGCAGCTTACAGCACGCAGCAGCAGGAGCAGGGCAGCAGGAAGGCCATGTGGACAAGTTGCCAAGAGCTGCCCAGAGCTGGAAATTTGTGTTTTTTTTGTGTGTTTTTTAACTAGGGTTTCAGAAGGGACGTTAGGCCTCGTGGATTATCATTGTAGGGCACCATTCCGTCCCTCAGTGCCATGGTGTTTTCCTGTCCGGGAGGTGCATTTTTTACGGCAATTTGTTGGCTGAAAGATGTGGCAAACAGTTGCGGGGTGCAGAGGTGGCAACCAGGTCCAGATTCAAAACCCACTCGCTCTGAAATATCAGCTAGCAAAAATAGGCCCGGGGTCGGCGGCAGGGGCGGCAGCCCTTAGATAAGGGAATTCCTGGTTCAATTCTAGGCACCTTAGGCACCCTTGCTATTTTTCTTTCGACTCCGATGCTAAACTTGCACCTGAAGTTGCCTCCGCGAAGCTTTTTTGACACATCAAATATGCCTGAAATTTCAGGGTGTCAAGGTGGGCAATGACTTTCTCCTTGGATCGCAGTTGGTTCAACCGCCTTGGCATCTGCATGCGCAGTTTCCGGAGTTGAGAACCTCGCATCTGCCGCCAGATTGTCTCTGGCAGTGATCTGGGATCCCCAAAAAAAACTGAAGAGTGAATAGATGGACCACCTTGATCTCTGAGGGCGCTGTCAATGTTTGGCAGTTGAGTTTTTGATCCAATCTTAACACCTTCCAACACAATGCAGTTTGCACCGTGCAGTATACTTACGTATACTTACCGCAGGATCGGTCCAAGATTAATTATCACAGCTAAAGTCGGTAAAGTGTAGGTGCCAAATCGCTGTTGAGAAACGCAATGCAACTTCCCTGGAGGAAAACCACTGCAGAGCCAAGTTGTTCCTTGGCTCAAAAGCACAGGAGGAAGCACCGGCGTGTTAACTACGATTGAAACCTATTGAAACGGACTAGACTCTAGACAATCGGATGTTGTAGAAACATCAGGGAAACCCAAATGTATGAACTCTTTAACCGCTGGGACAGAAGCTAGGTCTTTGCCCAAGCAATCCGACTCCAAAAGTTCGAAAGAAACTTTAGCAATGGAAAACACAAGAGTCGTTGGACTATGGCGTTTCCTAGCTTCAATATTATTCAAAGTTTTTCCAATTTGTGAGATAGTTTCAACAATTTCCACGATGATCGCAGATGGGCTGGCTCAGTGGTTGTATGCATTGACCAGCTGCTGACAGAATGAAACGCTGCAAGGTTCGTTCATGTGCGAATACGGCTGGTATGCCAAATGGCACGGACCTTAGGATGGTGAGTGCAGGGGGTTCAGCTTCAAGTCCAGCGGAGAATGATGGTTGAGAGTTGAGACCACAAAATGGCTGAAATATATTGAAAATTATTGAAATATGCTGAATTTTTAGTAGACCTGGCCCATCCTGGCCCCAAAGGAAGAACTGAACACAGCACGCCATCATGACATGTGTGCCTGGCGCCTTGGACGCATGCGGGCTTGAACTGAATCAACCGAAAGAAAACCACGCAACAATTGCAAAACAACAAAGACTCCTTTCATGCGTTTCATGTACATGTAATTATACCATATACATCCATATACCGTATACCTGTCTCATTTGGTCAAAGAGCGATCTGGAGTAGCTGACTTGGCGTACAGCCAGAGGATCGCATAGAGCTCTTCATGGCTACCTGTGGGCTGAGACGGCTGCCTTTCTAGTAGACAAACAAAATCAAGGAACAACGACCATCCCAAGAACCACAGTGCCGAAACAAGTCAATGAAAGACCCTTCTAGCGTGACCTGAATTCCGTCATATTGGTAGCCTGTTCAAAGAGGAACTTCTTAGTCTTGGCACGTTGCCAATTTGCATTCCTAGCTTTGGGGACAATCATATATCAAAAATGAACGTTGGGGGATTACAACCTCTTTTGTGCTGTCCTGCAGCCAAACTCTTTCAGTCGTTCACTTGTCTTGGCCTTATACATCTCCGTCCATCCGTTGTTCGCTTTCGCATGGTATCCCGCACAAAGTGCCCAAACAATTTTCCATGGAAGGATGTTTGACAGGGATCGGAGAACTGTTGCGCTGACATGACATGCGCTGACAAGCTACGACGTACAGCCTTGGGATTCCCGGTGGTACCAGATGTAAAGATCCTTGCAGGGAAAGTTTCACAGGTATTGGGCCATTGGGCAAGGTGCCACACCACTTCTAAGACAAAACTAGCTTGCAACATCCCTTGCTGCATCATGTTGCACTCTTTAAAGTTTAAAGCCAGTGTGATTTCGGCAACATTCCAATGGAAGGTCGCTGAATATACATGTTTGCCACAGAAGTTGTCCTTGCCCTAGTCTTGTCTAACCCGCTAAGGTTTGAGAAACGGATGCTCTCCTGCAGCTATGCCTTTAAAATAGAGGTGGCAACACCAATGATGCAAAACATTCTTTAGCTGAGATTCCACATACGCTCAGAACTGCTCAAATACAAAAGCTAAAACAATGATTTTTGTCAAATAGCATTCATTGATGCTGTCAGGTGTCAAATTGCCCAAACGATGCGGCTGTGCCATAGGCGGCTCAGCAAACGTTGAGCCAGCGCCTTGCCTACGAGGGTTCTTTTTGGATCTTTTTAGGTTTTTTAAGGTTTGAACGGCACAACTTGCAAACATGGCAAGAGATGCCATTGATTCCTCTCTTGGCAATTGAAGTGCTTGGATGTGTCCAAATCAGCTATTCCTTCACCTCATCATTGGAATGGCATTTCACAATCAGTCAAAGGATCCAAATCAAAAAATACCTTCAAGACCACTCAAAAAGGGGGACATAGTGGGACATTTACATGTGGTTTTACTCAATAGTCCATTGAGGAGGTACATGACCACTTGCCACCCAGCCTGGCAAAGGTTTGGATGTCTTTGGGCTGAAGCAGGAGACACTGGCAGGATGCAGCCCAACCCATGGTCTGTGTCACAAAATGTTGGCTCCCCTGTTTCAGTGGCTTTCAATTGGGCAATCATGAGCACTAATTGGGAATCAACTGTCTCCAACTCGAGTACTGGATCCGTGGGGCAGTTTGCCACGAGCGAATGCAGCAAAAAGCAGCGACACCTTCGTGGCCTTCACGTCTTCCAGTTCCTCCTTGGAAACTGGATCCTCACAGTATCTCACAGCCAGGAATACGATATCAGCACCCAAAGCCCAACAAAAAACTCGACACACGGGACAAATCTCAGCAGTTTCTTGTGTCAGTTTTAGTTCTCGTCATTTCTGACGTTGTCCGCTTGATCAAAATCCGTTGCTGGTCCTCCAAAACCAACAACTGCAGGGCGGGGAGAAGCCGCAACTCGGAGCAAAGGGCATGGCGGTGTAACGAGGTGAAGCACCACCTTGCAACAGCTATAGGATGCTATAGGTATTGTGCACGTTTCTTGACCTAGTCATGAAATACCACATATAGGAATCAATAGGATCTGTTCAAGTAATCTGCTCGAACTGCAACCCTATTAGTCAGCATGGAAAACCGTTGGCATTTGGCAGTGGCTCAAATCTGGTTTCAGATGAGACGCTGGTTCATCATGCTGACCAAGAAAATGAGGAAAGCTTCAACTCTGGTGGAGCCGCACCACGCAAGCCTCTAAGAATCAAGAGCCATCATGCAAGTGGGTAGCAGATGGTAGCAGCACTAAGAATTGACACCAAGCAGGATGGTGATCAAAACAGTTCTCTGACGGTTGTATTTGACACACACATATTATATATATACCTAGAGCAACCTAAGGCCTTTTTTTTGCCTTTTTCTAAAAGGCATTTTTTTTGGGGTTATGGAATCAAAAAAGGTAGCTGGAATCAAAAAAAAGGAGCAGGACATTCATTCATCATAAGAATCAATACCATCAGACTGTTCTTTGAGATGTGATCATACATGTTGGCCCAAGTTATTTGGAAAATCATATCCCCTCCCATTGGTTTCAGGTCCTTTCACGCCATGCCCATCCCTGGGCTCAAAGTGGCACAGAGTGTGCCTTTTTCCCTTTTCGAGCTCAAGACCGGATGTCAGCGGGATCCTCAGCCTCAGATTTGACCTCTGACCACACACACAGTTGCTAGACAACGTGAAGGTGAATTAGGCCACGCGAGTGTACCCAGAAATAAACAAAACCAACAACTTTAAAGTTCCAGGTTAGTGTATTTGAAGCGCAATGAGGTTAACTAGATATAAACTAAAAAAACAGCGTGTTCATGCCCCTGCAAACTCCGCGTGGCAACGCAGCAGGTAACGTTCTATGGTGCGTTGATTTGTAGCCATAGGATGGACATGCCTACTTCCTTTACATATCTTACCAACGAAATCCTCATCCATCTCACAAGTTTGGGTGGATGGACTGAGAACCTCATCGCATCCTGCAGCTAGTGCAGCATCGATGTCGTGACCAAAGTGCCTGAACGTGTGCAGGCATGGCTCCAGGTGATACCTAGCAATGCCCCTCTCATAGGAAAGGCGCGCTAAGTCACCAAAACTGACGCAAAATTTGCGGCACTCAGCTGACATCTCGGATGCCAGCCCCCTACTCCACCAAACACCCTCCCGGTGCAAGGTATGAAAGAAAATGATTGACGCATTGCATCCATCCAACACCCCTTTGAAGAAAGGAGCCTGCCAATCCTTTGGGGGAAAGTACAGGAGACTTTGTCCATCCCTGGTGATAGAATCAGGAAGAACAACCCCATTCAAGACTACATTCCTCAGCCAGCGAATGATCAACATTTGATCCGACCCCTTCCACCTAGCATAGGGAAACTTCTTGTAGTCAGGGAAGTGCAGGGTTTGCCTTGTGAAGGCCTTGGTGTGATTCACTACATTTCCACGCCACTCATGGCACACAAAGTACCGGAAGTCCCCAAACGCTCGCTCCAGCATGCTGTCGACATCAGAGCTTTGACCTGGAATTTTCCAGAGAGCGAAGTCAATGGCAAAAAGTATGATGGTTGAGGCACCAAAATGTCCACCAAGGGTTTGCTTGAATGCATGGAATGGGTCCCTTTTCCAGAAACCATGGGGTAGACTGGGTTGACAAGGAATTCGAAGCAAAGGGGATTCTTCACCTTGAACCCAGGGAGGAACCAATCCAACTGTGGCAGCCCAAGTAGGAGACTCACCGCATTGCTCAAACTCAAAACCTGGAAGCCCTGCACAGCATTCCCAGCAAATGCCTCGCCCCGCTCCAAGATTCATGAAGCTCCTCCGAAATGCACCCGACTTGATGAGAGCTGGCTGGTCACCTTTCAGGCCCAAGCACACTGGAAACCAAGTTTCTCCTCCAACACTAACACCTTCCTCCATCAATTTTTTGCATTCAGTCGCCAGGAGATCCAGCAATCCCCAATAGACATGAGTGTTCTTCTGTGAGTAACTTTTTTTGGGCAGCACCGTCCAAAGAAATCTGGTCAAGTACGTAGACCCTTTGGCATTGTGGTACTGCGCTCTTGTCATGCGAGCTTCAAGTGCATGCTGTGAATGAGCCATGAAATTTGAAAAGTTCTCACCAAAGATTTTGGAAGTTTCCCTCCCAAACACAGTTTGCATGGCGATGACTAGAACCGCTGAGCGCCGAAGCCCAGTGCCCTCATCTATGTGCAGGTAGTATGGCACACACTTTCCAAGTCGACCTTGGGTTTCGTGTAGGTCAAACACAGCATGGTCATCGTGGTTGGACTTGTAGTGCTTCCAGAAAGTCTGAAGCATCCGGTTGGATCTAATCTCTTCCCGGTCAAACCCTCCCAGGACGAACTTTGGATAACTCTTCAGAAGAAATTTCCACCATGTCAAAAGGCTGAGGTAATGGACCTTTTGGATACCAAATCCTTTGGTACTCATTTCAATAGGCAAACTAAGTTCTTCCCGACGAAACAGCCGATGAAGGTCCCTCTCCGCATTGTTCGGGTTTGCATTGGCGACCTTGGTCAATACATTCTTCGTCGACTGGCTCAGGTAGATGCCCTTGTCATGGAGCGTGCTGAAGGCCATGTCCTTGCACTTGGTCGCTTGAACCTTGGCAAAAGATTCGTTGGGTGGAGCAAAACACTTTACAGTAATCAGCTTTAGTCCCAATCATGTTGGGCCAAGTTTTGTAATTACCCTAATGATGTTTGATTTTGATTTGCCACATCCCCGAATGTAAGATCCTAACCCCATCAGACATAGAGAATGCCAAATTTCTCAGAATAGAGCTCTCGTTCCGGTGGCCTGGAACAGCAGGAAAAGAGGGGACTTAATATATACACCAGAGATTAAAGATGCAGAGATGCTTTGGCACAGGGCATCACTGAGCCTACTTACAGGATGACCAGCTAGACGATTAGACAAGAATGTATTCATTTTTTTCCTCCAACACAGCGTCAAGGGGCACTTCGAATGGCTTAGATTTCGGACGCCATTGTTCCACAGACGCAGCTGGGGTTGGATAATTCCCAGAGGCTTGCTTTCCTTCAAAATTTTGCCGTGTGCAAAAGTACTGGCTTCTGCCTTGAACCCCCAAACAAAAAAATATCAACACAATAGTTCTATAGTCCAGTTCTTTCTATATAATATTAACCAAAGCATTTTGTTGGTTAATGTTGATTGGGATATATTGGGATTAGGCAATGCCGGGTACCACAGCATCCCCTAAGCAAACCATACATTTTCATCTACAAATCTACTTTTTTTTGGATGCTCGACGACCACCACCACTGGGCAGCTCCTCATCAGGACAATTTGGTGCTGCCTTTGCCTTGGCCTTTGCTTTGGCAGGCATCTTGGCACCCGGTTTGTTGGGCAACGGTTTTGCCTTTGGCAAAGGGATCGCTTTCGACCGAGACTCAAGTGTCAAAGCATCTTGGACCCTCAGTTTCCAGGCCCCAATTCTCAGATGATAGTGGCAGAAACAAATGGATTCAACAGCTTTGCAATGGCAGAACCCACATCAGAGATCCCAGTAAGTTGCTTGCAGGAAATGGGCTGTGTGATAAAAGTATGGTTTTCAAAGGCTTGGGGTGAACAGCTAAACATATTGGTGGGATAGATTCAGCCATGCAACGATTTGGTCGCCTTCTTGTACAGTTCGCGTAGGTCCACCTCATGCCTTGGGCTAGGGGCCAAAGGAAGAAAACCCCCCTGATTCAATCTCATTCCAATGATTTGTAAACAACATTTCACCCAATGAGATTCTTTTCTTTTGCAAGAGTTGTTGAATCAAGTTTCTTGTCAGCATAGCCTTCAACTGCACCACTCGCATAAACATCGTTGATTTCACCATGTAGTTGATCAAGGTCCTTGACCTTCAGTTCCAACTTTCCAATGAACCTTAGATGGGCTGATACAATTCTAAGGGTCAAAAAACAATAATTCATAACGCAAAGCATGCCAGTGAGGAACCCAGTATGAGCCACAGATCGGTCACCAACCGGGATAGCTTCATACTTTGCCTTCAGTTCCTTAATGGCAGCTTGTAAGCCAAATCATTTGTCAATCTTGGCAAGAAGTCTTATTTCCCCAAAAAGATTTTAATAACTTGGTCAGCTGGGAATCCGAAATCTTCAAAGACTTCTTCGTCAGTCCCTCCATGTACTTCAAGATGTGGTCAGATGGGAGCTCCGATTTCAAAACTGGGGGAAAAGGGTTCCCACCAGCTTGGCCTGGTTTTTGTGGAACTTGTTGGGGTCCAGCAGGGGCACTGCTTGGCATGCCTGCCAAAAGGTGGCAAAGCCACCCCCACGAAAAATATATCCAGGGAGTTGTATTGTAGTTGCATTGAGGGACTTCAATGGGATATACCGATGTATGCTTCATATATAGATCGATATCCGATATAGATAAATCTTCGATCTATATTTTGAATGCTACCAAACAAGAACCCTTTTTCCCTTAGTGTTCAATACCACATTGGAACCCTTAGCTTACATGTGAGTAGATGTCCCAAATTCAACAAGAATACATATATTATATATATACACTTTGGGGCCCCATATTTTTAATGAGAAGAGATTGGGATATCTAAGTGATTCTTTTTGATGGGGTATATAGATATATTATATAGTATATATGTAAGAGCCCACCTGATAGGGGGGTCCTAGTCCCCCCAGGCCTCCTGCAGCCAGCCCCATGTCCATGCGCACAGGCTCTGCAGCTTCTCCAAAGACCGATTCAGCAGTGGACGCAACTTGGTATTCGGATTGCTCGTTCCTGGATCTACTCAGAGTCTTAAAATACTCCACTTCGATCTCCTCCTCAACCCAATACAAGGGTTTGCCTTCATATCGATCATGCCTGGGATTTTCATTGGGGAAGGTTGCAAAATCTTGGATTCCCAATGGTTATACAGTCATAAAACTGAACATGATAGAAATTAGACCGTTAAATCATTCACTGATTGTGTATTTACTTGTTGGTCATTGTAAAACTTCGAAAATTAATAGTGGATCAGGCACTTCACAAAACCTTCCCTTTGGGCACAGAATTGCTTGATTGCAGTGATCCTGGTCCTGGGTGGGAATGATTCAGAGCCCTATAACCCCAGAATTGATAAACATGTTCAATTGCTTTCTGCTGAGGTAAACAAAAATATAAGATGCCAACTCTTTGATCTTGAGCGTGTCCCTCATCTTTTCCTCTGATGCCCAGCCAGCCCAGCACTTGTATTGCACCTGCTCTTTGTTCTCCTCTTGGATCTTGACCATCTTCACGAATTCCTCCTGCAAAGGAATGGAAAGCAAACCTTTTTGGATCCCTATTACCGATATCCGTATATCAACAATAACGTAATTATTTTCAACAAAACATAGGTTACCATGTTTAAGGCTACATTTGTTTTTTTTGTATGCTTTTTGCACATATTTCATAGTCCAGATTGGATTGAAAAGCTGAACATATTAACAAGGTATGTATGTCTATATAGTCCCAAGTGTTCGACCCACATATTCAAATTCAACATTCATTGAATGGAAAATTGTTTTCATTCGATGGCCATTAGACATGAACATAATGATTTAACACCATGTTAGTATCAGGGGTCTGTGAAGCAATTGGATGGAACAGAGCTCTCCCAACCAGGATTCCTTATTGAAGTTCGCTTCAGTAAGTGCTTTCAAGAGATTGTTCCTGGTATCCCCGCCCTTCTTCCACGCATCATGGATTGATTCTGGCACGGTCAAGGTCCTTAGTGAAACCAGCTTGTTCCAAGATGGTTTCCCAAATGGCCTTGTGGTGTAGTGGTAGTATCTTGTGATAGTTTTGACATATCATCCCATTGAAATATTATAATATGGGTTGCATGGAATCTTTCCACCCCGCCCCAAATTAGGTGACACCTAAACTCATAAAATGCATCAATGGTTTCATTGGTTTGGTCTAAAGGTTTATTTAAGCAAAGCTGAGAAACCCATCAGCTCTGCGCTTACAGATTCTCTCCAAACGCTTTCGGGCAGCTTCATCAGTAACACCTTCTGGTTCTTGTTGATCAGGCTCCCCAGTTTGAAGAACCTTCCTGTTCTCAAGTTCAGCCCTCATGGCTGCATTTTCCTGGGCTAACTCCCGGTTTTCCAGAGTCAGTGCCTCCATCCTTTCCCGCATGCGCTTGACCAAGGCATCCTCCTCAGGACAGTCACCTGTTGCCCCGAAAATAGAAGCATCCTGGACATCGTTGGCCTGTCGACAGGTTGGGGACAGATAGGTGTTTATGTATGGATTGGGGATGTATATGATTGGGGATGTATATGCACATGTATATACATTATATACTCACATATACAGATCGATATGAACATAATTAATGGTGATATGGGAATGCAAATAATCATAGCCACCAAAGTTCAAGTAAAGGGATCACCACAACAATATCATTCTTTTGAATCGAACATCACAAATCTTTTGACAAATTATCTGATACCAGATCTTTGGGGGTGGCAAGGGTTCAATAAATTTGATCAAATAACATCATGCATGTTTGTTGGATAGCTGACTGTTGAATGGGATGGTTTGGAAACCCTGGTGCCAGCGACGGCTATAGCCCACTAAATCTCCATATCTAGACCGTCAAAGTATCTAGAAAAATAACTATTTTGCCTTATACCTATTTTTCCTATAATGCCTTTACCTATTTTTCTGGGTATTTGGAGGGTCTAGGGTGGTCTCAGTCAGTACATGCATGTATCGAATGGTCATCAACATAGAAGCCCTTTAGTACATTGCACTTGTTTATGTTTGCGTATTATATATTCATATCTTATTATATGTAGGTCGAGGCATATTCTCACCGATATTGTAGCTTCAAAAATGAATATGCCAATCTATTTTTTTCAAATTCCCATATATATATATATATTATATATATATGGGGGTTTCCTAAAATAGGGGTACCCCCAAATCATCCATGTTGTTGGATTTTCCCTCACAAACCATCCAGGTATTAGGGATCCCCCATTTTTTGGAAAACCCCATAAAAAGATTTCCCCATATATTCATATACAACCATCGATACAGATATCATCCTGTAAGTTACAATATTTAGACCTCATTTATCCCTGTTTATATCGATAAAAAACACCATTGTTTCCCCACCTCACCATCCATTTTCCCATCGGTGGAAAACAAAGATTTCCTGACTTCTGGAGCAGGAGAAGGTGGCCCTTGATGACTGTCGCCATAGGTAGCATCAGAAGGGGATTTGAAATTAACCCGGTGCTTCTTTAGAACCCTGTTCGGTGAGTGCTCGGAAACTTGGTCCACATAGGCTTTGCGCTGCTGCTGAAGCTCCTGCCAGCAACGCAAAGGACCGAGGAGTGGAAGTGTAGAGAAAGAGACACTGAACCAAAATGAACTTGGAGTAGTTTGATGAAAAGGGCCCCTATCTCTAAATCCACATAAAGCATTGTGAGTGATATACTAGCAACCAAACCTAAATTGAATTGAAGACCATGGGTTTTAATTTTGATAAAATCGTTGAAACTCGAGGATTGAGGGTCGTTTTCCAACAACATGTCCTCAAGTTCACGCTGCATGGCTTCCCTACTTTCCGGTGAGGGTTCTAGTTTGACACCTTGCTCCCTCAAAGTGTCAATCCCAGCAGCCAGGGTATCTGAACTCCACAGCTGGCTGCCAGCCAACGCCATAGGTATTGTTACCCCTTCCTACAACTTTGATCCACAGGCCTTCTATCACAAAGATTTCAGATCGTTTCTGGTTTGAACTTTCATCCAATTCAGCAGCAATTTAGATAGATCACCATATGATGATATGGTACCCAATTCATAACTCCATGGCTGGGACAAAGTTGTTGATTACCAAGTTAGTAATGGTACCAAAAGATGATTAACAATGTCGAAATCTTTCAAGTTTTCTGCAACGAAAAGGTCATCATAGTTAACATTTTTTTTTGCACAGTCACAGGTACAGGATTCGGCCAGCTTCTTGCACACCAGATTGTGGCAATTTGAAAAACCACAGCCCTGGTAAACTAGCCTGCGCATGAATTATCATTTTTGATTTTGAATTAGATTTGCGACGAAGAAGTACCACTGCTAATTACCCTGGGGGGAGGAACCAGGATCTTGTACACAACATATGTAAAATGAGGACCCTCCCCAGGACATGCAGTTTCACCACCAGGGTTCTCATTTCGGCATCCTGGGGTACCTCGAAACTTGGAAATCAGTACACTTTCCAGCAAGGCTGCACTAAATGAATTTGCATTGATAGAAATCACCTTCATCCCTTGCCATTTTTCTCGGCGATCTCTGGCATATCCATAGACTGTATGGTTCCAGCGTACTACTGGGTTGGCACTGATTCCTATCTTGAACACTGCTGGGTGCTTGCAGGACAACCTGGAAACAGCATTTTCCACATGCCTCGTGACCTGGCTTGCACTGGCTCTTGGGTTCTTGGGAATGTCAAAGGTAAGCTTCCCATTGCAATACCCACTATCCAACAACTGCGGCAGAATTTCAGCCTGAAGGCGGGGTAGATGCACAACATCAGCCCTCACGTTTTGAAGCCAGGGTTCTTTGAAGCATGCCCCCACCTCATTAATTTGATTTTGAGGTGGGAGGGATGGTGTAGCACGAGCCTGCAACTCCTGCACTTCAGCGAGCAAATTGTCTACCCGCTGTCTCAAAGACTCATTCTCTAGCTGCAGTTCATGGAGACTGGCATCTTTCTGACTGGTAACCGAAGTTGTAGAGGTGACAAAGGAGACATGAACATCATCAGTATCCCATAGCTGTGATGCCAGCGAACGAAGGCGTTTTGCCATTGCTAGCTAGAACATGTTTCCTCTTTTTCATGAACTTGCAGCCAAAGAAAGGTCTCTTCGGATCACATGGTGGAAACACTTGGTCTTGATTTAGATCCAACACGATACAGCTATATTGTGGCTTCAGTTACCTAGGCCTACTATTTTTTTTGGGGTGTCTTGTCCTGGACTGTCGACAAATATAGCCAGTGGAATCACAAATCATGTAGCATCCCACAATGCATTTGGTTCAGCCAAGGTTTTCCCATAACATTCCCAAACTAATCCCAATTGTATTTGTATTGGGTACTAAGGAAATCTTTACGAAACAATACCTGGCCAGTATTTGGGATTCCCCTCTATTGCCAATCTACCCCGGACTAGAAAAAAGGAGCAGATTTGAAAAAAGGGCCCGGACGCTTTCGGACGGCCAAAAAGGGCCCGGACGCAACCGGATCGGACGGGAAAATACGCTTTTTGGACGCGAAAATACGCTTCTCGGACGGTTTTCTCAATTTCCAGGTTTCCACCATTGAAAAAAAAGGCGCTGGACGGGAAAAAAGGTACAAGCCCTCTAAAAACCTTCCTCACTTTCACTATCTTCTGGGAGAGATTGAGGGAGCACCATGCGCCACTCAGGAGGGAGCCTCAATTTCTTGGAGCCCCTGACGTAGGAAATGGCTTCTGCAATCTTCGCATCTTGCCAAAGATCATGCCAAGGGTATGCAGAGTAGAGATGGGTCAACTCAGTGGTGGAGTCAACCTGGGACCCCGGTGCCAGTCACCGCAAATGTGATTCTTAGTCTTTGTTGGGTATCTTCTTTTGGTGGATCCTTTTTATAGACTTATAGTTATACCTATATATAGTGACATTTTTGTAAATGAGAATCATGTGTAGAGACTGTAGGGATCTTTTGTGATGATCTGTTTGGTGATATTATATCTGGGATACCTTGTGTAGGGTGATTTCTTATGGTGACTTTTACAAGTGCACATGTGTCTAATTCAGCAAGGGTGCTGGAGGGAGACAGTCCTTGCCGGGCTCCATTGCAGCTGCTTTGTGAATTTCCATGAGCTTGGCCGCATAGCGCCAAGGATACACCCTCAGATGCAAACGGCTGGCTTTTTGAGTTTCATTACCCCAATGGTTCCCAATTAGATCCCTTACATCCCTCCCATCTATGTATGGTTACATCCCCAGCTTTCAACAGTTTATCCAATATATATATATATATCATACTTGTAGGCTTTTCTCCAAAAGGCATTATCCCATATATCACATCAATCAAACCACCAACTGGCCCATCCAGCCACACAATCTGAGGAACTGTGTGCCTTTCAACTGCGCTGTCCCTGCAAACCGAAGCTTTCCATCTTTGGAGTGATATCGTCGCGTGGTCTTCACGCTAGTGGAGAGGGAAGTTTTGGTCATTTTCCCATGGAAAAGCATTCTGATGGCAGAGGTATTACCAAAGACAACTGAAGGCTTCGGTGTAGCATGCCCCCAGTACTTCATGAAGAAGCGCTGCACAAATACCTCAGTAGAAAGAGATCTGAAACGGTTAAAATTCAATCTTGTATACTGGATTTGTTGGGACAGTTGGGGTAACCATTTCATTCCAAAATTTTGACAACAGAAATGCCAACAAGTTACACGCAATCCCAAAGAATTGAACTTCCTCACTAGCCAGCGAAATCTCCTATGCCTGGTGACAATCGACGTTCCTGGTTGCTCTAATACCCAAACACCTCCACATGCTGTGAAGAGAACCAAGAGGAGAATGGTCCTGCGGCACAGCACGGCATTGGAATCACTTAAGATTGGGGGCAGATTAGGAGAACACCTCAGCCAACCATATTTTCTCATGATTAAACAATTTCGATGACTCTATATGGGATCAAAAAGAGATCATGTCAGTTTGGATTGAATCGAATTTGTTTCTCTAAACTTTGGATACAAGTAGGGGCTACTAAAACCCTGGAATTTTGTTCCAATACCCAAACCCTGGAATCATCCCTGGTATACTATAAATATTGCTGGGAATGGATGTTCAAAGAACCCATTGGTATATTTAACCAAATTCATCCCATTTAAACTCAACATTCCATAGATGGGGATAGATTGTGTCTACCAAATTCATATCTGTTAGAGCTGCACCCCACACCAAGGACATTGGTGATTTGAAATGGAACCTCGGTGGCGCCTTGGCACAGGTTTGGAAACTAGGGGGAACCCAGGTCAACAGTAGGAACAGTCCTTGAAGTCATTTGGTTGGATAGCCTAACCTTCAGGAACTTCTCATTTCCCATCGGCGTAATAAATGATCTATGGGTTGAACCACGACTGGTCACCACATAAGAAGAGCAACATAGTCCCACTGATGCGAGAGCTTCATCGAATCGAGAGTTGAGCATAGCATAGACGGAGAGCCTCAGGGTAACAGAGGGATAGAGATGGTTTGGTGGATAGAGCCTTTAAGGGGGAAAATGATATTAAGATCTTGGTTCATTGTTTTGTTTTCCTGGCCACTTCAAACATGGTTCAGATAAGTTTGTTCTGGTGAAAATACTTGAACAAAATAGATAGATAGATGGATAGATAGATAGATAGAGATGGAGATAGAGATAGAAAGATAGAAATATAGAAAGATAGAAAGAAAGAAAGATAGATAGATAGATAAATCGATAGATAGATAAATAGATAGATAGATAGATAGATAGATAGATAGACAAGTGTTAATACATATTATGATGACTTTAAATAATATATATCTGTTTGGTGCCTGAACATGTCCCATAAGCAAACCTCTCAGCTAAGGCACACCATACCAGCAGGGGAGTTGATATCAAAGACATTTGGATCCTGGTGGAATCCAATATCGAAAGATGCCGTAGACTGACCCAATCCTCGAGACAGCTTGGAAACTCGTGCTACCCCAGCAAAAAAGTCCAATACTTCATATGGGGGCATTGCTGGCTGCTCGAACTCTAGAAACCCCACCAAAGCCACCAAGGTGATTAGCACCTACAGGGTTGGCAAACCGAAAGGTGTAACATGATTTAAAATCAAACAAATTGACACAGTCAATTTAAAAACCCTGGGCCTTGGGGGCCTTCATAGCAAAAAGCCTCCGAAGGACTGTGTCCACTTTGTCCCGAGAAACCATGATTTTCACCTAAAGGTTTTAGGTAGCCAGGCTTGGTCTTTAAAGGGCTACAGGATCGGATAGCGTTATGTTTCATTGGCAGGTGCATGCACATGAATGCTCACAAAACATATCAGTAGATCACTGACCCATATGTAGGCAGTGGAGGCCTTTGTCACGTTGGCCCGCAAGTCGGGCAAACAAGGAGGCCTCAGTACAAATGACAAGACCAAGGGATGGTTCAAACCTCTGGGGGCATGGATCATTACCAAGTAAAATGTTAAATCCCAATTATATGATATTATATTAATAAATGAATCAAATGGGAAAAAATCCTTGGTAATGAGCCATGTTGCAGGGATAATGTTTGTGTCTTACATACACCTTGCAGTAACTTGCAGGAGCTGCCACAGAACATTTTTCCACTTCCCACATCATATAGCAATCCCCGTGGTCAGGTCTCGATTGTCGACCAGATTGAATTTCATCAATCTCACGGGGCCCCGGGAACATGATTGGGAGGGGACCATGGTGTATACCCCACTGCGACAAGACATATAAACTAGAGAGTAGCTTCATCCGGAGAAGAGCAGTCGATCCACTGCTTCACAGCCGGGAGCTTGTTCCAAGGTAAAACTGTGGCAGCTACAATGATGCCCTCAGCGTGCCTTGTCAGCAACAAGAATCCTCAACTGCCCAAACTTAGTACGAAAAAGTGGTAGATACTGCATTGAACTGTCCAACAATTTGTTTTTAAGAAAAATGTCGCCATACAATCAGTACGGGGGCTAGGCACCAACCACGCTCCTAGGGGCATCCTGTAGCTCACACACCCACAAACATACCTAGCGCGCCCACATGTGCACTTCGATCATCCTTGAATCCTTAGTTCCCCCAGGTTCCATTCCTGAGACCTTCCTTCATCTCCACGAATTTCTGCCTGATCTCAGGCTGATTGTAATCCCCACTGGCGTCCTCGACCATCTTCGCCTTAGTACACACCAAAGGCAAAAGGATACTAGGAACAATGATTGCTGATTACTGCAATACTGATATGATCTTTACGTCCTATTGTCAACCCCTGCCCAATTACCAAAGCTTAGGGGCAATGAAGACAATGGGACCCACCAAGTCGACAGTCTTCTTGTTGGGCACAGAGAGATAGAAAACCTACAAAGATGGGAGGAACAGGTTACTTATATACCATATATTATAACTCGCTTTAGATACTTATATATTCCACAAACAACAATAATTAACACTATATATATATAGTTAACACCACCATGAAAATGAAAACACATTCGTTGAGTTGTCAATGTATAGAGGGTTTACTGGTTAGTTGATTTGGATTGTTACTTACCAGCCAATACAGTGGGATGGGGGATGGGTATGTTCCCAATAGTATGTCAAAATAGTTTTCTATAGCCTGGCCTGGGTAAGTCCTGACTTGCCCTGTCCCGTTGGAACTTTCAAAGCAACAGCATCACGAGACCAGTAAGGGACAATGCTGCAGTGGGTGAAAGTCGGGAGCTTCTCAGTCGCCCTGCGGGGCTTGGGTCCACTCTTGCCCTTCCCAGTAGGAACAGCAGGGGGAGCAGGGTGGGCTTCGGGAGCCTGGGGATCTGTTGCAGAGCCTGCGGCAGCTGTGTTTTGGGTCTTTCGAGCTGCTGGTCGTTTCTTGGGAGTCATTCTGGGTTTCTTAACCTTGGGGCTCTGGGCTGCCTTCTTTGCCGCTGCCTTTGCCGATGCCTTCTTGCCACGTCTGGGCATGGGTACCTCTGGTGGGGGACTTTCTCCGGGAGTGGCACAGTGACTTGCATCATCACCATCACCCTCGAAAAGGTTGCGTTTCACAGGCTCATGTTCCTCAGGCTCTTGCTGGGCTTTGGTCTTGCGGGGCCTGCTGGCCTTTGCCTTGGGTTCACCCTTTGACTTGCTGCTGCTCTTGGGTGCCTTGCGTTTGGGCTCTGCCTTGCGTTTGGGCTCTTTGTTTGGATTGGGTTTGCGCCCCTTAGGTTTCACACCCATAGCCCCATCCTGTTGAGACCTAGTCAGAATTCGCTCTACCAGTTCATCAAGCATGTGGTGTTGTGGGTCCTCCACAGCGGGGACCGCAGGGGGTGGCTCCATATCCTCCCGAGGCTGCGATGGAGGAATATCTTCATCCATCTTGGTGGCAAGTTCCTTTGGCTCCACTTCAGCGACAGGCTGGGGAGAGGAAGGGTGTAACTCTACCTGTTCCCCAGCAGAAGACCCTTCCACACACCCAGGATCACCAGGTTTCTCAGAGTTCTCCTTGTTCTCAACGATGTGCGAAGGGGCACCATCAGCATGTAGATTGCCTGCACCACCGTCAGGCTCATAGACCAGAGAGTCCTGCATGAGAAAGGGATAACCCGGGGGGTATATGTTTTGTAATTGTAATCTTGGAGATTGTAGCCAAGAAAACCCCATGCCACCAACAGTGAACAAAATTTGGTTCATTACAATATTAGAATCTAATTGATTCTGGCAGTATAGTGAATAGCCCAAAGGATCACAGAATAATGTCTTCTCCAGGATTGTAGCCAAGAGACCCCCATGCCAGTACAGCGGACTAGCCTTGGATAATACGATATGAACCAGGTGCAACAAGATATGTATTATTCTTCTTATTATTATTGAAAGTGACATCTATCAAGACATATGTTTTCTTTCAGGACATGCTATCCACCCATCAAGCAGGGTTTGGTCCTCTACCTCCAAGATCTCACGGGCTGCAGCATCTTTGGCCACCTTGGGTATGAGGGTACATCAAATCAAAAACACATTTATGATCTATACATGGCATTCTTTGAAATCAAACACTTGGCATTTTCTTCATCATAATATTCATCATACCAAAGACCCAAAATTACAGAATGCAATCTCCAACTCACCATTCTATCAAACAATTGAATCTATTTTTGGTAGACACAGAGATAAACAGGATCAGATGTTAACATGATGGTTTGTAAGTATCCCTTCACGTAAAGGTAGAACTCTAGGCTGTAGGCAAGAAGCCTCAGCAGCGCTTCTAGGAGGATTCATCGCCAAACGCCGCCTGAGTCTGCGCTGGCCGGCTGGGAAATAAAAATTTGATCAATTAACATCTATGGGTATGCAAACACACACATATATATTATATATAATTATAAAACATTGGTGTACTACTATGTATACTAATGTAACCCATTCAAACTCCACAGCGTCCACCCCGCATTCAGCCAACCTAGCCTGTCACTTGCAGCCAAGGAACTGCAGCTCTGCGATTCTGGCATCAATGTCCAACAAAGAGCTCGAAGAAGAAGATGGAGCCTCGGGCAAAGGGCCAGGAGAGTAGTCACCAGGGAGGTTGCAGGGCAAGGTGTCAACAGCAGAAGGGTCAAGAGGGATCGAGTCCACAGTCATCAGCACATCGAGGGTGTCATCCCCAAGCGGACTTGCTGGTTCCTCCCATGAGAAAAAATACCATACAGATGCACATGGCAAGGCAAGGAGTTGGGAAATTTACAAACCACCATTTAATCAGTCCTCAGAATCTCCATATACCACATCATCGTCGGCAATGGCAGCAACACCAGGAGGGGGCGGTTGCTGAGGAGTCTGGAAATACCAGGCCCGAATGAAGATCATGTTGAGGTGCTGGACTCCACGTGACTTAGATAAGCAAAAACCACAGCATTCCCAAATAAAGGCGTTCATGAAGTCCAAAATCCAACACACCGATTCATGTTTTGAAAGTAACGTACATCCAATATTTTTTTGGAAATGATTACGTGCAACCATGGTGCCCGGGGTGACCTATCTTGACGCAAGTTGCGCAGCGCATGGGAGATAAGTTTTCGAATCCCCCAACTGTCAGCATACATCTTGGTCTTGGTTGGGCCATCTCTAAGGAAATCATCTTGGAGCATGATCTGCCAGAACTTTGTCACCTGGCAAGACATGGGATGGTTATATGATTCGGGGCATGGTAATTGCCAGTCATAAATGCGATTCAATTTGGCAAATGGGAAACTATTGCCTCCGACTGAACCATCTTCAAAGGGAATGTGCGAGGGATGTTGCCACATCCCTCAAAGTCAAAGATTTCCACCCAGCATTCTGCCACTGGCCAAAGCACGTCTGCGTTCATGTCCAGTGCAGTCCTGGGCAAATGGGGGAGGCACATGAGTGACCTGTTTTTTTGGAAAGGCTTTGAATCCAGTTGTTAAACTTATATAATGCCGATGCCTCCTAATCATATGATTCCATTCAATTTCACACACACATTTATGTGATATGTTTTGGTATTTTGGATCATCTAACCCCAACATCAGTATATATCATTCATTGGGAATAGACAGAGCTATATATAGAGCTAACACCCCTATGTTCCACCTCTTTTGCATTCAGGGCTCATGGAGGGGACACCAACTGCTTCAGGAGATGGCCACTCCAGTAAACCTCCAATCCTGCGGGACCTCTGACGAACATGGGTAGAGGCTTCCCACTTTTCAGCCAGACCTACTAAGGAATCAAAGCCTGGAACTTCGCGCTCTTCCAAGCTATCCGGTTCAGCAGCTACAAGTGCCATTGGCAGCAGAGGATAGGATCGGTATGGGTGGTGTTTCCAAGCAAAATTGCTTCAGAGGAGGCAGCAGCTTGTTCAATTACAAAGCTGCTGAAACAATTTCAAAAACAAAATTACCTGATTGTTTCACCAATTTCAGGTATGACAAAGGGCCAAACCATTCTCGGCAAAGTAGATGAACCTGCGTGGGTAGGAGCTGACTTGTTGAAAAAATGTAGGAAGTGAACCATGCCCCAAGCCAACACTATTAAAACCATCAGAGTTTCAAGAAAATATATCACCCAGCAAATTGTGCAGAGTAGTCCCTTGTTTCTCATCACGAATCTGCCAAGTTCCATTTGTCAATTGTCCTACCAGCTCTTGTGGCAGATGCAGCAAGTATCCATTAGAATTGTCTCATTTGGAACTAAGGGCTGGGATTGCAGTCGGACGCAGACGAGCCATCCTGAGATTTTTCTGATGGAAAAAAAGCGCTGAGCAACAGGTTGAAAAATGTGGTATAACTTATATAACTCAAAAAAATCCTGGGGATTGCAATAGCCTGTTAACCCACCACAAAAACATATAAATTTCAAATACTTTTAAGCAAAGACTTCTATAGTGTGATTACTATGACCACCTCACATACCCCAATAGGTTATAAAGGTCCCACCAATCAAGCCGAGTTGCGCCATTGCCGGGTCCTGGAAGGGAGGGGCAGGAGTTGGGAGATAAATGGTCAGGGAATTGCACAAGTTGCTTTAACTTGTTTCAACTATATGTTGGTGATCTTTGTAAAACCCACGAATTTGATTGATCCGATTAAATCCTTCAAGTCCAATGATCCTGTCCTTTGAGTTGCTGGCCAGCCAACTTGAAGACAATGCCACCCGAATCGAAGTTCTTGATGATTTTCTTCAGGGTCTCAAGGTTGATTCTGCGCTCCTTGGATTGAAATCATTGAATCAATATTGGGTATTTCTTAGCTTAAGTCCCATCTCCGTGTTACTAAATAGTTAATTACTCATAGGGCCCTATCATGAACCAATCAGTTGTTAAAGCGAGGAGTTAAGGGGGTACACTTAGACTTAAGGGTATGATTAAACACTGATTTGAAACAGTGGGTAAATATGTTGCTGAGTAACGTCCACCTTGTCATAGAGGACAGCAAGCACGTCTTCCCAAAACTTATCGCCAAGGTCGGCCAGACCTATTCAGGGAATAATAGGCAAAATGAGAAGATCCCACAAGGAAACCAAACCTTTCAAATCAACCACACAGAGGTCCAATTCCAAATCTACAAGGCCTCGTGTGTAGAAGCCAAGTTTGGCATCAGGGTTGTCATGAAGGAATGCCTCCATGATCAAAGGCTAATCTAACATCGATCTAAGGAGCCAAAACACTCCGGTGGTTTAGATATATCGTGTGAACATAAGTTGCGAAGTGCATAGCCATACCTGGAGATGAGGCAGCAGGCAGGGGGAATGGCGCACCTTCACTCCACAGGGGCCACTGGGGCCAGATGTGCCAAAATGACACTTTTGATCCGAAATGGCAATCAAGTAACATCATTGACGGGACTCTGGAGCCTCTGATGCACCTTGATTTTGGGCATAATATGGTTCACCCTCCAAAATCAAAAAAGGTCCTTGTAACCCAAAAAAAGGAGCAGGCTTTTTTTTTAGGCCCGGCCCAAAATTTTGGGTGCATTGGAGGGTCCAGGTAATTATAAATCGTATATATATATATATATACAGAAGCCGTCGCCGAGTAGCACGACGTCCTCGCCACGCTTGATGATCTGGTCCAGATCCAAGCGTTGCCGCAACTGCAGTGCCAAGGAAGACAGGTCGTTCCACAAAGTGCCGTAGGTGAAGGTCCTAAGGTCGCCGATGCCCAAGGGAAGAAGCTCTGATAATGATATACCGTGATGTATATATATAGTATATATATATAATTCCTTCTTCTTCCTATTACTAAAACTCCCCCAAATAAGAAAAATAGGATTGGTGTGACACTTCCGGATTTTTTTGGTTGGGCAGAATTGGATTCTTAATTGTGGTAGTTGAGAATCAATAGGAGAACAGGATGATGAAACAATGGGTTCAACCCCCTATGAATAAAAATAGATTGCCAACTGGAAGTTTTTTTCTTGGGGTCCCATCTCGCAAGTTATATTTTCTATTTTTATCATTAAGGTTTTCATTGGAACAATACACCGCGTAGGGGAAAGCTTCGAGATCCAGTTTTTGGCAATTCTTTATATAGATTTTAATAAGGGATTTATTCAAATTTGAAATCAAGTTTTTTGTCTTTATTATTAAGGTTTTCATTGGAATATTGGGGGAAAGCTTCGGAATCCAGTTTTTGGCAATATTTTATATAGATTTTAATAAGGATTTAATTGAATTTGAAATCAAGTTTTTTTATTTTTATTTTTAGGGTTTTCACTGGAATATTAGGGGCACCCGAATACAAAATACACCCTAATAATTAATACCACCGTGTTTACCATTTGGGGGGAGAGGGGGTGTTTTAGTAATAGGGAGAGAGGATTATATATTTTATTTATATGTATATCTGATCTTTGGGAGCTATGTGGAGCTTGAATTTGTCGCTACGGTAGCCTGTAGCATTCTTTAGCCGCTTTAGCCATCTGGCCTCTGAAGGTGGTCTTGTAGCAAGTAACATCCCCAACATCCGCTTATCGGAGACCTGCATGACATCCGTGGAGCAAATTTCATACCTTTATATACACCGTTGGCAGACCTTCGAATCAACTTCACCACATCCCACCACATCCCACCACATCCCACCACATCCTACGAATCAGTGCTTCCCTCAGGCTCCTTTTCATTGGAATTTTCATGTTCATGGCAGCCATGAACTCATCAAGCTCTCCGAGACTAGACTCTTTGCATTGCAAAACTCACTTGAGGCCACTAGAGATCATTAGAGTCCATTAAATGAGTCCATTAGCTACCAACCCACTGCATGCAAAGTCTGCGAGCGCAACCTTTTCAAGCAAGGCCGTGTTCTTGGGGCAATGGGGGCAGCGCCCTTCTTTCCCTGGCCAACAAGTTCAACAAAGCTCAGCCGATACAAGCTGAAAGGAGTCGTCACAGCGTGACCACTCTGCAACGCCCTTCTGTGCAGACTCATTCTACAGTACATCATTCTATGAAGGAGGTCAGTCATTGCAAAGATCTGGGTGTCTAAGTCTGGCAACACATGTCACAGAATGGGCACAGCCACGCACTGCCAGCTTCCTTGATCCAAACCACTACTCCGGTGAGATGCAATGGCGTACCCCTTTGGGCTCAGGCGCCAACCAGGAGCTCCCGTAGTTGCAAGTGTCTCCTGAGCTATGCTGTGCTATGACAATTCATGAACATTGCAAAAGAAAGCAGTGCCAGCATACAGTAGCAACATGCAAGTAGTGGAGAATACGGAAATATAACATCACTTGATATATAATGATATATATATATTATAATGTATTATAATATACAACTTCCCTGAGATCGGTGCAGCATGGTGCAGCCACATCTTGTTGTACACCTTTCTTTCAGGCTGGAATGTCATGGTACCAGGTACCAGGTAGGTCCAATCAGTTCCAATCATGTCTCTTTGCCAAGGTGCTCCAACGCTTTCCAACCTTCCGGTCCGAGGCGGTGCCAATTCACCACCTCCCAATGTGCAGCGGCATTCTGCGTCGGGAGCCAACGAACCCGGGACTGGTTGGCCAAGTTTGGAACAGCGCCGTCCAGGGACAAAAGGCCCACACTGTCAATTCCATCGATCCTCACGGTTTCGGATGGTTCAGTGGTTCAGTTCCGCTTCAGTGGTTGACCAATGGATCCAATGGATTCAATGGTTGACAAACAATGACAAACAGATTTCAACAGCAAACCTTAAGCACATATCTTTGCACAAACTCGTGAACGGATTTGGGTTGCCCATGGTTGCCCAGACTTCCTTTCGCTTCCTTTTCTCTTAGCGGCCTCATTTTTTGCGGTTTGTTCACGATAGTTCACAATCATTCATCACTTCATCACTTCCCTCAAGCTAAGCCAAGCTGACACATGCTGACAGCGTCCTCATCACTATCCAGCTGGGCTCGAAGTCATTCTCGTGAGCCCAGTCCTCCAAACTCAAGCATCTGTCAAATGTCACAGCATTGACGGCCAACAGATCAACTCTTTTCTTAGTTGAAACTTGAGAAAACATGTCGGGAGTTTCAGCAGTTGTTCTGATTGTTATTAAATCAGTGACACAGGTCCTCGAAAACATGTCAGACCAAATTCCTCAAGTTGCCTGGGATGTATCTTGCGCACACGGACCACCACGTTGACAGAGATTGAACAGCAAACCTTGCGCTACCAACGACTCGATCTACTCGATCTAAGTCCTTGATGCTAAAGGGCTGCTTCTCATAGGCCTTGCATTTCTCGGCCCACAAGCTGAAGTAGTTCCTCAAGTACGACTTCTGCAGGGCACCAGGCTATGGCCAAGAGATGTGGATCTTCAGAGAGCTCTGGAATAGAAATATGGCCTTTCAAAATGCTAAACCTCCATTCTGATTCAAGGTCGTCAGGGGATACAAAGACTTTCACAAAAACATCTGATACAAATATGTTTTTTTTTTTCTCTCTCTCTCTCTCTCTGCGTTTGCCAAAAAGATTCAAAAACATTCTCCACACGTAAACTCACAAACAGAGCAAATTAAATGTATGTATATTTATATAATTATGTATATTATTGTGTAATATTGTGTGTATATTATTGTGTATGCAATGTGTGAAAGTCTAAAGAGTCTAAAGTTTAGACCCACAATAGCTGCTCCATGTTACATGACGGAAACCTCTCACCCTCCGATAACCCTGGTGCAAGCTTCTGCTTGCAGCTGCTGAGAGAATTCCAGTCACAGTGAGGAAAGTGAGTTCGCAGCAAGTATTGCCCAGTGATGTCTGTCCAGGGTGAATTAAAATCAGCCTCAGTGCCGGTTTGAGTCGGACTGCCGCCTGTGGAACTGTACAATCGTCCATCATCCATCATTGTCCATCATCGTCCATCATCGTCCATCATCGTCCATCATCGTCACAGTAAAGTAAAGCCAAAAAGCTGGAATGAGTTGGGTCGTAATTCTCCTGCAGTTGCGGTGATAGTGGACAGAATTCACACAATCTTGTTCCAAGCAGGCTTGCAGCAACAAAAACGACACCAACAAAACACACCGGCATTCTGATACACTTTGTGGTGAAGAGGTTTTCTGACTCTGACCCAGATTGCATCTTTGACTCAAACACTGCCACGGTTGAAGTGCCAGCCTCAAGCATTCGTCGTCGTCGTCGTCGTCGCCGTTGCCCCATTCGATGCGACGGAAGAATGCACCGGCTTGAGGCCAAACACACCCTGATGTGTCTGAGCTGGCTGATTTGTTGATCTGGCTTGGGGTATCTTGGGGTCTTGGGATGTCTTGGGCTGTCTTGGGGCAGGATTGAAGAACGACATTCTGTGCACAAATTAGGCAAAAAATGTCAAAACAGGTGGGCATGGCACAACAGAGCCACGAACATCCACAAACTCTTGAAAATTAATGTCCTTCCCTTCCCGTTTCAAGTACCGCTTTAACTTGCAAAGATTGACATAGATTGACACAAAATCCAGCAACTTTTCACTTGTAATCCAACAAGCAGCTTGGTATAGATCCTCGTGGAAAGGCGCACTGGTGTGGCATCAGAGTTCGGAGCGTCACTTCCTCGTCCGCTGACAGTGAAGGATCTATATAGAACCTGGGTCTGCGTCATTCGCATGAGGTTCGCCGTATTTTCACCAAAGATCAGAAAGTCAGAAATGTGAAAATCGTTGGATCGCCAATGTAGGTTCAACTTTGAGCGTGTCCATTGGCAATTGCTGCTTGGGATCCTGTTCCCCTTCTCTTTTTTCAATTTTCATCATCCTGTGGATAGCTCCCTTTTTTTTGCCTTGATTCATCTTGATGCCCTCCTCCTGTCTTTTCCTAGCATTTCCGTTTCGCGGTAGGGTACCAAGCTGCTGGTGTGTCTGCGTCCAAGCAGCTCAACGCAAAAGCGCTTGAAGCGATGCCAGCTTTGTCTGGCAGCTTGGAAAAACTTCTTCCGAAGCAACTTGGAATCGATCACAACGCCTCAGCTGTGGGATTCAGGGCCAGCCAAGCTGAAACCACATCTTTCCACCAGTGGGAATAGTATGGAATTGTGAATGTCACTTCATAATGTACCGTTACAACCATAATAAAGATCATAATTGATCACAATCATAATTATACAGTACATGCAAGTTATATCAAGTTATCTTTTGATCCAAACATATCCAAACGAAGAACATCTTTCGGTGTATGATCCAATGAATCCAAGACACGGCTGCTCTTCATGTGTCGATTGCCAGGGCTGTCTGAGTACCTACAATGCTTGCAGTCGGTACGACATGGTACGACTGGGCTGGTGCAGTCCCATTGCTCCCGGTTTTATCATTCTCAGATCTCAAGAACACTCAAGAGTAAATCATGGTTTGAATATGTTTGAATATGGATCCACACTACCTGGGTCTCACCAAAGGACCCAAGGACAAGGGTGTGGTGCGGGGATGGCGTGGGATGGCCTGGGATTGCAGATTGGGTTCCGTGCCAAGAAACAGATCATGGACAAAGACTTCGAGCCGGGGGCAGGTCGTCATGATACGCAGCACATCGCTGGCTTCCACTTGCGGCAAGTAGATGGTGGAGCCTTCGTTCCAACCTCTGCTCCGGCCCAGGACTTCGGTCGTACTTTGCAACACCGAATCCGTTGACCTATGGTGAAACATCCAAAGATAGATGAGATCAGATGTCAAAAAGATGTCAAAAAGGGCAGGAGCTTCTATATCTTCTATGAGCTTATGAAAGTCCGATCACGGTGGCCCCTTCCATCTCAGCTTTTTGGGCGAGCAACACATGTGGTCGGTGAGCTTCACATCGTACACCCGCAACTTACCTCAGCTTTTTTTTGCTGGAAAATGCCTAGCCTGATCAAGCTGACCTTTCAGCCAAGCTGGCCCATGTGATGTGAGTACGTAAAAAAGAGAACATTTGAAACACATGCATATTACAATATATGTAATATATTACAAGCTTGCACAGGGCCCACACGATAGCACCCAGAAAAGTCTGAAGATCCGCGTGAACATCTACATTGACATAATTATAATTGTAATACATCCATGATCGATCCTACCGTGGAACCGCCATGAATCACCCATTCAGGTGCTGGAGACGGAACCAGCTTTCGGCATCCCCTGAATAACTTGCCGAGGTGCTTAAATTGCAAAGTCGAGACGTTTTCATCCAGTCCATAAACCACGGAGCCCGCACTTTGTCAGGATAGCAGGTTTTGAAGATAAACACCTCCCACGAGGAAAGGCAGGAGTTAAACAGCCAGTCATCTGTAAAGGGGTCAAGCTGAGGTCATTCCAGCCTCATGTCAGCTTCAGAAAAAACTTCCCGTGGCACTAAGATCCTGCAGTGTTGTGAAATGCAGCGTTGCCCCCAACAGGGTGAACCAAGGTGAAACAAGGTGAACCAGGGCGACCAAACGCTACCAACATCCCTACCAACACCCCTACAAACATCCTTGCCATTTTCCAATTCTTTGGCCGTTTAGGCTCGGGCACAGCTTGGACCGCCTCGAGGTCTTCAAACGAGCAAATGTCCCCAAAGCGTTGCTGCAGCAGGAGTTGAGACTTTTCCTTCCACAGAAAGCCGACATCCACAGATCCTCAGACGTGCAAAAGACACACATGTCAGGCGCTTCAAATTTGCGCCCACTCTCAGCTGTAGGGTATGGTACATGAGCTTGTCTCACCCTTGTCAAACTTGACCAGTTCATCCAAGCATTCAACTTGCTTGGATTTTTTGCGCCTGGCTCACTAGGGTTGTGAAGATTCATGTAGCACTAGGGGACTGGTGTAGAAGCACAACGTGTTTAGCACAATGTGCATACATAGGGGGAGAGAGAGAGAGAGATATATATATATATATGCATGCCATATGTATGTATATCATATATATTATATGACATATATATATGCATATGTATATTCATCCAAGCCTTCAACTTGCCTGAGTCACTAGGGTTCTGAAGGTTCCATGCACCTTGAATCACCAAGCCTTTTCAAGTTTGGTCTGTCCTTGCCTCTGACTGTAAAAAACAAACCCTGTGGGCCAAGTGTCTGAGTCGTAGAAAGTGATCTTCAGTCATGCAGGCGCTTTTCAATACCCGCCGGCATTGTGCAAGCTGCACCCTCAAGCGCTTCAGTCGCCCAACGACAGTTTCAAAAGGGAACACCAAAGTGGTTTGTCTTTCCCGCAGGCTGGAACAAAGATTGAACTAGAAATACTAGAGTTTACTGACTGTCTCATTACTTTTCCAGATGTTTTTGCATCAGGTTCATCCTGCAATACACTCCGGTCCAGTTAAGACCTTTGATTCCTTTCAAATCTCGGTATCTGATAGACGTCTACCTGAAGTCGATGTGGCTTCACGTCAGCAAATTTGTCAAGCTGCAAGGAAGGAAAAGCGAGACTTTGGCAAACACCTTCACGACAAAGGATCGCCTTGCTGGCACTGCTGGTAGGATACCAAAGACAATAAACTAAATAAACTAAATAAACAAATCGATAAACAAAAATATAACATGATATAACAAGTTCATATATGGCACTCAGCAGGGCTTCGGGATGGGTTGGTGTAAACATGTGTAAACATGGCTTGGAAGAAGGGATGGTCTCCGTCTTCTCCTGACTTGAAGCTCCCAACACTCAAAGTTCCACTAGATCTTCATCTTTCTGGTGCCAAAACAGCCCGTGAGTCAGATTTCCATAGATTTCCCATCTCAGAACTGGTGCTACAGAGAGCCAAGTCACCCAACAATCGTCGCTAAGAGTCGCAGTCGCAGACGGCACTCTCTGTGCCATGCCGCAGGGCTAAGGAGGGCATTTTTGGCCAAACATGCTGGCGGAATCAATCGACGGACTGGTGGAGGAAAAGAGTGAGTACATTAGAAATAATAGAAATCATAAGAATATCCGAGATCATTCTAGATTGCTGGATTCGCGCTGAGATCTGTAGAGCTGGGCATGCATTATTTTCGCGATTTCCTCCGGAAACAGTACTAACCACCTGCACATGCTACTTGAAAATCTCATAACTGATAAGTTGGGACAATGTCACAAATTTGTCGTGCAATATGTGCACCTAGGATTTGCCGCTTAGTCCTCTTAGCTTGTAAATCCGCAATGTGCAAAGCTTGAGCCCTAGCCAAGTCTTCTGGGAGCTGACTGCTCGTGTCCATGCATGGGGTATAGGGTATACGGTATAATCGATGATTGATATGACAGATATACTAAGTTACTAGATGTTGTCAAATTTTCAACATTGCCACCTGAGCCATCTGTCTTTAATGCAACGGTTCTAGCTTTTCATGTTCATGGATAGCTTTCAAGACAGTTTAGTCTATAATCCAAACCCATCGACTCCATGTCCCAAGCAGAATTGATGCTAACTTATATCTACTAATTGCTGCACCCCAATTCTGCGGCCCAGCGTCTGGTATTTCTGGTCTTGCTTGATGGCAATGGCAGGCTCCGCTTCGAAGACTTTGATCTAAGCTGAAGAGGTGTTCAAAGTGACATCACAGGACATGGACAAAGGGCAAACCTGACAAGGACAACCTACATCCATCTACATCCATAGAAATCCTTGCAATCTCAATCAATCTCAATTTCATCCAGTCTGTCTTCATCCTCTGTGAACATGAAGCAAAAATTGGAAGCCAACCGACTTGATGGATCATTTTGCTAGCGAGGAACAACGCTGCGGATGGTCTGTGGCATTGGCCCCTGCAGAGGGAACAACTCTATGCAAAAGGCTTCCACTCCGTGAAGCGTCACCTGAGGCACTAGGACCACTAGGATCACTAGGCTAGCGGCTAGGGGCGGGCAGTTGGCAAAGGAAGCTGATAATTCATTCTGCTAAGATCTGCCAAGTATAGAGACTAATAGAGACTAATTACAGCCAGAATGCTCTGTTCGATTGGGGTACCAATTCAATGTAATGACAGAAGAATAAAGCAGCTGCTTCAGCCGACAGGATGGGGGAGTCAAGGGTAAGTTGTCATGGGACCGACCAAGCAAGACTTGAAATAAACGAAGCTCTAGGGCACAACTGCCAATGACTAGGGACGTGCAATGGAGGAAGCAGAAATGAGTTTGAAGTGACCAGCAAAAGCAAATGAATAGAAACACGGCTTGCAGTTCAAGAGCATCTAGCAAACTTTCAGCGGTATATACGTAATCCAGCCATCATCATCCAAGATAATACAAGCGGCATTCCCATGAAATGCCAAGCGCAAATAACCTGCAAGTCCACAGCTGGGAGTTGACATGAGTTGACCGAGGTGGCTGAAGCGATAATCACACAGCACCCACAATCAAAAGCATAAAAACACATTAAAAAACAATCACCAGCTGTTGGTCGACCCCTCTGTGGGCAATGGAACGAGGTCATGTTTTGTGCGAAGCTGACATGGTGGTGTTCGACGAACGAGGGAATTTTAACATGTTCATACATTTTCAATGTAGTGGGGCAAAGACATTGTCACGGAAGGCATGTGATGTCTCTGCCCGGCTACGTGTACGACGTCCCAAATGTTGTCGGATCAAATGAAATCCATTTCCAAACTCTTTGTTGATGAGCGGTGCGCTAGACCTGGGCTTGCCGAGGATTCATGTGATCGCTGACCCGTCATGACCCGTCACTTGGGCTGTTGGGATCTGTTGGGATCTGTTGGGATCTGTTGGGATCTGTTGGGATCTGTTGGGCATGATTCACAAGTTGCTACGTGATCTGCAGCCAAAATGCAGCGGATGTGGACTGAAACCATCACGGCCCAGGGTGTTGAAGGCTCTCAAGGAGAACGTGCTTTGGTGATGGACAGTCAGGGCAACCAAGACATCCTGCGGCTTGAGAGCTTGCTGACTGCACTGCCCCACACGGACTCTTTGTATCAGCTTTGTTGCCTATACTTATCATGTCATATCCTCCTGTAAATTCCTGTCTTAAAGACCTTAAAAGGACCCTTGGCCACCTCAGCTTTCACCATTGACTTGCTCAAGGGAGAATCTTCTCATCCTGGTCCCAAGTGTCCATCTCTTTGATCCATGGCCATCCCTACTTCAGTCCTCCACAAACAAAGCTTCATCAAATCCAGGTCGAGGATCTTCAAGAATGGCCTGTCGAATAGCATCTGCATACCTCTTGCATTGTTGCACCTTTAAATTTACATCTATATATAATCTTTTTTTGGCCAGGGCCTCTCTAATGTGCCCATGTTCGTAAAATTTTGTCTAGAGTCTAGTCTGGGTCAGACCCTTGACTGCACTAGTCACTATACATACAGTACATTATACAGTACATCTACAATCATCTATACACTCCGTGCCTCTCTCTGAAGCGCAGATCTCTCTGTATCCGAAAGTCTCCCGTCTGCCTCCCAGAAGCCATCGTGGAAGCAGCCAAAGTCAAAGCTTGCAGCTGGCTCCATGTCCTCCAGCCAAGCTTCACCGAAGCTGCTCCAGTAGCTGCAACAGTCTGCCCAACAGTCTGCAACATTCTGCAAGGTGTCTCTCCCTCTCCCTCCCTCTCTCTGACAATAAGGGATGAACTTGGATAAAAGATGAGCCAAAGCGGGTGTCTAAGCTTCAAACTTGTCCCCAAAACATCCCAACACATATGACACATTATGAACCAGGATGAGGGGTCCAGAAAAAAAACACATCATTTATCATCAATATAGAATAATCAACACACCTCAGAGTCTTAGGTACGGAGTGTCTGATTTTGATCCAACATCCAACTTTCATATCATTTCATATTTTTCATGGTTTCACCAAACCACAAAGGCTCCTTTGACCAAACCTTGACCTGTGAGATCATCTCACATGCCGGGCGATCGGCCACATGCAAATGTGGAGCAGCCATTGGAGATGCCTCATAGGAAGTACAGGGCGGTCCACCATGGTGCACCAATTTCAAGCTTGGCAGCATCTTGATTGGGAGACATCGGGAGACAGTAGGGACCATCATGGAACGATGGGATGACTGCTGGCTTCAAGCTGATTCAAGTCAAAATGTGACATCCTGTGACATCTTAGCAATTTTGTGTCCAAAGTTCTATTTGATGTCTGCGCCAAGGGCCTCCAGAATAGCTGCCATCACTATGGGCGGATGAAGGCCTGAGCTCAAGCTATGGCCATCCCAATCATCCCATCATTAAGACCATTAAGGATTCCCTACAATGGGTATATTCAGCCCCCCATGGACTGATGACCATCCCCCAATACGGATATATCATTCTTCCATCTTGTGACCATGGCACATATTATCGCTGTGTGGCACTGTGCAAACATGACTTTTCTATGGTCAGAACTCAGCCAATGTCCAGCAGTGCGGTCCAGCCACCAGGAATGTCCAAAGGATCCATGCCAAGCCGGATGGTGCTCAAATGGCCACCTAACACAACGACAATGTGGGCCCACCAGTTCCGACCACAAGAGCACTGCAAACTGGAACCAAATATATATATATATATACTTATTATATATATATGTATATATCCACAAAGTATATCAAAGTATCACATTGTAGTAATTTCATACTCTGTTCGATGATAATTTGGCAACACTATGGATCCGCTAAATTGGTGGTGTGTTCATGTCATTGGCAACATCACCCTATCAGGCTGTGGGGCGACAAACACCCCACAAAGGACGACCTTGAAACACTGTGAATCCGGGAGCCTTGGGTGGACTTGAGACATCTGTTGAGGATGAATAAGATACATACTGTACATACTCATACAAAAATATACAACATACATTTCGGAGATGGCTGTGTCATCGCTGCCGAACTTCGCTGCCTCCAGTCATGCGAACAAGCACGCGCCACTCTGGGTACGTCTGCAACAACTGTCGCAAAGCAGGTGAAGCGGCGATCTGCAAGGACCCCTCGGTGGGAGTCGATGTGGTGATCGATGATTGTCGCATATTATCACCAAATGTCACCAGTGTTATCCGGTGATCCTGCTTCTCTATGAACGGCCTAGGGCCTGCACGGCCCACACGCCTTGTAAGGGATGATTGACGCTTGCAACATGTCCCCTGAGGCTCTTTTCCGCGTCACTTGAACAAAAGCCAGTATGTACCATCATGAACCAGTGGTTCCACAGCAACATGCACTCCCTCATAGCATGGTCGCTTTGTCTGTGGCACGTCTTTGCCTTGGCTTGGCTGAGTTGGCATGTCACTACTGAGCTAGTGGTGGACAGATGGTGGAAAGTTTAAGCAAGTTCAGCAACAAGTTCCACAACAAGTTCAGCTGAACATCAGTGGCATCTACACTAGGCACCACAAACAGATCGTCTCCATTTGGTCGAGCGACGAATGGCATTAATCACACTATGAAGCACCTGCAAATCATCTTCGCGAGAGGTGCTCGTCAAAGTGGCATCCAGCAAAGTGAAAAAGGTGCTACCTGAGGATGTTTGGGGTCTTGCAGAGGCTCACGCCCAAAACATAGAAATCATAGAAAAACAAATTACTTATTCTAGTACATAGGCTTTTACAGTGCTCTTACATTTCATTGTCTTTCTATGCTTTAGGGCGGTCCTATACAATATATTACAATATTATACAATCAAGAACCGGACAAAGCACAGGAGTTCTATGAACTGTTCACTCCTTTTCTTCAATTTGTTCAATTGAACTCAGGGTAAGACGCACCACCCTTCAGGGCAAAACTTCCACCTCCGGCCCCCCTTCGTGACAACATATGACAACAAATCGATCGGTTCCCTTCAGGTTCCCTTCAACTGGAAAGGGGTCATGCCTCATTAAACTCATTACCTTCGCGGGGACTGAGTTTATGTGCTCTAAATATCTCTAAATATCTCTAATTTTCCATCAAATATTGGGGAAAATGATACCATAAATGATGATAAACCTAAACCATAATCACCAAAGTAAAACTCACAGCTTTAAAGTTACGCTTCTCGTGCCCATCGATGGGCGTGGTCCGCGTGAGATGCAGCAACAGCGCTTGGGTGAGATCAGCGGTGCTTCCAGCCCAACCTGTTAGAGTAAGGAACTCCTGGGTGATGAACAGCGGTGTTCGCAGAAAGAGCCATGCAATGAGTCAAAATATGTCAAAATGAATGAGTTAAGTCATTGAGTCCTACTGGAAATCTGAACTAAAGCATACTAACGCAGCACATGACACAGTAGGTTGTCAGAAAACCGATCTGAAGCAAATTGAAGCAAGGCAAGCGTCAAGGCCAGTGTCCAGAATTTGAAGGCTCACGTTCGGCTCGGGTGGGGTGAAGGGCTCGTTCAAGATGGAGTGCTTCAGCAGGGCCTCTTTTCGCCGATGTTGTGGATGTTGTGGTATGGGGAGGAAAAAAAAAAACTAAATTCTCTCTCCATCGCCATCTCCAGGAGTCTAGCCAAAGGCTAAAGGAGAGCCAAGCCAAAAAAATATAAACGTGCGATTTTTTGTTATGATAAGTATAAAAATATGTGAATGTGTGTATATTAAATATACATATACACGTGTAATTACAATACATTGCTGTGATGTATTGCAATATCAATAATAATAACAATAATAATAATATAGGAATTATGTGGGTGTCAGTATTACATCGTATCGCAATATATTGTGAAACCTGGGAAAGTCATGGAAAGTCTGCTTAAAGTGCCAAGTGCCAAGGATCATCCCAGCCATTTTGGTCATGTCCAAAAGGGTTCACATGCATCCATCGGATATATCTCAAGATCCAATGCAGTGTTCGATCGGATGCCTTCACCAAAATCACCTCGAAGCGCTGGGATCGACCCATGGACTCCATGGACCGGAAAAAAACGAAAACCGCAATATTGATCCATATATTCCATATATTCCATATTGAATATTCATGAATATTTCATGAATCTATTCACTTCTCCACATGTGCCTCCTGGATTGTGACACCAGCCATAGCTAAAGATTGTAAAACAATCTAAAGCAAAACTTGACGTTAAAAAATACGAACTCATGGTAAGGATTGCCAACATATATCATGCCACAATATGCGACATACATATTTGTTGCAGCAAAGCTTCCCAAAGGCCAAGTATCCGGCACCATGCTCCATTTGCTAAGGGTGCTATCACCGCGGGAGGAGTGGAGGCATTGAATTGGATGATAAACATTGCAAACACAATTTGGAAGCAGGGTATAGCATGGTATAGCGGCATAACACAATTGAACTAAGACAAATTAAGCATATATGAAGCATACCAGAATCGGCAAGTCATGGCAAGTCGCTCCATGATTCAAGCAGCTCTCATCAAAGTGATCTGTTGTGAGGACATCTGCTGAAAGAACATCTGCAAGTTGCAGCAGTCGACTGGTGGGATTCTGCACCACAAAAATGTCGATATCCAACCATGCGTAGTTCATGCCAAGCGCGAGCAAAAGAGGAAGTAACACAAACTTTGCGTAGTTGTTCACCTGCCATTCTTGATCATGCTTGGTGCAGAGATGGTCAAAGAGGATTTTTGGAATCATTGAAACAGCACAACAAGAAGAAGAGAGTTGCAAAAATATGCAAAAAACACAAGTAATTTCAAACTGCGGTTGGGAAAACTGCACAGAGTACCACTGCACCCCCACTAAGGTCTTTTTAATGTTTTTCACAGTCGTTGAGACGTCCT